CAAAGCATTGATATTACAAGAAGAAATGTGATGCTGCTCACTATTAGTGAATTTTGTTTAAACTTTGATGGTTTTTTCTTTGCAGAGTGTTGTGAGGCTTCTTTCTCATTGCTCCGTTCTTGAAGCTTCTAATGAGGCCAGTCTGAGGCAGGCTCAGAGTGCTTCTGATCAGTGCAAGCGGCTTATGGATGAGAATGAAGAATTAAAAAAGGTAATTTGTAAATTAAAATCTCAGGGGAAAAAAATGACTTTATAAGGATAGCACAAGTATTGGTGACCCAGCAGTGTTCACCTTGGCCCACAAATAACAACAGAAACAAACATTATATTGAAATGAACATGGTTAATAAGAACCCCGACTACTGGCTGGAGATAAACCAGTTGGCTATTTACAAGTGTGGCTAAGGAGATAAACCCAGGATTATTGAACACAAATCCAGTAAGCAGTTAGGGCAGGGACCCGCAGTATGTAAATGTAAATTCACCACACTAATCTCCATACATTTCCTTAAGAATTAGTTGAGAGAATTTACAAAGGATCGTAATATTTTGCCTTTGATGATCACTTTATTACCAGTAATTCGTTAAGTCTTTTCTCTTGATCATGTGTTGTTTTCATGAGGAGAAAATTGATTTCGGCTACTCTGTGTTACCTTAACTGAAGCAGGATTAGCTAAGTAAGTATAGCTCAAGTGGGAGGTCGCAGCTTAAATTCCCAGGCCGGACCAAAACTAAGGGTCTTAAAATAACTGAGAAATGAATGTTGTTGCTTTGCTCTAGTACTGCAAGCGGCTAGACTGTCAGGTGGCGCATATGACCTTGTAAAATAGCAGTACCATCAGATAAAATGACCATTAAATACAATGACGCTCAAATTAAGTGCCTCTTTTTTGTCTGAGCAGTCCTTGGAAAGCGCCAGAGGGGAATCTGGAGAAGGTGGCATAGGCGAAGATGAAGTGGACAAACTCAACCAGGAGTTGAAGGACATGAGAGATTCTCTTGCAGAAAAATCCAAAAAGCTGACAGAGAGGACTGAAGGTGCAGCTAAGTATGATGGTTTTAGCCTCTGGGTCAAAATCATATGTAGAACATATAGAGTGTTTTCACTCACATGGCCAGCATCTATGCAAATTTATGGGACAAAAGAAAGCGTTTGCATAAGAAAAGAGTTCAACTCCCACAGGATTGGTTTGGGACACCAATATGGCCACCGTTTTATTGTTGTGGGACACCAATATGGCCACCATGACATCATGTGAAAACACTCTATATACATGTAAACTTTTTCATGTTAATATGAAAATAGATGTGATCTGTCACTGTAAGAACTGTACATTTATTTTAACCAAAGATGAGACCATTGATACCATAAACCCTTGTCAGTCTTAACTTTTTCTGTTAGCATCATTTTATTGATCAAGATTATCTACTGAACAAGGTCTTTCCCATGACATGTACATAATAAATCAAGGATCTGTTACTTGCATTCGTTGGTTTGCTGTTATAGCACTTTTCTTTTCAGTGTCTCAGTTTCCAAGTTTGTAGGCAATGTACAGCTATACATGTGTATGAGTGTGGCCGAGAGATGGACAAGATAGTGAAAATGATGGTCTGTTTTGCATGTTACGTAGTAAACCCGAGAACAATGTGTCAGAATGCAACACTTCTGATCATCTACTGAAGTGTGATCTCCATTCAGTTTTTTAAAAGAATATTTGCTATTCCACCTTTAAATACAGAGCTTGAGAAAACAAAGAAAGATTTGGCAGCATTAAAAGAGCAAGCTGCTGGACTAACAAGAGAGTATGACAGGCTTTTGGATGAGCACTCTAAAGCACAGGTAGGTAATGTATAGTAGGGAGGGGAGACACAATAACACACTGTCGGTAGGGGAGGGTCTGCTCAGTTTGCCTTGAAGCTGAAGGCTGCTAGTGAGTTTAACAGCTTTTGGACGAGTACCCTAAATAAAGCACCGGTGGGTAGGGAGGGAGGGTAGGGACATGATAGCACACTTAGAGGAGGAGAGGGGAGGGGAGGGTCTGCCTTGAAGTTGAAGGCCACTAGTGAGTTTGACAGCTTTTGGACGAGTACTCTAAATAAAGCACAGGTGGGGAGGGAGGGAGAGAAGGGACATGATAACACAGGGAAGGGGAGGGTCAGTCTGCCTTGATCGAGCAAGCCTCTGGGCTAACAAGAGAAAGTAGCAGGCTGTGGGATGGACACTCTAAAGCAAAGGTGGGTGGGGAGGGAGCAAGGGAGGGGACAGTTGTTATAACACGCTAATAGGAGGAAAGGGGAAGGTAGTATACAAAATGTTTTGAGGGGGACTGCTATAAAGCCCACATTTTAATATTATTTGAGGGTACAATTCCTTCAATGAAAATAGCTAAATTCTCTCTTTGGTAAAGTTTGTTGCGATGACTTGACCATCACTTTTTATTGGCTTGTGACCTCTTTGTGTTTTTATCTTTTTTTTTTTCCAAAGGCACAGCTGGAAAAAGACGAGACCCAAACTAAAGGAGACAAGAAAGACAACTGAGATGGTCGGGTGTATTGACAGAGATTGGCCAGGAATCACTAAACCAACAAACTGCCAATTCTAATATAGTTAACAAGATCTAGTCTTGTAACACAGCGAATTTTTATGTTTGAAGATCAGTGAGCAATAATCCTTGTGTTATCGACCTGTGTAAATTAAAAACAGTGTTCAAAAGGATTTAAACTTCTTCAAGAAGCTTCACGAAACCCTCAAAGATGCTGAGGAAAATTTAGGAGAGACTGAAATGACAGATGCATTGTATGCTAAGGCAGAATATCTCTGTCAGATTGGGGATAAGGTTTGTATCAATAATGGCTTTGATTTTGTTTCTGTTAGTAGGATAAAAACGTCTTATGATTACTACTTGTCATCATTGATGAGATGAGTTAATGTCTTAGGGGGTTTTATTGCTCTGTTGTGATGATTATGTTTTTAAAAATGTATATTTCCATTTCCAGGAAAAAGCCCTCACTGTGTTCCGCTTCGCGTATGAGAAAGCAGTAGCCCTCGGTTACAAGCTGGATATCATATTTTATCAAATTCGCATCGGCTTGTTTTACCTTGACAATGACCTTATCACAGGTAACATTGATAAAGCGAAGACGTACGTACAGACTATCGTACGGTTTCTTACTTAACTAAGTGATATCATCTTTACTCAGAAGCTGCTAGTATCAAATGTGTGGACAATTCTATCTTTAATCCTTCTGTTTCAAACTGCTGATAATAACAGTTTTTTTACATAACCAAAGTACATATAAATGATTTTAAGATTGTAGTATATGCTATTTTATTTGCACATTATAAGTTACAAGATGATAAGATCACCATAATTATTTGTCACTTTTAACTAATATTAACTTGTACTAGTATCTTAGATTAGCTAAAATAGTTGTTAAAAATGATTGAAAATAGTTATATATGTATATCTTGTATACTGTAACTTGTTTTCTATCAGCCCTATGGAGGAAGGTGGTGACTGGGATCGCCGTAACAGACTCAAAGTGTACCAGGGAATCTACTTTTTATCCATCCGCGACTTCAAATCTGCTGCTAATAACTTCCTAGACAGTATATCTGCTTTCACATCATATGAGCTGATGGATTACAAGACGTTTGTTACGTATACTGTACTTGCAAGTATGATTGCACTAGAGAGGGTTGACCTAAGACAAAAGGTTGGTTACCAGTCGGCTTCTTAATATAATTATTCATTTCTCAATTCTGAAGTTATGAAATGTAATCTTTATTTCCAGTATTATCATAATACAGTCTCTTAAAGCAACCACCTATCCAAAACACCAAAGATTTCCAAGTCAAAACCTTACAGTTGGAACCTCTCGTAAATAATTGATTCCCGTACGCAACTGTGACCCCATTTTTGGCTGGCAGTTTAAATAATTTTCCATTCCTTTAAACCTCTTGTAAGCAACCACTTGACACAGGATCTGATCTCTCTGTTCAATGTGCGTACTACAACTGTAGCTATGATACTTTTATTTAGACAAAAAGAAGGACTATTAGCAACAACATGGAACTTAACATAAAATTATTGCAACTTACATTGCTGTACAATGATAATGTTGTTTCTCATCTGTACCAGTTTTTGACAAAAATATGTATTTTAATAGTTTAATATTTAAAGTTAATTGTTGACATGCGGTATTAAAACCACTTTCTACTTTGCAAATGACCAAGGTATTTTCATGTTTAGGTTGTGAATGGTGCTGAAATCCTAGAAGTTCTTCATCAGTTGCCAGTTGTAAACCAATTCCTGACATCCCTATACAACTGCCACTATGCTGATTTCTTTGTAGCCTTGGGTAGGAAAGCTCTACTTTTTTAAATTCCCTCTATAAAAATTAAATTAAACCCATGGGGAAGGTGCCTTGTAAACCTGAAGGGAGCCACAAGCGAGCCAGGACAGTAACCGTGACAACCGTTTGAGCAGCACCCACCAGGCACGCTCACACTGAGAACCTCAGTGGAGAAAGATGTGCAGATACATTGTGCACCAAAAAACATCCATCCAAAGGGAAGGAAGGGCTGGGAGCAAAGAAGGCTAAAGCTACATGTACTGCGCGTGAAAGCAACGTGAGTGAAGTGATTGACCCCAGCGAAAGCACTGTAAAGTTGCTAAAGCCCAAGACCACCCTACTTATAATGTGATTGGTGAAGAAGACCACCAGCATACATTGCCTGGTGTTTAAACTCGCCTAAATTGTAGTCAGCCAAATAGTATTTCGCTGGTGTCACAATTGCTTGCATACTTACAGGCAAATCTTATGGTGTACAAATAAAGATCAGTAATGATGATGATGTATTTTCTCTCTCCACAGCACAAGTAGAAGATTTCCTCAAACAAGATCGTTTGCTGTATCCGCACTGCAGATACTATATCAGGGAGATGAGAATACATGCTTACACCCAGCTGTTGGAGTCATACCGCAGTCTCACATTGCAGTACATGGCTAATGCATTTGGAGTTAGTGAGGAGTTCATTGATAAGTAAGAAAAGCACCATTTATTTAAAACAGATTTAAGCTGAATTCAATTGCTGAATTGCTTGTTACCAGTTCACTTCTAACCTTGCTTAAAGCTTATTTACACAGGAAATTTTTGCAGCAATTTTTGTGTTTACAATTTTTGTACAGTGTATGTGGCAATTTTTTTCACTTGGAAATTGCCATTGCTTTGAACCTGCTGGAAATTTGATATGATATATAAGCAGTTTTTTGAGATTCACTGCAAATAATTATGTCTTGAAATTTTCCCCAACCCCTCCCCCCTTCCTGAGTAGCTTATCACACAATGAGAATAAATAATTTCAAGAGGAAATCCTTTGTAAATTTATGTACAGTTCTTACTGAATGCATGCACATCACTAATTGGAGTACATGTCATACTGTAACAATGTTCAGTGCTCGACTTTCAGAAAAAAAATCATGGGGCCAGCTGGCCCCCACGTTTTCATTTTTGGTCGCCAGAACTAGTATTCTGGTCGCCAAAAATTATATTTAAGAACTAATGGACCTTCTGTCACTAGTAATTTAATCAAATGTGTTTTGACCATCTACATGTATTGCATGAAACTTATGTAAAGCACAGCCTTTCAACAGAAGCATGTTGACCTTTAAATATTGTCGTTGCCTGCACTCTGCAACCTTCAGTTATTACTAGTTGTTATGTGTATAAAAGTTTTTTTTTTTTTTTAATTATTTATTTTATGTTATTTTATTTTATTTCCAGAGAGCTTTCAAGATTTATTGCAGCTGGAAGATTGAACTGCAAAATTGACAAAGTTGGAGGTGTTGTTGAAACTAACAGGTAAGTTTGTTTACATGTACAATAATGTACTTCTAATACTTAGCACTGTCACCACTCTTACATGCACCCAGTCCTATTTTAGAGTTTCCTTGTAGGAGGATGGTACAGGTCTGTCATTTAAAGAATTTATTGTGTCTTGGGAAAAATTTTTACACAAACTATTGTTGTTTTCTTGTTTGTGTACATATGAGATATGCAACTGAAACGTGTATGTGTAGACAACTGTAGAAAACTCCTACATTGTTGCCAGGTTAATGTAATGTAATGTCATTCATTCATTCATTTCTTTATTTATTTATTTACTTATTTACTTAAGTATTAACATGGTGACTTTGTTTCTTTTCAGGCCTGATCACAAGAACTGGCAATACCAGGTATGACCATTCTTTTTGACCCTTTAAACTTTTATATCAAAATATAAATTCTCATTTGCTGTTACTATACTTTTTCTGTAGAACTACTGTGGTGTATCAAATATATGATTTACCTTTTGTGATCATGTTATTAATTCTCATGCTCACTCTGTTTTATAAAACAAAAATATAACAAGGAGAAATTACATGCTGATCACAAAAAGAGTATCAAACAGTCAATTAAGTATTTTATCGCCCTCTGTTGTCATTTTGAAACTGTCTTTTTGTTTTATTTTGTTTGTTTGTTTGTTTTTTGCTGTAGGCTACTATAAAACAGGGTGATCTGCTGTTGAATAGAATCCAGAAGCTCAGCCGAGTGATAAACATGTAGCCAAGACGAACCGCCCTATCAACCTTCTCTTGTCTGCGAGATGAAAGAATGGCTACTACCGTTCCAAGTTATTTATGCTTTTGTAAACAGTGCATATCTCAAATGTAGACATTTTCCTTTCAAAAAATAAAACCTTTTATTCGGAATGGTGTTTTGTTTGACGTTAATTTTGATTTTTTTTTCTTTTTTTGTCGATGGGCGAGAAGAGTCATAGGGAAGCGACATGCCAATCTACCCTATAATCTTCCGCTCTTCGAACCCTCCAAGGGATCATCTTATTCATCTAGTGCTTCCAAACGCGGCATTTAAACTTCACGTCATCTGCATTCTCGTCCCAGGATCCCCTGGGATTTGTTAACCACTATAGCCAGGGAACAAAGGCTTTATCTCCGTTGAAATTTGTTTAGACAAACATATTTAAAACGGAAGTAAAAATGCTTAAAGTGGAAAACATCACCGGCTATTTGGTGTGGTTTGGATAGCCGGAAAACGCTGACGACTAAATAACCTCAACATTAAGAGAGCTTTCAAGAAAATTGTTTAATGTAGATGTTTAAGTTCAATTGTAATTGTGGTTTAAATTTCATTTTCCTTTGTTTTTGGGATTATTAATAATAATAATACCTTTATTTATTACCTTTGGCGATAAGAATTACGCTAATATTACAATAAAAATTTAAAACACTACATATTATACATACATATCAAATTAAGTTAAATTTAGCACTTCTAGGAATAAACGAATGTTTGTGCCTAACAGTACGTGATACAGGTATTCTGAGGTGCGCTGGGTTAGTCTTACAAGATCTTAGATTATGGCCATGATCCACTGGCTTGTCTAAAAAACGTTTGCAAGGATGTGCTTCAGATTCTAGGATACGTTTAAATTCTTTCCTCTTCAACTTCTGACGCCTAGTTACAAGTGACAGTTAATGTGTTTGAAAACAAAGGAAAATAACATTTAGACCGAAAGTAGAATTGAACCACAACATAGTCGTGCCAACTATAAGACAAATATTATGGATAATAATTTTTAAAAGCTTTAGAGTGCCACCAGGGGGGGTGCCACGCATTTAAACTTCAAACTATACTTTTTTCGCGATAAGTTACGCCAGTCCCTTAAAATAAAATAGTTTCCCCTCCCCACCCATCTAAGGTTGTAAACGATTTTCCCGCCAAATGCTCCGTATCCAAGCGTAGCAGCAGGTTGGCGACACGTTTCTCGGTGATCAAACAAATTGATCAAACATCGAAATTTACATTTTGCATTTCAATAACATGCTTTGTTTTTGTTGAGCACAATATTTTTTATACGCTTCATCGAGCGCAGATAGCCATGTTTTGCTGCTGCATCTAAATTAAACGCGTTCTTTGGTTGTGTATTTATTGAGAATACACTCATGCATTAGTATGCAAATCGTTTCAAAAGAAGGATCGTTCAAGAACGCAGATGGAAAGAAAATTTTTACCAAATATTGGAAGCCAAGCGATAAGAAACCCAGGTGAGCATTATCAGTAGTTTATTTCTTGAAGTTCAAATCACGCTCTTCAAAAATGACGGCTAACACAGCTGAATTAGCGCAAAATCGACCTTTACAATTCTTTTTGTCGCCAAAAGAAGTGTATTTTGCTTTGCTGCATTCAAAAGTGCATCGACCTGGCTAAATGATTAATCAAGTTATTTTTATTATAAGCATTATAATGGATAGGTTTATGCTAATGCAGAGTCAGAGCGAGGGAATGAAATCAAACGAGCAAAGTAAAGTTAACTTGAAAAAAAGCCATTTAAACAATTGAAAATCTCGCAACTGATGGGCAGCTCAATTTTTTCTTAACTCGCCTAAACTCGTATCAGCTCGAACAATCTCGCAGCGAGTTAAGGTTCCAGAGTAGGCCCGTTGACTTTGTGCTGGAGTGTTAAGCCGGGCCCTGGTTTCCATATGATCTGAGGATCGGTACAATCGTTGAAAAAAATTCAGCGAACTGAATGATAGCATCTATCTATTATTACTTTCAATAGCGAAATCAGTTAGTCGGTAGGTGGTGAGCAAAAATATGGTCATCCGAAGAATACGAAAATTGAAGAAAATAAACTAAACCTTCGTATTAAAAGAAATTAATTGTAATACATCATGCAGTTAATTAATCATTTGCTGTGCTCGGAAGGATTCTTAATGATTTATAGCACAAAAACTGAAAGTCTCTTGATCATCGGATAACACAAATAACAACAGATTTTCGTGGTTATTTCCTCGATAGAGCATTGGTATTTATCTCCCATGGATATGGAGAGCATTGTTCACGATACGAGAGGCTTGGACATGCTTTAGCTGAACAAGGCTACCTCGCCTTCAGTCAAGATCACGGTATGTCCCACCCCAGCCGTGTTTAATCTTTTCCGTGATCCAGTAACTGCATCTAATCATACTTTCTCGGGAAGAGTCGGGGGGGTGGAGGTGGGGGTGGTAATCTAAATACGTGTATCGCAGAACCTTGTGAGCTCGGGTAGGTGGCCCGTAAAATGTTAGGGATGGGAGGGAGGGATGAGATAGAGTAGAAAACTGGACCATTATTTTTGGAATTCAATTTATGATGTTATGGGCACCTGGCGAATACAAAGAAAGACAGGAAATAGTGTGATATAACCCTTCAAGAGCTAATTTTTGACAATAAATCTTTCTGTTAGTTGGTCATGGTCAGAGTGAAGGAGAAAGAGTTCAAATATCAGATTTTTCCATTTACGTCAGAGATGTTTTTAAACACATTGACCAAGTCACAGCAGACAACACAGGCATACCAATATTTATGTTTGGCCACTCAATGGTATGTACTGTTATAAAAGCGTTATTGGAACTCTGCCCCTTTTTTCGTTGTGTTTTGTTTGTTTGTTTGTTTGTTTTTTGCTTGTTTTTTGTTTTGTATATTTTGTAGGTTCTCGGGTCCCCTAACCGAGTCGATCACAGGAATACAAGTATATGTTAATTACGATAAAGACACCAAGCGCATCATGCTTTGCGGTTGTTCCATAATGTCGCGTTCTTGCCAGTTTGTTTTGATAACATAGATAGCCTATGAATTTCAGGTTTTCTTATTATTAACTCATTTCAAGTCTGGCTTCAATGCATTCAGCATTCAAATCACATATTACGAAAACACAAATACAGTCGAACCTCCATATGCGATCACCTCTCGTAAAAGACCACCATCCGTAAGCGACCGCGTTAGCGTGGGGCTCAGTAACGGTTTAAAGATTTTTCATTGTTTTTAACCTCTTAAAAAGCGACCACTTAACGATTTGTCTGATCTCCTTTGTTCGCTGTGTTTAATTAATTCTACTCAGAGTATACTTCTAAAAGTACCAACATGGAACTGAGAAAGAAATCGGTGCAATCTATTTTATACTGCTTTAAAGTAGCTGTGCCCGGAAATCTAATCCAAGGAAGCCGTCGTAAGCGACAACCTCCTGTAAGTGGCCTCCTGTAAGTCTCAGCCTTTAGAGTGGCCGCTTACGGAAGGTTTGACTGTACCTTGAAAATTTCATGTTATGATATTATTAATATTATGCATTATTCTGTATAGGGTGGTACAATAGCTGTTCTCAGTGTTATGGAAAGACCTTATTTCTTTGCGGGTGCGATTTTTAGTGCACCAAGCATAAAAGTGGAAGCCAATCCTTGCACGGTAATTTATTGTTCCACTTGCTACAAATAGTAAACGAAAACACAATGCAAAGACTGTTTCTCTTTTCTTAGGGTGCCGTCAATGTAAAAACAGGATACAGCAAACCCAAAACCGAAAAACACTACGTACCTAAGGAAACAGAAATACAAATCCCAAAACAGAAATAAACACCCCAAAGCGGAAACACATACAAAACAAAAATACAAAATTGAACCACAAAACTGAAAGAGAATTTAAAAATACAAACCATGATCAAAAACCCCAAAACAGAAACAAGGAAATAATGTAAAACAATAGTTTCTCGTGATTCATCGTCTTTTAATTATCTTAACCCGCGATCAGGCGTTTTTTTTTTTTTTTAGGGAGAGCAAGATCACAGGCTATAATAGACCATTCCGAGTTCCAAAAACTCTCACTTTAAAAATGAGGCTGAAAGTTAGGTAAAACGGGCAACAAATTGTTGCAGAACGAGTCCGAAAGTGATGTTGCGCGTTTTATTACCCGCAAATCAAACCTGTCTTGTAGCAAATAAGATTCAGTGTTGCAAGTTGCGGGAATACTGACTCCTGATTGGATAAAATTACGCGGGAGTCACGCCATACACAGGAGTTACAAAGTTCTAGTGGTGGAGGGAAGGGAATATGATGATTATTTTAATAGGAGATTATTTTATCACGAGTCAAGTTTTAAACCTTGTCTTCTAGGGGGAGGTGCGAAATTAATACAGTAGTGATTGTTCCATATATAAAAACGCAAAAAAAAACAAACAAAACGAACTTGGCCAATATTCATCTATCTGGACCTCACGCTTGGTTAAAAGAGACCTTTAGATTCGAGGACGAGAACTACTAGGAGTACGACTTTCGCTCTTCTTAAAAAGAAAAATAGACACCCGGAAAGCTCCATTGTACTTTTGATTCACCAGAAGAGTTAGCACTGTTACTTATTCAGGGAGTTTAAGCCCTCTCCCAACCGAAAATTATAAAACTTAGCTTGTAACATTTGATAACTTGTTTTCGTCACAACGACATTCTCGGCAAAACTCGTAGGAGAATGACGACGGCTATCACGTTTTCCCGCCAAAATGACGCCGGTCAATGCGCGCGCACTGCTTAGCATTAAGAAAATCTCGTTCTCGTACTCGTCCTGGTCTTAAAAACTAAAGGTCTCAAATAACGTATATAACGCATGTATCTTACAGGTTTGTCTAGGAAGAATAGTATCATGGATAATGCCCTCGTACCAGATCAGGCCACCGATTGATCCATCACTCTTAAGCCAGGATCCTACACAGGTGATGCAAAACTACAGGGAAACTAAGCCGAGTTTACTTTCGCAAAGAGTTCTGGGATTGTTACTAAGGACAGAGAAAAAGATTGGCCAATAGCTGACCGGCGTGACCCCAGTAACAATCCAAGAAACAATCGCGGGTCAAATTTCTTCTCTAATAAAATTCCCTTCTCGTTTCTAAAAAGGCGAATAACACAATTGATAACTGCTCTCTTTTCGTGAGTCAAAGGAGAGGGACTTTCGTATGCATTTTATCCGCGTTTCCAAAAAAAGTTTCCACGACTTTCGAACAATGCCGAAAATATTCAGGTGATTTCTGGAGGTTGCCGAATGACGCAGTGTCCAGTCCCTCAAGCCGATCGTGACACTCGACATTTCGTACCACTGACTGGAATATTTTGGGTGGAGATTGAATAAAAGTTTTTCAGTTTAATGGTTTATGACAAGTTGTTCGGAATTTGATTCAGGAATTGACGTTTTCCATCTTTCATGATTGTGCAATGAACTAGTAACGTTAAGTGGACAGCGGGTTTGTCGAGGGTTATTCTGTCCTGTTCAATTGATCAACCCTAAGATTATACCCCCGGTGGGGGAGGGCGGGGAGCTACTCAACAACGTTTTATATGGTAAGGCACCACCGACACGCGTGCAAAACGTCTGCGCATGCGCAAGGTCTCTATTATCAATAATTAAAATTTGCAAAATCTTCGCCATTTAAATTGAAAAACACTTAGGAATGTTTGATATGTTTAATGGTTTGCAGCCAGATCTAGTATTAAACACACCAAAAAATTGCTTAAACTAACTTAACTAACTAACTGGGAAAGTCGTCGAGTACAAGGTTTTTCCGTCCTTGTTTTTCCACTTAGCATGCATTGGTCGTTTTCGTTGTTCGCATTGACCGAGCTCAGCGACATGATGACCAAAACAACAACAACGGCTACGGCGAAGTGCTGCCAGAGCGAGCGTGGACTTTCAAACATGATTTTCGCCTTTGGTGCAAGGAGGAAAGAATGTGGTGCAAAAGAGAGAAACTAAAGCAATTAATAAACGTTGTGTTCGTGAAATTCTAAGCTTATCTTTTGTGTGTGGAGCTTACTTTTTTCAATTTCGCGGCCGGAATCTAGTTTGTTTTGGTATCGCGTATAATTTCGGTTGGGGGAGACACTGGCAAATTCGCGCCGGAAGCAGGAAAGGCACGCATGCGCACTGCGTTTTTCACGCGTGTCGGCACCAACCCCTGACCTAACTCCTTACACATTTATCGTTGAAGGAGCTCGTCGTGTTTTTTAGGGTTGGAGCCTCCTCATAAAAAATTCAATGTCACTCAGTTATTTGCACAATCCATTTAGTAACCAAAGGTCTTACAACAAGTCGAATTTCCTTGAGTACCAGGCGTCCCTCGCGCCTTCTACTCTCTCGCGCTTGACTTGTGGCAAGTCTAGGACTTCAATAACACAATGCACCTTGTTTATTACTATTGTTTTAGGTTGAAAAGTATGCCAATGATAGCCTAAACTGGCATGAGGGAATGAAAGTTAGATGGGCGGGAGCTATATTAGATGCAATGAATGAAATCCAGGGGAACTTGTCAAGGCTTACAACATCTTATCTACTTGTCCATGGTGATGGAGATCAATTAGTGAAGATTGACGGTTCACGTTACTTACATGAGAATTCCCCAAGTAACGACAAGACATTTAAGGTACACGAATGAGCTGCTTTACTGACAGCACTGAGCGAACTAATAGCCTCTCTATGGGTATTTCCGACGAATAGTCAGGGCGCTTGACGGTATATCATGATGGCAGGAAGATGCGGTCTTAAAACGGCGTTTTTTCATGTGGTGATATTGTCCTGCCCGGGGTACGAGTTTCGGCTGCTTTGTTCCAAGCGTAATTATTGTGAACTTATCCCAACAAAAGTCATGATTTGTCTAAACCCTTTTAACCCCAAGAGTGACCAATATCTATTTTCTCGCAACAATGTCACCACATTTTCAAGGAAAAAGGTTATGAGAATGTATAAAATAATCACCAAAGAGGAAATTCTCTTCCCCAAACGGGTGTCTAAAGAATAATACAGAGTTTTCCCTCTTCGTCCAATTTTCAGTCCCGTTGTCATTTTTAAATCTACCCATTATTATTTCATTATGAATTCAACTGTGTGTAAAACGTGCTTTGCAGGTGTACAAAAATGGACGCCATGAACTTTTGAATGAGGTGGAAGAAACTGCGAGCGTGGTTTACAAGGACATTCTTGAATGGATTCAGCAAAAGCTACCTTGAACTGTTTTAGGGCCACGTGCACACGAGTCCAGACTAATTTTTCAAACTGCATATTTTTTCACCCGCATTCGTGTAGACGAGGCCTTAAACCACTCTGGAGAGCGGTTTCAAAAAGATATCAGGCTCACTTAGCAATAGAACGGGAACGTCAGTTGACGACGACGCGCAAATCAAACAACTGGCTTGGCCAATCACAGAGCAGCAAATTGAGCAATGGAAGTCGCGTTTAGTCCTTTCCGCGCGCTTTCCCGTTGTCAACTGATGTTCCCGTTCTGTTGCTAAATCAGCCTAATGTTTGAGTGAGAGGATTTTTTAAATTTCTTTCATATTTAATTCAGTAAATTCAGGAACCTTAATTTGCATGAGAAAGCCAAATTCTGTGGGATTCTAAAAAAGGCCGTTTCCAAGATGACGTCATTTTAACATACCAGATTCCTTCAGGGTTTTGCTTTCTTGCGTAAGTTAGGGCTTTTGTTATTTAAACCTCAGTGGGATTACCAAATTTAATGATAAAAGAAAAAATGAAATGAATTCCTTTAGTAGCAAAACCATGTCATCACGTAAATAGCCAATTAGGCCCCGTGGCCCCAGTAGCCTTGCAGCAGTTCAGAATAGACCCCTATGTGTCGCAGTTCTTTTGTTTTCGGGCTAGGTTCCAAACTTTGTTTGTTCATACTTTCCCCCGCCAATAACGTGAGGTCTTCCAAGAACTGCAAGGTCCCCCCTTATAGGAAGAAAAGTCGCCCCGAGTAGAAGAGTCCCTCGCCTACCCCAGCTACCCTGGGCGAGCCAAAATTTCCTACATTTCCCTACCGAAACTTGGCGTTTAAATACACTAGAAACAAATAGTGGGCTAGAGCGCTTTTTCAATGGTAAAGTCATCCTTCTAGCTAAGCCGGGTCAACTCGGTCAAGGCGAGAGAATCAGACCATGCGGGAGCTCTGTTTTCAGCTCTAGGCTTGGGCAAAGGGGTCAACTATTTATCATATAAACACTTGCTTAAGTTGACTCGGCCAGGGAGGGTGACCCCGGGGAAATTTTTCTCTATGTGAACGGGGCCTCGTTCGCATGTTTTCTTGATATAGGTTCAATAAACAGAACAATAACTCTTCACGTGCATCACACGTTTTTATAAATTTATTGACCGTCACTACGTTATACGGCGGACATAAGCACCCAAAGACAAATTTCTTTTTCTCTATTTACACTTTGATGTCAGTGCTCCCTAAAAATTCAGTTCCACGGAAAAATCACTTAAATTTGACCAAGTTAGCCAATTAAGATAACCCCCACAAATTTTAAAAGTACGCCAAATAGCTTTATAAATGACGTTTCGTTACCGTCGCCTCCCTAATGTCGGGCGCATTAAATCTCGAGCAACTGACGTTCAGTCAGAGTCAATCTCTGTATTTTAACGCCATACGTTAGTAGTTATGTCTCACGTTAGGTTGTCTGCTTTGGACTACAAAAAGGTACCAGAACGATCGAGAAACGTACCCCACGTGGTTTTGACTCCGGCGGGCTAAAATTGACCGGAGACCTCAGACACGAAAATACCGGTCACCTGGAGCGAAAGGCGAAGGGGAAAAGAGATAGGCTGGGAACGAGATTGATTTACAGTTTGATGTTCCTAGATAATAATAGCCTGCGATCATGCTCTCTCCCTAAAAAAAATGTAAAACGCCTGGCCTATTCAAAAAAAGACGATGAAACATGAGAAAGTATAGCTTTACACTATTTCCTTGTTTCTGTTTTCGTCTTTTGTGGCTATATGGTTTGTATTTTTGGATTCTGTTTCAGTTTTGCGGTTTAATTTGTATTTTTTCGAGTGTGTTTTCTGTTAATTGGGGATGCTTATTCCCGTTTTGAGATTTGTGTTTCTGTTTTGTGGCAGTGTTTTTCTGTTTTGGGTTTCCGTTTTGTCTTATGTGTTTCTGTTTTGTTTGTTTTTCTGGTTTGTTCTCTGCTATTTTTGTTGTTGTTGTTGTCCCGTGGTTTTTTTGTTTCTATCGGCCACCCTATATATTTGATAGTCCTCTGCATTTAAATCCAACCACTGGAGAACGCTTCAAAACACCGTTGAAAATTTCTTCACAGAGATCAAATCGTTCAGGTAAGAAATAATCTCCTTTAACTTGGAATTTGTCTAATCAAATATTTCTGCAAGGTTTATTTTGATTTCATGCGGTAGATTTTTTCCCTCTCTTTTTTACTGAGTCTAAGTAATTGTCGAGAGTCGAGAGTCGAGAGTCATATGTCGAGAGTCTGAAATAATAAATAATTATAATCGTGATAATTAATAATAATAATAATTTATATATCATTGATAAAAAATAATTTATTTCGCCATGCTCCCTAAATAATAGCAGTGAGATGCACTTTTTTACTCCTAAAGTATAAAGCAAAAAATTTCACAAGTTCCAACACGATTTACTAAAGAAGGTAACAAAGGTTCCACCCCACAATAAAGTTTACCGCCGAAATATCAGACAACGAAATAAATATTTCCTTGAAACAATAGTTTTCAAAAGAGAGCGATTCACAGAGAAATATATCTTGGACATCAAAAATACCCACTATAAGCCGACTGAAATCCTGCAATATACGCATTTTACTTCTTGCCACCCTCGGGGGGGGGGCGGGGTAAAAAGATTTTTCATTAAAGGCGAAGCAATAAGATTGCTTAGAACAAATTCTTCAAAAACATTTAAAAAGTGCTTCGCGAACTTTTAACAACGCCGCGAAGCACGCGGGTATACTAAACAGTCCTAAACAAGATATAGAAAGGTCGTTGTCAGAGGTCAACTTTGACTTATTATAAGACAATAGGCGCTAAAACAAAAGCAAAAAAGTATAGAGTCTATTTCCTTTCGTTACAACATATCATCCATCGGTACAAGATCTTAAAAAGGCTTTGATGGCAATTGGAGTCGATTAGAAAATCAGCCTCTTCTGAAAACAATTTTTAAAGACCTCCGATCATATCCTACAAAAGAGGTAAATCTCTAAAAGACATGCAGTGTAAGAGCAAAAATGTAACTTGAAGGCAGTTGCCGGATAATGCGACGCAACCACAAGAACCACTTTGTCCGTGCAGACTTCCTTTGACTTCCGTTCAATGTTGAAATTTCAGGTTGTTGTTATCAATTTTTTAATTTCCTGGGAAATGTTGAACCGAAGAATACAGTAAATAAATGACAACCACCGAAATATAAGGATAAAAAAACATCAGCTGAGATCACAACTGAAAATAAACAACGACTCACGTAACTATTTATTTCTCTAATGTTATTTTAGATAAATGTAGTAAGCGTTGAGTATGTCTTATGTCGGACTTCCGACTTGTCTTTATCGGACTCTCGACATATGGTTCTCGACTCTCGACTTAGTACTCTCGACTCTCGACTCTCGACTCTCGGCAATTACTCAAACTCTTTTTTACTTAGAAATAATTAATAATAAGTTTAGACTTGTTTGCGACCGCGAAGTAAAGTGTGTTTGTTCGATGTTAAGCAAAACGTCCGCCTAGAATATTGTTTTGGCCGATTTGTGTTTGTCTCCCTTCGCTGTCTCCCTTGTGTCCGCTTCTCTCTTCGAATTCCTTTCCCCCCCCCCCAAAAAAAAAATACCCCCACTCCTACCCCTCCTCACACAAGCAACGCCGGATATTCAGGATAATTTGTGTTAAATGTGAATCTCTCATGTTGTAGACGTCACAGATTTATAATAATTTTCATTTTTATTACAATAGCTGACGAAGAAAGACCTGCTTTGAACATAAATTTATGGAACAAAGTCTTGCGTCGATTAATAAGAAATTGAGGTCATGAACTTAGTCAAGACTAGGGCTCCTCTCAAGACATCGCAGCTGTCTTTTAAATTTTTCAATGTGCATTGGGACTATGTAAATTGTACTGTCAGAAGGGCTTTCAGGAAAATTACTGTTTATAAATTAAATCGCTTTTATTTCTGCTCTATGCAAGGCAAACAATTTAAAATTTGTTGTGGTTTACTAGTTTCTGGCCTCTCTGAAATTTGCATGTAATGTTATTGTCGCCGGGGAGCGGACTTAGTTTTGAGGATTAGACCTAGCCCCATTTCTCTGGACTAAACTTGTGTACAACTGCCCCCTTCCCTCACAGAAACCTTTTTTTTTCTGACGGGAGGGCTCCTGTACACTGGCTATTTGGACTGAAACAATTTATGTAAACTAGATGGGGAGAGTGTTGTGGCTATAATAGAATCATCTAAGCATGGCTGCACAATGGGAAGTCTGTATAACTTTAGTATTTTCCTTTTGCTGTTTGGATAAAAAGGTCTACACTTTCTACTCATGTAAGAATTTTATAATTTCAAAAGTGGAAACCGAAGTTAGTTGGACTTAACTTTGAGCATTTTGCGGTTTCTCTCGTCATCCGTGCACGAGCATGGAACTAAAGAATAAAGTCACAAACGATGGAAATATTTTTTTGAGCTACATGTTCTGCTATAAAAACCTTAAGGATAGAGCTAATAAGGAATGACTCTTGATTTGGCTCAAAATGTCCCGATCCATACATTAAAAGTGAATTATTCAAAACCGTCAAAATTAACCTAAAAATCGACCTCAGAGAACCCGGCTTCCAAAGGCTGATCTATACCTCACACCAAAACGGGGAGAATCGTGCTAAAACATTGCCATAATGAACAAAATCGACCGACACCTATTTCCAAGCCTACCACACTGTCAAGCTCTCAACTATATTTTCATTTAGTATCACAAGAGTTTCAAAAATGATTAGTTTTTGTATTTAATGTAACCTTTCTTTGTTTTATGAATACTTACGTAGGGTACACAGAGATGATTTTTTTAGTATTTTTATCTCAATTTATAGAAAAACGTTTTAAGGGATTCGAAATGAAATATTGTGTTATAACAGACAGAATAATTCCGAAGATGCGTCAGTTAGATTAAATCTATAGCGACGAAGGAGTGGAAAGTTCTATCATGTCTTATCTGTGTAAGGGAGACAAAATATTATAAAAGACTTCAAATGTACTAATGACAATTATTTTGCTTTTTCTCCACCTCCATGTACCTCTAAGGAAACTGTACTGCCAAGAAACAGTTCCACTTTGAGTTCTACAACTTTGAAATGGCAGAAAGAATACTTCAAGAAATAGCTGAACAAAAAAAGCGTCTTACAAAAGCGCAAATCAATAAAAACACGGCAGAGAAAGCAGATGCCTACTGCAATCTAGGCGAGATTTATTACTCCCTCAGTAACTTCCATCAAGCAAAAGAGTACCAGAAGCAACACCTGAGCATTACCAAGGAAGTTGGTGACAGGGCAGGAGAAGGATGTGCCTATGGCAATCTCGGCCGTACTTATAAGTCCCTCAGTTACTTCCAACGAGCAATAGAGTACCACAATAAACACCTCAGCATTGCCAGGGAAGTTGGTAACAGGGCATGCGAAGGAACAGCCTATAGCAATCTCGGCGATGCTTATAACTCCCTCAGCAAATTCCAACGAGCAATAGAGTACCACAATCAACACCTGAACATTGCCAAGGAAATCGGTGACAGGGCAAGAGAAGGAGTTGTCTATTATAATCTCGGCGCTGTTTATTACTGCCACAGCGAATTCCAACGAGCAATAGAGTACTTCAAGAAAAACCTGAGCATTGCCAAGGAAATCGGTGACAGGACACAAGAAGGAGTTGCCTATGGTAATCTTGACGAGGCTTATCGATCCCTCAGAAAATTCCAACGAGCAATAGAGTACCACAAGAAACACCTGAGTACTACCAAGGAAATCGGCGACAGGGCAGGAGAAGGACGTGCCTATGATAATCTCGGCTTTTCTTTTCGATACCAAAAGGAACACGTGAGTATTGCCGAGGTATTCAGTGGCACGAGAGAAGAAGGAAGTGCCTATGATAATCTTGGCGTTGCTTATAACTCCCTCAGCGAATTTCAACAAGCAATAGAGTACCACGAAAAACGCCTGAGGATTGCCCAGGAAATCAGTGACAGGAGAGAAGAAGGAAGTGCCTATCATAATCTCGGCGTTGCTTATATCTCCCGCTTCAAATTCCAACAAGCAGTAGAGTACTTCGAGAAACACCTCAGGATTGCCCAGGAAATCGGCGACAGGAAAGGAGAAGGAACTGCCTATGGTAATGTCGGCGCTGCTTTTTGCTCCCTCAGCAAATTCCAACAAGCAATAGAGTACTTCGAGAAACACCTCAGGATTGCCCAGGAAATCGGCGACACGAAAGGAGAAGGACGTGCCTATGGTAATCTCGGCGTTGCTTATACCTCCCTCAGCAAATTCCAACAAGCAATAGAGTACCTTGAGAAACACCTGACCATTGTCAAGGTAATCGGCGACAGGAAAGAAGAAGGACGTGCCTATAATCATCTCGGCATTGCTTATGAATCCCTCAGCGAATTCGAACGAGCAATAGAGTACCACGAGCAAGGCCTGAGGATTGCCAAGGATATCGGCGACAAGGCAGGAGAAGGACGTGCCTATTGCAATCTCGGCGTTGTTTATCATTGCCTCAGCGAATTCCAACAAGCAATAGAGTACCACGAGCAAAGCCTGAGGATTGCCGAGGAAATCGGTTACAGGGTATTAGAAGGAGCTGCCTATTTAAATCTCGGCACTGTTTATTGTTCCCTCGACGAATTCCGAAGAGCAACTGAGAACTGCAATAAACAACTGAACATTGCCAAGGAAATAGGTGACAGGGCAGGAGAAGGAGATGCCTGTGGTCTTCTCGGCAATATTGCTCAATCCCTCTGCGACTTCCCAAGAGCAATAGAGCACCACAAGAAGAAACTGAGCATTGCCAAGGAAATCGGTGAAAGGAAAAAAGAAGGAAAAGCCTATTGCTCTCTCGGATCAGCTTATGCAGCTCAAAAGAACTTCAAAGAATCAATGGAGTACTATAAGCAACACCTGAAAATTGCCGAGGAAATCGGTGACAGGAAAGGAGAAGGATGTGCCCATTGCAACCTGGGTATAGGCCTTTTAAAATCAGGTTTTTTGAATGAAGGTTTAGATCATTTAAGACTCGGTTTAAAAATCTATGAAACAATAAGAGCCAGATTTATTTCCGAAGACGGATTGAAAATAAGTTTTCATACGAATCATCAATTTTTCTATACTCATATTTGGAAAACTTTAGTCAAGCTTCAGAGGAATGATGAGGCTTTATACGCTGCTGAGAGGGGACGGGCACAGGCTTTGGTCGATGCCTTAAAAGTAACTTATGGCCTTACATCACTTTCGCCCAGCTCAATTGAATCTGAAGAAGAAGTCAAATATCTTTCAATGAACACAACTGTTTTAACAGTTTTTCTTGCCCTGCAAAAGAAAACAGTCAATATCTGGGTGTTGGGAAAAGAGGGCAACCCTATTTTTAGGCAAGCGGAGATAGAAATTGGTCGTGAACACGAAGATTCCTTTACTCTGCTTTTAGACACTGTTTTGAAAAACATTAGGGCTGGCGTCGGTATTAGGTGCGAAAATCGGTCAATGGATAAGCTGAGTGATGCCTCAACTCCCTCAAGTACTCGAGACGACAATCAAACATCGGAGTCATCACAGGAGAGCACCGACCTTTTACAACCATTATATGATGCAGTTCTTGGTCCCATTGAAGACTTGCTTGATGGTGATGAACTAATTGTAGTTCCTGATGGCGCTTTGTGTAAGGCTCCTTGGGCAGCCCTGAGTGAAACTTTAAGGATCCGTACTGTTCCCTCACTGGCAAGTTTGAAAGTCATCACAGATTCTCCAATTGAATACCACAGTAAAAGTGGAGCCCTACTTGTTGGAGATCCATGCTTGAAGAAAATTACGGATAAACGGGGGAACCGCATTTATGATCCTCTGAGGTACGCAAGAATGGAAGTGGAGATGATTGGAGAAATTCTAAAGAGTCAACCTTTAACAGGTGAAGATGCAACCAAAGAAGCGGTACTTCGGAGAATCGGGTCAGTTGCTTTGGTACACATTGCAGCCCAGGGAAGGAAGGAAACTGGAGAAATTGTTTTGGCCCCAGGCCCCCGATGGAAATCCCACACTCCTAAGGAGGAGGACTGTATTATGAAAATGTCTGACATACAAGCTGTTAGGCTGAGAGCGAGATTGGTTGTGCTTAGTTACAGCCACAGTGGTCAAGGAGAGGTCTCGTCTGAGGGTGTGGTCGGTATGGCACGTGCTTTCTTGTTTGCTGGTGCTCGTTCCGTGCTGGCGACACTCTGGGCAATTAATGACAAAGCCACAATGATCTTTATGAAATCTTTCTACCAACAACTTGGAAGTGGAGAAAGTGCAAGTGTTGCTCTTCAGAGGGCCATGAAATGTCTTCGAGACTCCCACGATTATTCTGCTCCAAAGTACTGGGCTCCTTTTGTTCTGATAGGCGATGACGTTAAGATTGAATTGGAAGAAGAGTCATTGAGCAAGTCGTAAGTGGAGATTTTTTTTCTTGCTGTTCTAGTAACAAAAGGCTTAAGAAGAAAAGCTAGAACCATTCTTGTCAAATTCAGATAAAAGGAAAATGACAGACTTGATAATAAAAAGAAATATGTACAAAGTAAGGATGGGTTGGGTGGTAAGTGTTAAATTATTATGGATTCACTCAAGTAAATGCTATTCCTAACGGGCTACCAACACATTTCATCAATTGAACACTAGGCATTGCTTAATGTTCTCAATTGTTAAATAGTTTAGGTCAGGTGTGGATAAAAGATATACATAGGGAATAAGTTTCCTTCGTTTTTCTACGGGACTAGCACTATATGTAGAGAAATTCATAGCTTCAAAACGAACAAATATGTCTAACATGTTAAATGTTTTTCATTTTCCTATTTTTCATATCATCATCCATAGCATCCTAAAATTTAACGCTTTAACCTTTATTTTGTTTTCAAATGAAAGATTAATTAATGTATCAACTGTTACTTTCTTTACAGGGATGCGCTGAAAGTTTGATGGCAACACAACTGCTGAAGTAGCGTTTATATATCTGGATTTCTCCAAAGAAAGAAGTGCGTTGTTTAATAGCTGTCCTCAACGGGGCGTTTGGTAAAAAAGCGTGTTTCCATTTTAGTCATTTTTTGTCAGAAGATATTAAATAGAGAGATTTATAGTCACGCTAACGGCAAATGGCAAACCTCTATAGATTCAAGTTGAGAATTTCTCAAAATAGAAAATATGCAGATAAAATGAAAACAGCTCAAAGCAATTCTTATGGATAAAACTAACTTAAAACTAACAATTTTTTGTAGATTTATTTAACAGCAAACGAGAAAGCTCGAGAAGTAAAGGGAAAACTTAGTCACGTGGTACAAATCCACGGTTTGCCGTAAACGAAACTCTAAATCTCTCTAATTAATAACATAAAAAAAAACGTTGTAAATCAAAGGGCATACCGTGGAGCTCTATATTAGCCACGGCTACACTTATCAATTTTAACTTAGGAAAAAGACAAACAATTTTCGTGGGGAAAGAACTTAACGTTGTCCTGAAACTGACTGAATAGTAGTACAGATGATTGTCCCTTTTCTCGTGTAACCTACCTTAACCGGCAAATTATAATTTGGCAAAGGAAAATTGCATTGTAATAATTGTAATAGTCGTAATATTGATGATAATAATAATCACCATCATCATCATAATTTTAATACTTCCTTTTCAGTTTTCCCCCTCGGCTTTAAAGCAAATGACTGAAACAAATAATTCAAATTAATTTAACAGGGTTAACCCTCGGATGTACACGCAAATTCATACCCCAACCGTGGTATAAGGGGGAGGGGTGGATGGAACCCCTCCTCAGAGTTCTTGATCATGATAATTTGCAGTATTTCGAAACCATTTTGCCTTCAGTGGAAAGCCTTTGATCTAGGTGGCGCTGCTGGAGGCCTGTGACGTCACCAAAAGGGTCGCCATCTTGGATTTCACCAAGAATTTAAAATCAGGTTAAAATCGCGATTAATGATAATTTTCTGTGCTTCACATGTAAAATTACATTTAAATAAGCCCTTTCCATCAATTCATTGACATGTTTTTCTTTTATTTTTGAAAAAAGTTGAAAGAACATGCATTTTCACTCAAAAATGGCTTGACCACCTGCTATTTAAACCTCATATGTCGTAACCATAGTAACTGACCATCTCTAAATGCGCGCAAGGGATAAACGAACAGCTTCTGACAACGACAGCTGCTGATGTTATGTCGTCTAAAAAAAAAAAACCTCGGGGGGTGGAAGGCCGAGGGTTAAGAATCCCAAGTCTCCTTACGGGACGGAGACGAACCAATTAACTATATACAAGCGTGCCCGTGGTTTCACTACGCTGATTCAGATTTTAATCAGATAATTTGAAAAATTTCAAGTATGGACTGTAACTATTTTATGCATTCTGAACCGTGATTCTGAACCGCGTGTCACAATTCAGTGGTTTAAGGTCTGGGTAAAAAGGGTGTATTACGTTTTGTATGATTGATCCCCGGTTTCCCGGCTGAACTTAAAATTAATATGCTCATGTCTTGTTGATCCTTAATGTATAAATTGGTGGACAGTAAGAAATGCAGACTGCAGACTGAATGTAGACCATTTTTTTCAGGGTTAGAAAACAATGGGACTATCAGTGGCTTCATAGCTTAGTTGGTTAGAGCGTCGCACCGGTATTTTTTTCAGCCTTCTTACGCAACAGCATAAATCGATATCGCGTTCACAACTGCGAGGATCATTCTTCATTTGATTTCATTTCCGCAGTTTTCATATATGATTTATTTCATATGCAATTGCCAATGGGACGATTGTTGTCACGTTCCCATTTGCATGGTGAAAACAATGTTTTGCACTGAGAGCAGTCAGCAGTCTTCATTTTGTACTTATGTTATATATTGGGACACACATTGTGTCACTTAATTAAAACTGTTTTTAAATTTAAGTAAAATGGGATTTCAGAGACGAGTTTAACTTATATGGATAAATTATTAGCGTTTCATACAAGAGTAAACATTTTTCCTTCCACGTTTGGGAATGAATATGCTCGTAGATTTAACTGTAAGTTTTGGACGATACACTGAATAGCCTGGGCAGAGACAGGAGCGAGTGACCGCTGGCGAATTGGACCGTCTGAGAATCATTAGAGTGACTTTTGTCTTATTTTAATAACCCTTTTTTAGGAAAAGCGTTGCCAGATAGTCCTTCCATGCCTGCAAACAAAGGAAAAAGGGCCCGAAATCTAATTTTCATCCGAAAACAAGATTTATTTTCCTTCTCTATTTTTCCACCACCACTTCCTTGTAGAGCTGAGTCCGCCTCTGTCTCCGCACTCGTAGACTATTTGTTCTGCTATTAAACTAGGTTTAACTCTTAATCTTGTTTCTTAATTACTGCGAGTCATTTCAATCATAAAAAACGTTTTCGTGTATTATTGCGTTAGTGGTCCAACAGCTTTAATTGATGTCGACTTTAAAGTATCCAAACAGTGGAAGATATTAGATTAAGAATTTGGACGCTACAATAACTTAATGATATTTTGTAGTAATTGTGCTAGGTTGTAAAAGTTGGGCTTTTCATTAAGTAGATCAGTTCCAGATCAGAACACGTACACAGCAACGTTCTGGGGTTTGGCGTTTGGAAATTACAGCAATCGTTAAAGCTATCATCATTCTATCGAGTATCTGACCTATTTTACTGCCTCTAGGTTGCTTTTCTCGAGGCCATTGACTTTTAGCCATCCCTCAGTTATATTATTTAAAGGAGCTGCTTTAATTTAGGGATGTCACCATTAGGAAAAAGGATAGGAGGTTGGGGGAAGGCAAACGCATTAGTAATTAAAAAGTCTCCACACGCACCATGTTTAAAATAGTTGTTCGGGGAGGAAAAATAGATTTTCACCTCAGGAGGAGAGAGAAAACTTTCATAGACCTCCCAAAAATTCAACACAGCCCGTTACTTTCCTAATGGTTCATCCCTTATACCGCCCCATGTAACGGAATCCGGAATGTGGGAAAAATCTGAATGTGGAATCCGGAATCCTGGGCTTTGGAGTCCGGAGTACACCTCAAAGAATCCAGAATGCCACTAGCAATTGGAATTGAGAATCCAAGTTCCACTGACAAAGACTGGAATCGAGTACCAGTAATTCGGAATCTGTGACGTGTAATCCAGAATCCCAGACCATCGTGGATTCTCTTACATGGGGCGACTTACAGGTCGGCTGGTTGAACTGCTTCTACTTGATCCCAACACGTAGCACGATACAATGTTTAGTTTCTGATGTTACCTTAAGATAAGTTATGTTGTATTAAACCTGAAGAAAACGAGATGTTTACTGTGATTGTTGATCTCTTCGATGCCTTAAGCCATTTTAAAACAACTTCTCCTTGAATTGGAATAGTCAATATTTGATTAACAAACCACTCCCCCGTTAAAGGCGCTAAACATTTTCGATTCTAGGACGTTTTTCACATAATTTAAGGCATGTTTCTGATTCTGTCATCAAATTATCCCGCTAGGTGAATCGGTTTTCAGGCAAGAAAACCCAACTTTTAAGCAGAAGTTTGATGAAAACCATTTGACCTCGTCTCGCCATACAATGTCATAAGAAGCATAAAGGCACCAAAAACTTATTCCATTATATTTTCAAAGAGTACCATGGTAGTGACCCACAACTTTGCCACGGGTCTCTGGGAAGCCAAATGACTCAGTAAAATAAAAACGTGTTCAAACCAATTTCCCCAACCAGGGATGTACCTTTGAAACAGCAAAGGAAACTTTTGTGCATATTCATCAATATTCGAACCGTGGCGTTAATAAAAGAGTAGGAGGGAGGACTGGAACCCAGAAAAACGGAAGTAAATATTAAGCGGAAGTGAGGATTGGGAATTATTTCGCCAATCCCTCTCGGCCAACTACCCCAGACTCGTACCCAGTCGCTATTTATTTTTCCCCGCGCGCCTCAATCTTCTCTCCAATCTTCTCTCATCCCAAAAAGACATAAATAGTGAATGGTGCGATCGTAAACATTTATAGATTTTCCTCTCCAGGCATGGGCAAAGTCAATTTCACCTGGTCAATCGTGAGGCATGCAATACTGCAACTTTAAATCATATTTCCAAACATGGTCATGTTAACCAGTGCCTATATTGAACACCTATTGAATGAGATTTTGTGATATCCGGAATAATCAAAGGTCTAGGTGTTACCAGCCGAGCCGAAGGCTGAGGCTGATAACATTTACCGAGAACTTGATTATTCCAGATATCACATAAAGCTAAACTAATCACACATTGTTTTGATGAAAATCACAACACACCGTCGCACGGAACATAGTTTGACACTGCTCTTGGAAATCATGCATTGCGCGTGCAAACTGGAGACAAGTCAGTTATCTGCTAGCAGATAATTAACTAATCTGTAGTTTGCCCTGATTTTCAAATAACATCAACTGTAGGCTTTTAGCCAATGAGAAGGCACGCAGTAAGTAAAATGTATACTAATTTTAATTACAATATGTATATTAATTTATTTCAAAAAAGATATCTTGCAAACGGACTTGCAAGGAAAACAAAAAATTCATGCACAGAGTTATTAGTCACTATAATGAATTAAGGATGGTTGAGGATACGCTGAGGATATAAACGTGGATGGGAAAGACAAACTTCAAAAATTTAGCAAAAAAATTCCAGAGGCAGAAAAGATGACGTAGCTAGTCCTTGATTAAACCCCTCGCCAGTAGATGGGTGTGGGGAAGTAGCCTGGTCAAAAGAAGGGAGCCGCAAGGCAGCACAGGAAGTAACCATGACAACCCGGTGGGCGGGAACCAACACGCATCTTCATTGATGAGAGATTAATCCTTAATTTTGGCGCGAAATTCACATAGGTAATCACATGATTTGTGGTGATATTTAGCATTAACACCACGAGTGACATTTCGAAACTGTTATACGTAATTTCACGAGCCCTTAAGCGAGTGAAATTTGGGGCAATTTTGAAAAATTACGTACAAATCATGCTATTATTTGTTTATACTACTGCCGTCAAAAGGTTTGTAATTTTCACATGTAGGTATTTCAAATTAATCTATAAGTTATAAGCCAATCAAATTGCAGAAATTTCTCATGTAGTGGTATAACAGCGTTAATTTATAATTTCACTTGTGAAATTACAAAATTGCCATGGCAACGTTCCGTACGTTTCAGTGCCAATATGGCGTAGAAAATTCCAAATGTTATGAATGAAGATGTCAGGGCAGGGCATTTTAAGACGCTTTGGAAAACCCGAACACATGCAAGAACACATCAAGAACTATTCTAACAGGTATTTTGTCGCAAAACTTGTGAACTTAAGCCAAATTTTATGCTCTAAACCTTTCGGTGCGTGGAGTTCTTGATAAGATAAATAAGATATGTCACGTAAAATCACTCTTCCTAAGCTAACTTATTCTAAGAATTAGTCCATAGGGCTGCGGATACTTTTGACCACATCTAGTGAGGACATCACATTTACACCTGGAAGGACAAGTAAGGATGCCACGCTGCACCATTCTCTACAAGAACAAACAATTAACAATTATTGAAGGAGGGAGAGAAATTAAAAGTTATGTGTTTCGTCAGTTACGATCATTTGCGAACAAATCAATTATTGGTTTATGCCGAGCGCGGAAGTAGCAAATAATTGATCTGTGAGACAATAAGAAACCATTATTTTATTTTTTTCAAACCGAGCTCACTAATTGTTTTTAATTATCATTCAATCTGTACGCTTTGTTTGCTTTGTAATTTACTCGATCCTCATGCCAAAAACCCAAATTACACTTTCGAAGTTAGGGCATGCGCAATTTTTTCCTCCTTGATTTATTCGCTTTTCCCAAGCCTTTTTTTCTGTCCCTGGGTTTTTACAGTGCTTTACTTTTAGCAGGAAGAGGTTTTCGCAAAATCCCCGAAGTTCAAGAAGTGCATTTCAAGGCATTTCAGTGGGCTTGTGAAACAAGAGTTTCATTGGAATATTTTCTAGTTAAAGTTACGTTATTTGTTGCCCATTTACTCGTTTATGTTTCGCTGAACGACGCTTATTTGGGTATGGTTTTAAAGATCTTGTTCCCCTGCACAAGTTAAGTATCAAAGTCGACAATGACCATCCTTGTTCCCATGAGTTCTCTCTCTTGCTTCAAGAAAGAAAGATTGTCTCTCGAAGCAAGAGAGAGAACACTGGAAACGAGGTTGGGCAATGACCGTTAAAATGATGACGTCATGAGTGGTAAAAGGGACGTGGTTACACACGGGCGCCCTCTGGCGGTTGAAGGATGTGCAGAAAGTTCGCTCAATTTCTTTTAACTTCGCTCTGTGACCTTACCAGTAGTAGACAATACATTTGACCAATCAGGTCAGGACAATTATAAGTTGCTCGATAAATCTAACACAACGACTCACCTTGTGCTGGGTATCTATCATCATCGTGAACTCTTTGCTATCAGGAGTTAGTTTTGACTGATAATTCCAAAATGAACCAGCTCCAACAATGGCACTGGGCCAAATCTGAAATTTCATTATCTCATTAGCATATAGCGGAGTGTCCCCCCACATATATATAAGTTCCAGGCAGTAAAATGCCATAGAAAGGCCCATTGGAACAAACCACCTCAACTAATTTTGTCACCCATTGTTGTTAAAATGAACAGAAAACGGTGCACATTGCTAACAGCAATGTGTGCGGAATCAAGTCTCCACCAGATTTCTGGATTTTACCATCTAATGAAAACTAAAACAAGAGATTTGAAGAGTTAGTTCCATGTATTATTATTCTGGAATACAGTTAATCAAACTTGCTAAAGAGAGCCAGCATGGCAAACCTGGCGAGCTTGTCCCTTGGAATCAGGCCCCATACAGAGGGTCTTTAATAGGTTTTTTGGGATGTGGGATTCCTCTTCTTTGAAGGCCAGGACTCGGGATTTTAAAGCAAAAAGGGGGCAAGATTCGGGAGGTGGGGGCTTATATCTGGATGTCTTTTGTTGTTTACAGGTAAATGAGCCTGTAACTGGGGAAACTTATAAGTGGGGGGAGAGGGGGCTTATACCCGGGGAGGGGACTTATGGCCAGATGTGTCGTTTTGTTGTTGTTTTACAGGTAAATGGACCTGTAACTGGGGGAACCTATTCGTGGGGGGAGGGAGGCTTATAACCGCGGATGTATTGTTTTGTTTACAGGGAAATGGGCTGGTAACTCAGTGGGGGCGCTTTTCATTTGGGGGGCGGAGAGCTCATAAGAGGAAATTTATTGTATTTACAACCACAGATACTTACAATTCCACTCACTGACTCAGTAAATTGTGAATCGCTCTCGGGTCCAAACATCCACCATGCATCAGATTTTCCTCGCTTGTACAGAAAGCACTGATCTACAAAGCAGTAATCATCAGTCCACATGGCCATCTCACCACCCAGAACAAATGTCATCTCATCTGGATTTAACTTCAAAATAAGGCAAACAGACACAGCAAAAGATATGTTAAGGGTTATTTCGCGCTATTTGCTATCCTTTTAGCTAAAACGTGTCTTTGTACTAATTGAATTCCAAAGATTAATGGTCTAGTTTTGTAATTTACTATTCACTGACTATTTTTCCTTTTGCCTGTTACTACGGATGGCAAGGATAGAAATGGATTGAAACTTGAAAAAGTTGGGCCAACTTTAAAAACAATTCCTGCAAAAGTCACTTGTCTGCAGTTATTTCCATTCAAATCTTTTGTACCGCTTATACTTGTACTATCAAAAGATTTCAAGGGTCAATGGATTATTTTGAAGATTCACTCATGTTTGTCTTCTATTTCATTAGGGGGTTTAAGCAAAGGCGTTTTTGAGCGACGCAATGTCAACCGGAAGTGAGCCTTTGATCTCTTTTAATATGCCTTGAAGCTGCTAAATTTGTATTGCTAAGTGTCTTTCCTCTTATAGAGACCATTTGTCTGAAAATTTGCAAACTCATTTCTAGGGTCTTCTCGTTTTCAAAACCGAGAAGCCCCTGGGGACAAGTTCAAACTAAAATAAAGACTTTACTGTTATTATAAATGGTAGTTACCCCAGCTGTAATATTAGTCCATAGTGCACTAAAATCCACAAGGCTACTTAGGTAAAAGTTGCCACTCAGAGAGTTGATCCTGTCAAATTGAAAAACAAGATGGAGATGAATAACAATATAGACGAACCTCTCCTACGCAAACCGATCAAATAAGGATCAGTAAAATGCCAATTTTTTTTTGTTTTCTAATTAAAGTTTTGTTAAGGGAAAACAACTTATTACTTTAGAAGTTCAACTTTACCAGTCTTACTCAATCAAAAATATTGTTAATTAATGTCAAAATTGATATAATTTATTGTACAGTCAGCTTTCTTTCTTGCTTACACTTGAAATCCGCCATCTATAAGGGTTTTTACTACTGAGCCTTTCCATGCCTGGAGCACTGTTCCTTTTATTGCCTATGATGAAATCATTATCAATAAAATTAATGAGATTAAGTCATAAATAAAATAAATAAGATTTAATAACACCCAGTAATCTGCACGGACATTTTCACAAAACAGCTGACCTCATCCAGGCAAAAGAGATGCATGTTATATAATATATATAATACTTAATGCTTACAGCAGAAGTTGATATCAAAGCCTCTTGCCAGGCATATGGAATTTTTCCTTTCTGTTCTAGAAACTTCATTAGTTCTTGCTCTAGGCTTTTGGTATCTGTGTAGAAAATAACCACCCAAGTTATTGCATTTACAGAGATTTGCTTTTACCTGAAATAATGCTTGACAACATACTATGTCAAACTTAAAGGAAATCACTACTACGTGATGAAAGCTTGCATCCAGCATTCACTCGAATTAACTGCTGCATTTTGGACAAAGAGGTAATAAATGCTGCCCCCAAATGAGGGCCGCAGTCAGTTAGTCTTTATAATACACCATTAAGACTGATTAAATTATTGACATCAAAAGATACTAATTCTGTAGTTTAATACAAAAAATAAACATGTCATAGTTAAAAAATCCTTTTGTCACATTTGACCAACTTTCAAATAAATGCCTCCTCCCAAAACTGTCCTTAGCTATTAATGAAAAACCACACTATCTTCAATTATTTCAAAATGAGAAGTTACAATAATTATATATTCATTAGTAACAAACGTCAACCTAATTTAATTATTTTAAGAATATATATGTTACAACTTAGCTACTTTTTCTATCTCAAGTAATTTTTACTTTTCTTTTGTTTCAACTTTATTAGCATACATTCCCACATCCGAAAAAGAAAAGAAAAAGAAAAATTACCTGAAATAAAAAATTAAGTAGAAATTAACATATACATGTAACGTTAAAGAGTGATTATGTTTCAAAGTTTTTATTATGCCACAATCAACTTTCTGTAATTAAATTAACCTACTTTGTATGCTGCACAAAGTGGATGTTGTAACTTCATCTAAACCCAGGTGAAAGAACTGGTCTGGAAACAATGTCATCATTTCTTCAAGGATATTTTTCATTGTGGTAAGAGTTACTCCCTTGTTGCAGCAAGTACACCATAAGACTCATTAATAAAAGTAATGGTAATAATAATAATAATAATTATTATTATTATTATTATTGTAATTATTATTATTATTATTATTATAGTAATAATAATGATACTAATTGGATATCATATACATGTCTAAGTAAACAAACACTGCTAACATGTATTAACTAAAGGACTCAAACTACGGAAAAACCTTCTCATAATGATAAATTATATCTTTTAAACTAATCAAGCCTTATGAAAAGAGGCTTTTAGTGTTAAATCTGCTACATAATTAATTGATTAATTGGTGTTTTGTAATAATTTAATAGAGGACACTTCAACTTGAGGACTTTTGCCAAGTCCTGAGGGGAAACCAGATCACCAAATAACACTTTAATAGTGAGGCCCTGCCAGGGTAAATTCCGACAAGCAACGTGGCCCAAAAAGTAGCGACAGTGCCTAAAATGAAATCGTGACAAGAGACAACCTCCCCCGGCCAAATTGTGACAGTGACGGAAAAAGCCGACAATAAGCAACAAGCATTTATAAACACCGACACGAGACTGCCTCGTACCCAGACGTCTCTCTTTTGATGAAAATGTGCGGTTCATCACCAGTCACTCGTTTCGCACTCGCCTCTGCCATGCGAAAAACGAAGCGCCTGAGGAGGAGGCTGGACACGAGACATTTTAAAATTCAGATGGGCGACATAATTGACCCCCCCCCTCCCCCGGCAGGGCCTCCATATGAACAAAAAACAATGGATTTATTTACTTTCTTGAAAACTTTGCTATTAAATAGCACATCAATTCAGCTTCGTAGTAGAATATTAGACAGGCATGAGAAGACTTTAAAAAATTAAAGCAATAAGAAGGCTCCAACAGTCTCCACTTTTTCTACTTGCTTTGGTAGTTCACTCAGCGCTTTAATCAGCCTTGTCAACTGCCTGTCAATAGAAATCTCGAGGTTTGCCTTCCTTGGTTAAAAAATTTTCTTATGTAGCCAAACAGATAATCAGCAATAGTCATCAGTAGTCATGGATATTTTAAATGGAAACTCTGAGAGTTGATTGCAGTTAACCCTTTAAGTCCCAATAGTGACCAACATCAATTTTCTCCTAACGATATCCATACATTGTCATGAGATGAGGTTATGAGAATTAATAAAATGATCACCTAAGAGAAAATACTTTGATCTTTTATCAAATTCTCTTAACTAATTCTTAAAGGAAATGTATAGAGATCAGTTTGGGGAATTTGTATGTGGATATTGGGGCTTTAAAGGGTTAATCTTACCTGTGGGTCATTATAGAGTTCAAGAAATCCTGAATCATTGCAGAATCTCAGTCCTTTTGTTTTGTTGATCAGACCAATCATTCCAGCAACATGGGAACTGCATAATATCAAATATAACATTACAACATGGAATAAACTAACTGACAAACAATTAAGTGTGTTTTGTTTGCTTCCAGAGGGGGAAAAACAGGAACAACGTAACCTTACAAGACTTGTAAAACATAGCAATAATACTACACACGGACCACAGACATGCTGACACTTACAGTCCATGTACATAAAGACTTGATGTCTGAGAGCCTTAATTTCCACCCTCTATTATTGAAATAAATGTTTCTTTGTTGAAGTCGGGCAATATTATCCACTGATTACTAGGTAGCTGACTGTTCTATCACAGACAGAACGTGCAAGGGAATCTAGTGTTTGGTGCAAGCCTCTTGCCCCCCCTCCCCTTCCCCACCCCTCCACAGCCATAAAATGCCTCAATAGACCTTCGTCAAGTGGCGGCCATTTTGTCTGAGCAGGAGATTTAAAAAGCTTTGTTTGTGCACAGCTAGCCTCGTAGAGAGAACGAGACTAGCCATGCATAAACAAAGCTTTTTAAGGTCTATGCTACCCTTCTTGATTTTTAATTGCAAACTTACGCTGATTCAACCTCTGGAATAACTCTTATTCCTCTGTCACCAGCATAAGATACTAAATCTTTGATTTGCTCCTGGGTATAAAACTGAGTTGTGTTTTCTTGTAGTTCTGGGTAACTGAAAAGAATAAGAGAAAAGATGAAACACATAAATAACATAAATTTTGTACTTCAATTTCAAAAAGTAACATTCCTACAATCCAAAGAATGAATTACTAACTCAAGGCACAGTTTCAGATAGCCTTTCATGCAGGCTTATTTACGGCAGCTTGTATTTCATCCCTCCCCATAAATGCCTACTCAACCAGGTGGTACCAGGGGGTACTGGAATACACAGGATATAAACTTACTATTCGACATGTGCCGCTGTGAAGGGAATGGTTTTCAAACAGTTTAGTCTGCAATAGGGTATTTTTTTTATTAGAAATCAGGGAGTTCTTGCCATTTTGGTTGGTTGCTTATGAAAGCTTCGACTGTACTTTGAATACTCACAGTTTGCTCTGTACACTGAATCTACACCAGTCCAATATATGCAAGTGAAGCACATTTAACTTCACAAAGCTCATGCCGTCCAAAATGTTCTTCACAAGCTCAAAGGGAAAATACCTACGCCTGTAAAAAAAATATACAATCAATGGCAACAAAACCTTTTAACCACCACTGAATTACAAATCATATTGAGAGATGAATGTATGATGCTCACCCAGTGTCTAACATAAGGCCCCTGTGAACATATTGTGGTTGGTCGCCAATGTTGACTGTACTGTTTATCAAATTTCCATCTACAATCAGTTGAGAAAAAGTTTCCATTCCATACCTGCAAGAGGAGGCAAATTCACACTTTTAATATCTGCTAAAATTAAGTGTATTTAGATTGGCTGGCATCCACCTTCAAGATCCTGCCTATCCTACTCCGGATTTCAACTTGACCCCCAGAACAGGGTTGTAACCCAGAAGCGAGGAAGGGGGGGGGGGGGGGTGTGGGGTGGATAATGCTATATGTGGGATATATGGTTGTCATATGTTGGTATCAGGCATTCTCTTTTTCTATCTCTTCTCGAAACACAAAAATAAAATGCTTAATCAGGCCTGATCACAGGTTCAACTCACCATGGGTCCTGGCTATATCTGCTGACAGCACAGGGTGTCTTAAATGGATTTGGAATCACTATCTTCCTTCAAATCTCAATTTGTCTTTGCAAAGGAGTTGTCAGAGTCTATTGCCTAGGGTCTTGCCTAGTTTCAAACTAAAGAAGGCTGGGTACGAGCCAGTTTATTATCGGATAAACAACACGAGGAAGCACATAAGTCAGAAAGAGCCCATTGAGATTAGGAAAAATCTGTAGTCTGGTGTCGATTGGGCCAATATTGAACAAGATACAGCTATTTATAAACTTGAAAATTACAAAGAGATGTATGGATTGGGGGACACACCTTCTGGACGTCTATATAAACAGTATTTCTTATTTAATTTTGGAGTTTTTGAATGGCTATACAGTGTACACTGTATCTCATTCAATATAGGCCTGGCCCAGGTTGTTCAAATGTTGGATAGTGCTATCCACCTGATAAATCACTATCCACCCGATAAATATTGGGGAAGCCATTTGCGCTATCCAATGGATAGAGATTTATCCTGTGGATAGCATTATCCTTCTCTTGAACAACTTGGGCCTAATATAAACACCAAGCTTGAGAATGTTGCTGACTTCAATGTGCTCTTTCTGACTATGTAGGCCTCGTGCTGTTTAAGGAATTCGTACCCAGCCCCTCTCGGTTTGAATCTGATACCTGAGGAGAACAGCATGTCAAAAATGTTTTAGAGTGGGGTGGGGAAAGGTGAGGCGAGGGAGGCCTGGAGTATGACTATACATTACATTAGTTAAGTATATTTTACGTCACTTACAGTGCACCATAAGGGGTTTTCGCTTCAATACTAGCCTTTCCGTTGCTTACTTTTAAAATGTACCAGTAGGAAGTATCAACTTGCAAACTTTCGTTGTCACTGCGAACACTCAAGACAAGTTCACTCAGGGTTTGGTTAGCTCTGAGATGGTGATCCACGTTTTCCCCAGCAATTTGCTGCAGAATTATCTCCAAGTAGCGAGTGATTCCACGCTTGAGGACGAACGATGTTGATGAGGTTTTGAAGGTAAAAACTGGCGAAATCGGAAGAGGAGGTCCGGAGAGATAGATGGAGGTCGGTAAAGGCCAAACCGATGCATTTGAATTCACAAAGAGAGAAACGCTAAACAATGACAAAATCACAACGGAGTTTAAAACACTCATGTTTGGAAGCCCTTTTGAAACTACACAGGCAAAAGTCCAAACTACCACAATAAAAGCTAACGATGCAGGATGAGGCAGGTAGACGGCAAGCAGCCGACCGGAAATTAAACAATCGGCATGCCCAATACTCACTCGGTTCTATTCGGCTTCCATTCGGCACGTCCGAGGCTAGCTTGTCCGTATCCGTTTAGTGCCTGGATACCAAGTTAAAAGTGTGGTTACAATGCAGTTAAAAGGTGACTCAACCTTTGCTAGAAGAGCGTTTATAGTTGTATTTTCTTCACAAGTATGACACTTCAGTGGACATTCGCAGCTGGTTTTCTTTACGCTGAGATAGGCGTTCTCCTTTTATTCTGTTTGCCTTTTATTTCACCGAAACGGTAAGATTTCGCGTTCACGATTTCCTCACACGGCATCACAGCTGCATCAGCTGTATTCGTTTGCACTGAAATGGCTTTGTTTTTATCTTATACCTTTCAGATGGAACCAAATTTTCAACTCCAGGATTGTATCAACGTTATTTGAATATGGAAATTTCTATTTCAACGTGGTTGTGATAGTAATGGCCCTGTTACTTGCTGGTAAATTTTGTTTATACATTCAATAATAAAATGCGAGTTTGGAATGAGCTTTGGTGTAGCCAAGCCTAGTTGAAGATCGTCAAATATGGAGATTTATGAATACTTTTATAAATAGATTCTGATTGTTGAGAATCCCTTGTTCGTAATTTAATTTTTCAAGTCTTTGTCAAGTTTTTTGATTCTACAATAGGTCGCTGATCTCCTTGGTAAGCTTAATGAGCTAACATTTTTTTGTTTTTCCGCTTTTCAATTAAACTGTTTATAACCTCTTGATGAATGCAAGATATCCATATTGAGTACGCATCGATCTAAGCTAGTGAAAACTTAATAAAAAGGGAAAATAATCGCGAATACAGGGTGGTGTTATGAATTTTTTGTAGAACTTTGCTTCCGGGAAAGTAAGGAAAGTCTCTTTCACTTTCTACTTTGGAAATTAAGGGCGAGTTATCGTGTTCTATATTTGGCAAGGATGTACTTTCTTAAGAATGTTTGAGGTGATAACATTGTTCTTTGAGGTGATGCAACATAACAGATGAGAGTAAATGTATTAAATTTTCAAATGCATATTACGGTATTTTCATGCTTTGGAATGGAATTGAATTGTTTCCCATTATTCTGGCCTTAATAAGTTTATGATGCCATCCCAGTGGAGGATTAAAACAATTCACAATAATTGTGAATTGTTTTAATGCAAACATTTTTTTGGTATTTTACTCTCTGAAATTTTATATGGCCATTACAAAAAACATTCTAGAAATGCTTGGGAATATTTATTTACTAAAATAATACTTGTGAGCCAGGCAAATATCTAAACAAGTAATTACTAATTATTATTAATTACTTACTTGTGAAGACTCAACTTAAATAATTATTATTTAAGGTGGTTGAACACAGTTTATTAATATCAAACATTATTTCATCACCAGATGAAACACCGAGAAGAAAGACTTAGGTGTTTCATCTGGTGATGAAAATAATGTTTGATATTATTTTTTTTGAAGGAGGGATGCAAAAATGAGCAGTTTTTCATCCGATATCCAAACACTCATTAAACATTAATTTCCTTTGAATTTTCTTTATGAATTATTAATGAGTTTGAGAAGTGTATGTCATTCGCCAAATCATGACAAGAGAAAGGTTGCAGCTCACAAGCTGAAACTTGGCAATTGAAAAAAATACTGATTAAAGATTTTGATCGACAGGTAAAATGTGATGTTTTTGTAGTTTCCATGGCAACATGAACGATTGAATACAACCTTAAAATTTCACTTTTGCTCAATTTACATAAAATTCACTCATTAGATTTTCCTATAAACTTGCACACAGCTTACTATAATTAATCATTACAATTTGAAACTTATTTGACCAAAATTAAAACGGAGGGATTTTTAGATAAGAAATAATATAATTGTGCTGTAATTATTAAATGTGTCACAAAATTGGTCTGTTTAACTTCCATTTTAAATTACTCATTATATAAAATACGATAAAAGTAAAAATTCTGCCAAATATCACAAAATTTTAATGAGTAGATTTTGAGAAATCGACTTCTGTGTACCATTTTTTTTGGTGTGTTTTTTAATTTAATTTCATTTATTTCAAAGTTCAACAGTTACAACAATTACAGTAATTATCACATGGCATACATGCACACACTGACTACACTCCGAAGCACACATGCAATTATACAATAATTACTACACATGATTAGCCTATTTAAAGCTATGCAGTTATTTTACAAGTGTTTTCCAAAAAAAAGAAGAAACTAAACAAAGTAGATTACAAAGTGCACTTGTCCATGTCCTTCTGTGTACCATTGCTTTTTTTGCCGCCATGTTTGTTTGTCTAATTTAAAACATGCGCCGTCATGCAAGTTACTCGCTGACTGCCTGTAAAACTGTGTTCAGCCACCTTAAGGTAAGTCTTTACAAAGCCAGCACCTTCTCCTCAGTTCCTTAAAAACCCTACAGCTGTAAGTGTTGGTCTGGCCCAGGGTCTGAACCAGTTTATCATTTAAATGAATTTAAATTTAATATTGATAATTAGTTTTTAATTTGAATTATTTAATGTCTACCTTTGCAGATTCTATTAAAGAGACAAGAAAATATAGCAAAATTGAAACAACACCCACTGACCTACAAAATAATCCCCAAGCTGAAATGTTGGCTCATATGAAGCTCTTTCGTGCTCAGCGCAATCTCTACATTTCTGGATTTTCTCTTTTCCTTCTCATGTAAGTTTGCTAGTGTTCTAAATGAATCTCCCTTTCTGTGACTTCATACATGTACATGTACAATAACTTGAAAATAAATGGAGTGTAAAAAGTTATGTTGTAATGTGGTGAAACCTGCTTTACCCATATAAAGCACAAACCATTTTGCAATGCACTGCACAGACATAAGGGTAAAATAAAGTTTTAATTTGTTTTTCTTCAAACATAGCGAAAAAAAGTTCAGTGTTGTAGTTGACAGTTTGATGCCAGTCAGCCATCTTAAAAAAGAACCAGAGGTGTCATTTATTGTGCACATAATGCAAAGTCACTCTCTCCAAACTACAATACTGAACAGGGTTTTCATTACCCCTTTAAACCATAAGATCAAAATTTGAATTCTCACTTGTTGCTCCTATTCATTTCCTACAGAAGTAATGAGGAGAAGTTGATAAAATATCATGCAAATTCATCTTTTGTGATCATATCCATAATTCTCATGACCACTCTGTTGTACAAAGCATTGATATTAACATAACATAACATAACATAATCTTTATTTAACGTGGGAGAAACACTTAGCTAAAGCTATTTTGAAGGTTTTCCACAAATCAATGTTAAGAACGAAAGAAAGAAAATATGTACATAGAAGTGTAAAAATATAAAATATCTAGCATCTAAAATTACAAAATTAGATAACTAAAAGTGAATGTTCCTCACTTGTTTGTTAAATTCTAGTCCTCCAGCTCTTAATCGTAATTCGTTTGGAATACTGTTCCACTGTTTTGCGGCGAAATATCTGAAGGAGTTTAATCCATACTTTGTAGTATTTACTTTTGGCAGTGATAGCGTATTATTGCCCCTTAGATCGTACTTGTTGTCTCTCATTTTAACGAGTTCCTTAATGCAAGTGGGGGCGGTGCCTTGAAAACAGGCGTTTATAGTTATTAACATGTCCTGGACGCGACGGTTTTCCAGCGTGGTTCCTAAACCTATTCGCTGTAGCAGTTCATAATAAGCTGATGTTTTATCTTTGTAAACATATCTTAGTGCACGCTCATTTACTTTTTCTATTTTCTTTGTGTTTCTCGAACCACAATGATGCCATACCTGACTGCAATAATAAAAATGAGGCAGAACAAACGCTCGATACTACAAGGATACGCTCAATATTACAAGGAGAAATTTGATGCTGCTCACTTCTAGGGCTTAAAGGGTTAAGAATTCATTCTATTAGCAGGAGAAAGGGGTAACGTTACAGGAGAATATTTTGAAAGAGGCTCCCTGTCTGTATAAAAAGTAGTCATAGGCTACCGAACATTAGCCCGAGATTTGTGCGTAGTACACAAAGAATTCTCAGATCTCCAATGCCTAATAAACATCCTGACTGAACTTTTTTTGCTTTGCTTGAAGAACTCTTAAAAATTTTAACACAGTTTTGACACAGTTCTAGCGTAATGAATTTCTTCAATGAGGGTGATTGATTCCACAGCTTTTCTTCCCATACATGTAATACATGAAAACATCTCTTTTCAGCCGACTGAAATGAGGGTCCAATGAGTGTCTCCATAATTTATAGGTTTTACAGTACTGCTTCAAATGAAATACTAAACGGGATACAGGAAAGTACTGATCAGTAGCTTTCAGATGAATGGTTATGCTAACTTTCATTTCATTTCTGGAGGAGCTGTTTTTGCATGGAACCCTACATTACTGAATTTTGTGTAAACTGTGATGGTTTTTTCTTTGCAGAGTGTTGCGCCGTGTTGTGAGGCTTCTTTCTCATTGCTCCGTTCTTGAAGCTTCTAATGAGGCCAGTCTGAGGCAGGCTCAGAGTGCTTCTGATCAGTGCAAGCGGCTTATGGATGAGAATGAAGAATTAAAAAAGGTAATTTGTAAATTAAAATCTCAGGGGAAAAAATGACTTTGTAAGGATAGCACAAGTATTGGTGACCCAGCAGTGTTCACCTTGGCCCACAAATAACAACAGAAACAAACATTATTTTGAAATGAACATGGTTAATAAGAACCCCAACTACTGGCTGGAGATAAACGAGTTGGCTATTTACAAGTGTGGCTAAAGATTATTGCCTTTGAGGATCATTTTATTACCGGTAATTCATTAAGTCTTTCCTCTTGATTGTGTGTTGTTATCATGAGGTGAAAATTTATTTCGGCTACTCTTTGTAACTCTAACTGAAGCAGGATTAGCTCAGTATGTATAGCACAAGCAGGAGGTCGCGGCTTAAATTCCCAGGCCAGACCGATACTCAGGGTCTTAAAATAACTGAGAAATGAATGTTCTTCCTTTGCCTTGGTACTGCAAGCAGCTAGACTGTCGGGTGGCGCAGATGACCTTGTAAAATAGCAGTACCATCAGATAAAATGACCATTAAATACAATGACACTCAAATAAAGTGCCTCTTTTTTGTCTGAGCAGTCCTTGGAAAGCGCCAGAGGGGAATCTGGAGAAGGTGGCATAGGCGAAGATGAAGTGGACAAACTCAACCAGGAGTTGAAGGACATGAGAGATTCTCTTGCAGAAAAATCCAAAAAGCTGACAGAGAGGACTGAAGGTGCAGCTAAGTATGATGGTTTTAGCTTCTGGATCAAAATCAAATGTGAAACACATACTTTGTTGCTTGAAATTTTTGCAGGTTCTAATTTTTGCGATTTTCCCAGCGATCCGCGAATGTAAGTTACAGCAAATAAAAAACTGCCGCAAATATTTCTCCTGCAAAAAATTTACTCCAGAACAAATAACTTAAATTCACTACACAAAAATACAGTACTAAGAAATCATGTCTGTTCAATTACAAGTTGCCTCTTTCATTCAGTAACAAAACGGTATACCACAAATTACTGGTTTTACAGGGTATTGTTTGAAAATATGTATTTCTATGGCACGTACTGAACAAAAACAAAAATATTATCAATGCTGGGTACTGGGTAACTTTCTGAAAATTGCAAAAATTAATTTCCGTCAAGATAAACCAATCTATCCTAATGGCAAAAATTAGTTCCCGTAAAACACAAAAAATCGCAAATCTGCAAAAATAAACTGCAGCCACAATTTTGTGCCACACGGTACATGTAAACTTTTTCATTATGAAAATAGATGTAATCTGTCACTGTGTACGTAAGAACTGTACAATTATTTTTAAAACCAAAGATCAGACCGTTGATACCATAAAAACTTGTCAGTCTTAACTTTTTCTGTTAGCATCAGTTGATTGATCAAGATTACCTACTGAACAAGGTCTTTCCCATGACATATACATAATAAATCAACGACCTGTTACTTGCATTCAGTGGTTTGCTGTTATTGCAGTTTTCTTTTCAGTGTCTCAGTTTCCAAGTTTGGATGCAATTATGTATAGCTATACATGTGTATGAGTGTGACCGAGAGATGGACAAAGATAGTGAAAATGATATATATGGTCTGTTAGGCATGTTAGGCAGTAAACCCGAGAACAATGTGTCAGAATGCAACACTTCTGATCATCTACTGAAGAGTGATCTCCATATAGGTTTTTAAAAGAATATTTGCTATTCCACCTTTAAATACAGAGCTTGAGAAGACAAAGAAAGATTTAGCAGCATTAAAAGAGCAAGCTGCGGGACTAACAAGAGAGTATGACAGGCTTTTGGACGAGCACTCTAAAGCACAGGTAGGTAATGTATAGTAGGGAGGGGAGACACAATAACACGGTGTCGGTAGGGGAGGGTCTGCTCAGCCTGCTTTGAAACTGAAGACTGCTAGTGAGTTTGACAGCCTTTGGGTGAGTACCCTAAATAAAGCACAGTTGAGGAGGGAGGGAGGGAGGGGACATGATAACACACTTAGAGGAGGGGAGGAGAGGGTCAGTTTACCATGATGGAGCCAGCTGCTGGACTACATGTAACAAGAGAGTATAACAGGCTTTGGGATGGACACTCTAAAGCAAAAGTGGGTAGGGAGGGAGGGGACATTTGTTATAATACAATGATAGGAGGAAAGGGGAAAGTAGCATAGAAAATGTTTTGAGGGGGACCGCTATAAAGGCCACATTTAATTTGAGGGCGCAATTGACATTCAATAAAAATAGCTAAATTCTCTCTTTGTCAAAGTTTGTTGTGATGACTTGACCATCACTTTTTATTGACTTGTGAGCTCTTTTTGTTAACTTATTCTTTCTTTCTTTATTTATTTCAAAGGCACAGTTGGAAAAAGACGAGACCCAAACTAAAGAAGACAAGAAAGACAACTGAGATGGTTGGGTGTATGGCCAGAGATTGGCCAGGGATCACTAAACCAACAAACTGCCGATTCTAATATAGTTTACAAGGTCTAGTCTTGTAACACACTAGGGAATTTTTATGTTTGAAGGTCAATGAGCAATAATCTATGTGTTATCCACCTGTGTAAATTAAAAACAGCGTTCAAAAGGATTTAAACTTCTAAATAAATAGCTGCTACACAAATACAAAGAAAACAGTTAAGTAAGTGTATTGAGAAAATATGATTTATAACCATGATCACCGACAATAAAAACCAAGTTTTGTTTTGAGGTCATAATTATACTCTTACAAACTTAGGCATTTATGGGTTATATTCCCATCTGAACAATTTAAGGAATCATGTCAATGGATGTTTTTGTAAAAAACATATTCTCGAAATTGGATAAGTTTGTAAAGGAATAAAGTGTTATTCATTGACAGCGGTAAAAACTTATGTTGTGTGAAAATTTGCCTTGCCCTTTTTAAGGTTTAGCACGCGGTCTCGCTTGGTACTAAATGAGAATCAATTATAATTACGTCACAAATGACAGTCGAGAATCATTTTCAGATTTATCGAGCGCTGCAGTTGGTTTAGTAATTTAAGAGGAAATTTTCGGAGCTTTCTTCAAGAGCACATCTTCATAAAACAGGTTTATTCCGTTAAAGAAAACTAAAGATGGCGTCCGGACGTCAAAAAGGTGAGTTGAAAAACTAGGGAGAAAAAACAGAAGTTTTCTGTTTTTTCGGTTTTCAAGAGATTCGCGGTTGAATGATTTAGCACATGAACTTTTCTTTTTTTTTCGAGAAACGCGTGAAAAATCATTTAATTGTAGAAACGAAAAATTTGACTTACTTTAAAAAAAGTAGAAAGGGGGTGATAAAGGGTGAATATCACTTTATCTTTAGATCCAATTTGAAGTTCGTCATGACCTTTCAATCTTGACCCAACAACACAGAAAAACTCTACCTCCTTGGTTGCTATGGTTTCACACGCGCATAGCACACACTCGTGTCGCCACAATTTTTCACGTACATATAGGGTTACACACACTTGTTGTCACAATTTCGCCCGCGTTTAGCTCACGCACAATTTCTCAATTGACGCATGTTGTAACAATTGCGCACGTGTATCGTTTTCACACTCTTGTTACAAAAGCGCGCGCTTAGTTTACGTACCCTTTACCACTGTTTAGCACGCGCGTAGTTGTAAATGAGAAGTCTATTTGTACGTGACAAAGACTCGAGTTTCAGTTTCTGATTTATCGCCTTCCACTGCTCTTGAGCTATGGTTTCACACGCGCACGCGTTTAGCTCACGCACTCTTGTTGCTACGATTTCATGATTCACGCATGTCAAGTTGTCACGATTGCGTGCGTGCATAATTTACACACCCTTATGTTACGCACCCTCGTTGCCACTGTTAAGCTCTCGCGTGGTTCTAATGGAGAATTGTATTTGAGGACTAGTAGAACATTGTGACCACTGTAGTCAAAGCAATTCCCCATTCCACAAATTATTAGGGGTATGGGTACAAGCTTCGGCGCAAAGATTTCTGGGATCGTACGAGTGGACAAGCGTTACTTATGATTGGTTAATGGTTGCCTTGAGTACCATCGACCAATCATAACTAGCGCTTGTCCACTCAAACGATCCCAGACATCACTGCGGCCAAAGCTTGTACCTATTCTCCTACACGTTTCTGAAGTTAGGAATTTAAGAAACTTATTCATCTCATTATCTAGCATTCATCTATCTACTGGTTTGCGGGGTCTGAAAACAACGCAACGACAGGGATGACGGCGAGCAGAGATCTTAAAACTGAATTGACCAATCGAAGACCGGCAAAATGAGCAGAGAACTTGCTTGATACCGAACGAGCGTGCTTCGCGTCCGTTGTCTTCGAATGTTTTACTCGGTTTTTCGCGACTCTGTGTCTTCCAAAAGTGGGCAAGTCAATTTTGTACCGCTTTGCTGCTTCGAATTACAAACATATTTAATAGCAGCTTTATCTCAGAAGTTATGCTTTTCATATGCACAAAGTCAGGTCAAGTTAATTTTAATTTGCATTTGTAGTATCATATATCAGTCATACAAAAAATAATAATGGGATCATGACAATTTCTCAGATAACAATATGATGGAGGGCCTGATAATAGACCGGCAGTTCTACTGAAATGAAAGTTAGTGAGTAGTCCTGTCGGAGACGCAGTCTGAAGCCTGTACAGCACATAATTCACTACCCTTTGTAACCCTAAACACTACACCTCACTAATAGCTACTGCTATATTGTGTAGGCGTCATAAGGTGTCCAACCTCCTTCAGGTAGAATTATTTTGCCTTTATCAAGCCTGGTTATTGCACGCATGTACAAAGTTGGTCCCAGTCTATTGATACAGAAAAGACCTCACGGTCAAGCCATCGTTCATAATTGTTCTTGAACTCGCTGCTAAGCTCAACCTTCCCTCCGAGCACGCTCAGAACATCGTTATCAACTGGCTGATATTCATCCTCCTCGCTGTTATCACCCAGGCGTTCTCCGTTGTCAAAACCATATCTTCTGCTGTTGAAGCGATCTACGCAAGCGCGCAAAGCGCATTCCTCTGCCTGGAAATCCCACGGGCGCGCATCGAGATCTGTCAATTATAAGCAAAGAAAACGGGCTGTCAAACACGTCCTGCACAAGGAGAACACAATGAAATTTGCCGACACCAAGGCTTAAAAGAACTCACACTCTCTCTGATCGGAAAGGCGATTACGCTTTTTATCTTACAGTCATCTGTTATCCCAAGACAAAAGAAAACCACAAAATACAACGACAAGCTCTAGTTTTCCAGCTCCAACTTACACACAGCGATAATGACGTCTCGAGAAAATTTTAATCATTCTGAAAATACTAGCAGTGGTATACTATGTGACCATCTGCTATTCACAACTGGCCGGACTCAAAAACATTTTATTTGATTCCCGGTTTGCGTCAGTTTTCTTTCCTGAACTTTATGAAACTTTTCGCAGCAATCACAATAAAACACAATTTAAATTTAAGTTCACCATCCATTTACGGTCAGCATTCTATTGCCGCACACACCATTTTAGCTTCTTAGTAAGCTCTTTTCTGGAATATTTTAGGAGAGGTTTAAATGGATATGTAACCCCCCCCCCCCCCCCTCCCTCCCCAAAAATAGGTCTAGCAATCCAAGGAATACACAATACAAATCAAAGTAATTATTCTGGACTGAAGCAGTATTCAAATCCAGCGTTTCCTCCACTCACCGTTGCCATAAGCCCAATCGTCATTAAGACGATGGCGCACTTTCTGATAAATTGCCGACATGGTCTTCATGTTGCTCTTCCTCCAATTTCTCCCTAAATACTTTGTCTGGGCCTTCAGCAGCTGCGAGATAAAACAAGCACCAATTGTTGAAATATAACTACGAAAATCCGTTATTCTAAACAGAGACAGTAGCGTTGATTATCACCTCTCAGCCGCGTGAAATAAGATGACGAATAAATAGAAATAAATAACGATTTACAGTTAGCACATACACAGTGTCGTTCTTTGTCTACCTGATTCCTGATCGAACTGGAATTTCGAAATGCTGTTTTTTAAGGAGTGGAGAAAACCGCATACCCGGAGAAAAACCTTTCAAAGCAAGAGAGACAACCAACAACAAACTCAACCAACACATGGCATCCGCGCCACGTTGGTGGAAGGCACTGTGTTACCCTTTCTCCCCCAAGTTGAGTATGAGTAATATATCAAACAAATAGTTGCATATAATTCTCACGATGTACTTCCAAACATATTTTTTAACTCCCTGAATACTATCCGACGACAATACGAAGGTTTCCATCATTTCCGATGGTTCGCGAGGAGAAGAAGCTAACTGACCAGGAACCTTTCAATCAAAATCCCTCTGTCATGATAACGTACAGCAAAAGGCTATTAATAACCACTAGAAACAAAACCGTCTCCCCCAAAAAAGTTTTCCAGCAGAAAAATATCATTAACTAACCTTTAGCACATACAGTTGAAGAAGTTCGTGTTTGACCTTTAAAGCGCGCTTTAATATCGGCGCAGACTTGAACACAACCAGCATCTAAAACAAGAAAATATTTGGAAAATTTACTGCGATGATCATTCTTCACTTTCATCTACAACCGCAGACTATACACTTAATCCCCACGGGAGATATGAACTCAGTTTGAGCTACTAAACAACGAGACCGGAATGGTTCATCTAATTTTTTTTTCATCACTTTTTGCTTAAATTGGAAAATGAGAACTTTATGAACGCAGAAATGAAATGCGTCCAAGAACAATTGTTTCTCAGTTTGGTCGTTATCCTGGGGACACTGAACCGGTCGAAATGCGTTATTGGCCGGTTCGTTACAGGGACGCACTTTTAAATTTTTAAAAAAAAGAAATCTTTTAGGAGTTTCTAAAAAACGGTTGTTTCTGTTTTTCTTGAGGTACCACACAATATAAGCGACATGATAATCCTATAAAAAAGACACACCATTGTTCGCGAATGTTTCCACTTCGTAAGTTTCTGCAGTACCCGCACAAGATTGATACAAGAAAACAAGTTCCTCCAACAGCAGGCCTCTTGATCAGCATTTTCCTGTAAAAAAATAAAACGACGACAACGTTTCAGTCATTGCGTAAGTACCCAAAGTGCGTGGCGCTGATTTTGTTAAAACAAATAATGTGTCAGTTACCAGTCAGCAATTTAGCTAAATAGAGAGTGAAACCCACATGTACTAGGTTTTCTTTCCTAAATTCATCTCTAGATTATGAGCTAAAAAGGGAGATCGAAGCAGCTAGTTCTAATCGTTTGAGTGGACAAGCGTTAGTTTTGACTGGTTACTGGTTGCCTCTGGAAACGACCAACAAATCACAACAAACGCTCGCCCACCAAAAGGATCCCAGAAATCATGGCGCCGAAAGCTAGTACCCATTCCTCTTTACATCGGGTGGTTTTTGTTCCTGTGTTGGTCCTGTGAAATCTATGATCTTTCTTCGTTTCAAAAATTATGCATATATACCGTAAAATTCCGAAAATAAGCCCCTCCATGTATAAGCCCCTCCAAATATAAGTCCCCCAAACCGGTAACGCAAAAAACCTCCGTTGAATCGCCCCTCCAAATATAAGCCCTCCGGGGGCTTGTACTTGGAAAACTGCCCTCAAATACAAGCGAAAACAAAGCAAAAACGGTTAATTTACTTCCAACTATAAAGCTAGCCCGATCAATTTTGAAACACAAATTTCACTCCGTAGATAAGCCCCTCCAAAAATAAGCCCCTCAAAAAGGGCCTTTGAAAAATATAAGCCCCACGGCTTATTTTCCGAATTTTACGGTATCTGATTATTTAAAAGACTAAATTTTTTCTAAAGTGACAGCGCGTGGCCTGCAAGAGGAAAGTAAATACACTCAAGTTAAAGTAGTTTACCGGCCATTTTCAAGTTGGCATCATTTTACCACAACTACCAGAATGCTATAAGGACTTGTGGTCTTTTTTTCTGTTCATCGTAAGCTCTAGGAGCGCGACAATATTTAGTAAAAATGGAAGTTAAATCAGCCTCGACTTACCAGACTCTCGGCGGTTAATTCCAAGGGGTCACCCAAGATACAGGCTGGAAAATCGAGCTGTGGAATGCTAAATCAAGCAAAAACAGAAAATGACCTCAAACTCTTCCATAAGTCTTAAGCAAAGTCCTGTTACCCGTAGTACCCGGTGCAAGAAGTGTTTAATCGCTTAATTAAGGGCGGCGCTTATTGGGAGACAGCACAAAAGTCAGGAAAAGCCACTTCGGTCAATCATAACAGACGAATTAAAAATGAAAGCAACGTACACGCAAAAGGCGGGAAAAAAAGCCAGCATGGTGCTTTTTGTTTCTGATTGGCGGAGGAAGCAGCGATAATTCTGGCCAATCATCGGACGAAGGCAATTAAATTAACCAATCATCTTAAAGAAAGAGCGTACGGCGGACGAAAAGGGCGGGAAAACATGCGGGGGAAAACAATTTGTTTTGGTTGTCATTGTAATTGGCTGAGAAGTAAAAGCGAGTGTTGCATCCAGTACTGAACAAAGCACGACAATTAAATTCAGTTCGGTTTAAAAAAACAAGTTGTAACTTACGTGTTTTTGGCCGCAATGAACGCGGAGATGTTCTGATTTAGGAACTTCAGGATTAGAGGAATGCAGTTGGCGAACACAAGATGCTGGCTCATAAATTCAAACTAGAGACAGAAACGAGACAATAATGTTAGGTACCAAAAAAGACTGTCAACCATATGCTTATTTGTATACGCATTGCACGCTTTGCACGAAGATTTTCCTCTTTTTTCGCCGTAAAGTGCTTTTAAAGTACTCAATTGGGCAAGTGGCAACCTAGAATTCGAGAAGAAGAATTTTTTTAGTATTAAAAATATAAAACCGAAGCCGAAAGAAGTCTTGTTTAAAGTATATATTCCGATAACAACTAAGAATTCAGTCCAGCTCTACAAGACTAGTTCGCCCGTATAACGCAAACATAACACCTTCGTTGTGCGGTTGTTATAGTTTGGGTTAATTAACTGTCTACTAAAGGGTATTTATCTTTCATTGACTGACCAGAGACAGTTGTAAAGTTCTCAAAATTGCATTTCGTAGTGAATAGAAGAAGCCTGGCAACATTTAAAAGCGTACAAGTAAATACACTAATAAGGACTGGTATAAGTGAAGATAAAAGGCAAATTTCCACCAGCATCGAAAGTTGGATTTTGGTGTTAGTAAACTGCATTTAGGAAATCACTATAAAATAAATTAAACTCTTTTCAACTCTTCTCCATCAAATGATGCTTCCTAGAGCTTCCTATTTTTAGGCATTTCACAGATGTCTACGAAGCTTTGTTTTCGGCTACCTGCTTATTTCCCGCGGACTTCCGAGTCGCGGCCATTATCTTACGACGTTTACCAACCACTGAAAGGATTTAAATTTTTTGGGCAGTCAATGTTGACCTTACCTGATATATATGATTCAGCTTAAAGTGTTTTAACAAAAGAAACAGCACTCCTGAAATGGCTTTCACTATGATCTCCTTCAAACAGAAAGACAACAAGAAGGAAGAAACAGTTACATAGATGCCTGCAGGTTTTTTTGTTTGTTGAAAAAGCTAGCGTTAAAAGAAAATTGGAAACAGTTAAAGACTATTAGAAACGTCTACAAATCAGCGCCGAGATCCTTGTTCTAGGCATCCAACGAACTGCAATGAATTACCGGAAATACGTTTCTAATTTTCCTCTAACTGTGACAAATCAACCATGGCTTTTTTTACCAGGCCAATCTTGGCGAGTACTCAAATCCTGGGACACAGAAAAAGGGCTTCGGCGGTGCATCGCAGATGGATTTAACCAGAGGCTAAAAATATATGGAATCAATTTTTAACCTACCTTGTGTCTATTAACATCAATTCCTAATCTCATGGAATGAAGAACAGATGAACTAAAGAGTAAAAAAGATATCTAATGAAATGAGATAACACAGTGGGACGGGAGGGAGAAGGGGTTGTGGTAGGGGAGGGTGAAGGAGTTGGGAAAGACGGCGTAAAGAAGCTACAGGACAGTATTTTAGATCCTATGGAACTGTTTATTATTATATATTAAAAACGTGGTTTCTACCTGTCGAATCTGTGCCGGATAATTTTTTTTTAAGTTTGACCAGTAAAAGAAAAAAAAAAGATTTTGTACTGTCCAGTGATTAGGTGGTTCTGGCTTTCGACTCTACGGATGAAATTCCAAAGTGTGACCTAGCCTGCGAACAGGCTCCAAAATGGAGTGGGGCGGAAACGAAAATCGGCGACGCTCAGCTCACTTCGCTCACTGATTTTCGTTTTCGCCCCACTCCACTTGAGAGCCTGTTCGTAGGCTAAGAGTGACCATTCAGAGCTGAGCAGTACTTTCTGTGGTACTCACTTTTGAGTCTGTGGATTTTCGTTTTCGCCTGAGCAGTCCTTTCCTGTGGTACTGTTTATTAGCCTGGTTTCTTTTGAGCTGTGGATGGCTAAAGTGTGACCATTCAAATGAAAGCTACTGAGCAGTACTTTCCTGTGGTACTGTTTATTATGCTGTACAGGGTGGATCTAACTTTTGAGTCTGTGGATGTAATCCTAAAGTGTGACCATTCAGATGAAAGCTACTGAGCAGTACTTTCCTGTGGTACTGTTTATTTTGCTGAATACCTCAGTTCGTATTAATGAATCTAAGACAAATGTTTTGACAAAATCAACTCACGGCATATCCTCAGGCAGCACATCTGCCAGTATGTTTATAGACTCAGTTTTAGCTTTAGCAGTAGGGGCAGCAGCGAGAAGAATCTTAAGCAGGGCGATCTGAAAGAAAAATAAAAATCTGTGAATCTTACTGCTGTGTAAAGCTGGATTTCGGGACCACACAAATCTTGTCTTCTGGCGTTCAACCCAACTTCGCCTACTAAATCTATTGTATTCTAGACGTTCCCGTTGCTGTCGCAGTTGTAGATTCCTGTGGGCTTTATTTACACAAAACGAAGTTCGAGGATTTCATGGCAGTTTAATCCACAGGAGTTGTTTTGAACAGTTTTCAGCCGCTCGTTTCCTAGCTTCAGACGGACGGGACTCTCTCTATCTCTCTACGTGGATATGAAACATGCGAGAACAGACTTTCCCATAGATGGATGAGTGGAATTTTTAGAACCTGCTTACACTACTCACCATGTATTGAGGTAAATTAGGTAGCATTGCTTCGTACAACTGTTCCACAGAATTTAAAGGAACGTCGATTTTTCCCTGTAAAGAATGCCAAACTAACGTGTCACAGCAGTTTGACTAGCAATATAAAATCATCTTTCTCTCACAATACCTAACGCCCGTTTATATAGGAAAACATGTCCCGAGTTCAGCTCTTTAGAGCTTTTACTCCCGGGGCGGGTACTCAACAGGGTTTTATATGGTGAGGCTCCGCCCCGAGGTCCAACCCTGTACCCTTTTATGTACCATTTTTGACAGAAAAAGAGCCCCTGTCGTATACCTTTTATTGACAAATGGTACCCTTTCAAATACCAAGTATAAACCTACGCATCCCTATTAACTACTGTAAATGCACTGTCTTATAATTAACAATTATTCCACGAGTGCGCGTTGGATATCAGATGGTAGATGGCAACGAAATATCGAGAGTTCTCCCGACTTTATTTTTTAAAACAATCGCGTTTCAGCTTGTTTTTAATTTTGAGCAGACGCGTACAGTTACCATATTTGGAGAGGATGGTATAATGGCTCATATACCATGATGGCTAAGCCAATGAGAGCTCTAGAATTGCATTATCCAATGATTCAGTTTTTAATAAATATGAATAAACCACAAAACCGGAACGTTTTCTCTACTTCTTCACAGCCATAACATTCTTCTGTTAGTTCTTTGGGCTTTTTCCAGACTGAAATGATAGATGTCCCTAACCTTTCCTGTACTTTAACAATAGTGAAATTCCCCATCCTTTCATCTAACTAAAGCCTCAAAAAGGCACCCTATTCGGACGGAGCCTTCCCGTCTGGGCCATTATAAGGAGTACCCCACCGGGCCTCCTACCATCCGTCGGTCAAACAAAAATATAAAGGCCATTTATTGCGTCACCATTCTCAACAAGGCCTGATCGTTTAATTGAGGCCTCAGCAGTACTTTCGTAAAGTATTTCGGCAATCATAATTTTACACCATAAAATTTTGCGATTTTTCGCGAATTAAATACCTTAGTGAAAGGCCTGTTGGAGGCCTCCTCTTCGTCTTTGATCTGAATCTCAGAAAGTGAGACATACATATGCTGTGGAGAAAATATCATTCTTATAATATCAAGCCTTATGCTGGTCGAAGGTTTTTCTCAGTTGCTCCGCGATCACAGTCAAACCATAAATTATCTTCAGTTGCTTCTCTTTGTTTTATTTTTTATTTTGCACTTGTTGGTAAAGAACTGTTACGAAATAGTCCATATTTTACATGAAATAAATAATAAAAAAACCTATCTAACATCTTTTTTTCCTGTCAAAGCAGTCACTTTTGCACTGAAAATGGAAACACAAAAAACAGTGCGAGCGTAATTACCTTTTTGAGAATTGAAAGTCCTTCGTGTATGGGCCCAGGAAGACCCGCGATTGTGTGAGAGTCGCTGCAAACAATAAAATATATTTCTGGAACATTACTTTTCGTTAAAGTTACTTAGTCCACTTATTGTATACAATACTGAAGAACATTCTATTCGGCTGCGAAACAAAATAGGCAACTTCCGAGTTGCCCCAGGCCTCTGTTTCAAAGCGACATAAGTGAAAAGCTAATGATATGAAAATGATTTCTTATTCCCACGCCAATGAAACGTACTATCTCAAGAAAGGTTTAATTTGCACTTAGCCTCGTTTAAAAAGCGAGGGTTTTGGAACTCGCAAATGGCTTATTGCCCATCTGGAGGTTGGATAGGAGAATGGCTATGTGTTGGGTCGAACTGCACTATGGGACTGTTTGTTTTTTTTTTTTGGAGGGGGGAGTGGGCGAATTTTGACCAGTTCTCTGCGCAACCTCGTAATAGCCAAGCGTCCCCAAACAGTCCCATGATGCATTTCGACACTGCCGTGACCCAGTGTCACGTTTAGCCTCAAAATAGCTTATATAAACTGTGGTGGGGAGGGGTGGAGAGGTCCTGGGGGGGAGGGTGAAAATTTTGAAAATGTGAGTAAATCTGAATAAGTCAGCTTTGCGGTTTAGTATAGACAGAAAACATTTTTGAAAAGAGAATTTTTCCAAGACGCAGACCATTACGTGACTTCTCTCGATCTATAAGCGTCAGACAGAAGACATTACATCCATCTTTGGCATAAACTGGAGAATAAAGATGCCCTTTTGTAACTTATCTTTGCGCTTGCCTTCGCTCTCCTCAAAAGAGCGAAAAGTACCATCTGTTTTGCAGACTCATTAGAGACCTTAAGCAAGGACCACGACGACCGCAGAGAAAACGTCGGTAAAAAAATGAATTTGCGTTCTTTCAAACTTAATCGCGTCTATTTGGACCCGCTAAAATGTCAAACGCAGGCGACTTTTCCTGGAGTTGAATTCTTAAGAATTTTATTCAGGTTCAAAAAGAGGAAGGAAAATTCTTCGTCATATGTCCACGTCCTCCATAAAACGGCAAATTAGGAGGTTTCATGTCGTAGTCGTGCAGTGGACGTCAAAGAAATGTACTAAAAAGCGTGAAGCACGTGCAGAGCTGTTGTTTTGATCATTAAACCTATTGTTTTTTGAAGTCGTCGTTGTGGTCGTCGTCGTAGTTGCTTGTGATTGTGAGAGCTAAAACACGGCGTGGTGAGGACTGGGATAAAGTGGCCTCTTCTCTCTCAAGTCCTCTCTCTTTTTTTCTCATTCTTTTTTTTCTCTTAGCTTTTCTTTCGCGTTTACTAACTTTGACAAATCAAAGAAAGTTAAGAGAGCTGAAAGAGGTTTTCTAGTGAAGTATCACGGGACGAAAAATGGGTATTGATTTTAAAAAAGTCAGGTCAGATGTAAAAAACACGGGGAAAATTGCATTCGCATTTCCATTTCCACTGAATAAAAATGCTTGAGTTTTTTAAAGGTGGAATAAAGAACATAAAACGTGTGATATGGCGCTTGTTTAGTTCAATATCCCCCTCATTTGAAGTATTGAAACAAAAAGCCCGCTTCGTGCAATGCTAAAATGGAAAAAAAAAGGTCACTAAATAAACATGTCAACGGCCGTACGGACAGAACTGAGTGCTTTTACACCCTTCGACAGGAGATTTTTCCTTAATTATTTACTGTTATGGTTCTTGTTGACATGGTATGGAACGTTTCAGCGTTATATGTATAAACAGGTAAAGGAAATATTATCACGTCTTTCAAGAACAAGTGTCACAAAGTGCAATGATCAGCGATTTTCTGGTTAAGGAATTTGCGAAAACCTGTTTCTACCGGATCATGTAATGTAATCGCGAGGGTGGGTACGAATAATGGTGATTAAACAGACTTTAGAAATCAGAGTAGAATCATATCAAAACTAGAAATATACAGATTATGTGTTTTCATAACCTCAGTTAACAAAAATCACACGCCCTTTCAACAACACAAATCCTTGTACATGCAAAATACAATGTCGCTTTGTCTTTGCACATAAAGCCTAACAAATAACAAACCTTTATTTAATAGGGAAAATCTCTCTGACAGTCAGTTTCAGATTATGATGATAACAATTTACTATTCTTTAATGTCCATTAATCTTAGTATTACTTAAGGAAATGCCATCTGTAATTGTACTATCCAAATGAAAGCTATCAATCTGTACTAATTTCCTGTGCAGGTGAGTTTTGTTTTTGCAGAAAATGAATCAAGTTGAAAACATTCTTTAGTGTCAGCTTTTTCAAAAACAAAATTAATCAAGGCTGTGAGCAGGATTTTCCTGCTCTGTTATGATGAGAAGTGCAACGCAATCTGCTAATTTTTTGAGTCCATCGCCGCGATCAGTCAAAAACCAAAGGTAATCTTGAAAATAAGAGCTGGGTAGAACGTTTTCAAGGTAATGTTCACGGGCTTTGTATACAGTAACGAATAGTTTCAAATATATACTATATCTCTGAATTAAAGTCTTAAGTGCAACCGTGGAAAGAAGGCAACGTTTGGCTGTAATACATTTTATTCTACTTTACACGTCGGTTCCAAGCTTTCAATCTGTGAAAATCGTAGAGTATGATCAATGAAAATAACATTACCGCGTAGTAATTTCCTGCAGTGGTTTAGCAGTAATTCAAGGATTTTTTGTAGGGTCAAACAAACAAACATTTAGACAAGTTTGTGATTTTAGTAATGTTAAGAGCTTTAGAGCTCCCACCCGCGTTTAAAAACCTGAACTTTTCTTTCACATAGTTTTCTGCGTGATCAACACCTGTTGATACTAAACACGAATCTCCAGGCAAAATCAAAACAAATTCCGTTCAAGATTACCCTGACCACGGCTTGGAGAGATCGAGAGAAGTCACTTCCTGTTAATAACGAACTTAGCCTTTGCATTGGTCTGCATCACAGCCCACCTGCCACAGAAATTCCTCAAACGATCTTTCACATTCGAGAACTGAGACCTGCGCCGGGGGGTGAGATTCAGTGAGACAGGGCCTGTCGTGTCCGAAGCGGCCGGTCACGGTATCTTTTATGGTACAGTATTTTGATATTTGGTTGATAAATACAACCTACGCCGCTTCTAAAAACCTGGACAAGAGTAACCGTTCTAACAAAACGATTTAAATAGGATTTGTTCTAGAATTTTAAGAGCCTGGAACCGGCTAAGTTTCACTGACGTTTATATAAAGTCCACTTAGAAAAAAGATTTAAAAACGACCTATTGACAACTTGCGAACTGGCGTTGCCAGTTTCCCTCAAAATCGGGTATTATTGTTACTCGTTTCGGGGCAATAAAAATGACGTAAATTCTCTATTTTATTTCCCTCAAATATTATTTAGAACTTTCGCGGCACGGCAGTCCTAAATTGATGGAAGAACTCCCCCCCCGTCCCCCGCCATCTTCGATTTGCCACAGCCAGATCACTAATGGTGTATTGTTCTTCTGACAGCTTGCCTGGAAGCGTGCATGCAAAAGACACAAAAGAACAAATTATTAACCGATTACATGACGTCACCGATTTAACACTATCTGGCAAAAAAAATATCCGCAAATCTGAGGTGACACGCGCAGAGATTTGCTTTCCGTTTAGCTGGAGCGAGCTGTTTGGCAGTGATTTAAGATTACTGTACTCAACACAGAACCAACGATGCCTCGATCTTTCTTGATCAAGAAGAGGCAAGAGAAATCTACCAAAGACGCTTTTTATGAAGCGAAGCCGAAAGGTACGATCTAGTTTCATTTTGTGCACTTGTCATTAACTAGAAAGGCCAGCGCCCGATCATTCCATGTAGGTAACAAGTGTAATCATGCCAAAAAAACTCTGTTCGCTTTTCTTCGCGTTTTTCCTTGAAACTTTCACAGAAATTCATTTCTTACACATCTCAATTTAAAATGAGATAGTTCTGCCCTGCTTTTACTGCTTCAAAATGAAATTGTAAGCGCTCAATAACTTCACAGTTTTCCGGTGTTGCGATATTATTTGACAGTAGAAGCACATGGTTAACTCGCGATCTTGCTTTAAAACCATCAGGTCGCCTACTTGACCTCCGAGGTGAAACTATCACTGATTCCGTGCAAACTCAAGAAAATTCGACAGTGCGGAGTTGGAACGGTTTCAGAACGCCACTGATTTATCCAGCAGAAATAACCACATCGTATAATTTCCAACCTCGCGTACAGCAGTTGCAGTGTGCACCGAACCTGAACCAAGATGAAAGGTTGTTGTTGACACACGAAGAAAAACCGGGAGATTGCAGTGGGAAAAAAGTAATGGAAGAAAATCAACAGTCAACAGATTTCCCGAAGAATTCGCGCGCGGTAAAAAAGCACACGTGCGATGAATGCCAAAGAAGTTTCGCGACAGTTGCGTCGTTCCGCAAGCACCATCACCGTCGAAAGGAGTTTGCATGCAAACACTGCGACAAGACGTATGTTTCCCTCGGAGCGCTTAAGATGCACATACGCACGCACACTCTGCCGTGTAAGTGCACAGTCTGTGGGAAAGCTTTCAGCCGTCCGTGGTTATTACAAGGCCACATTCGCACGCACACGGGGGAAAAGCCTTATCAGTGCCCTAAATGTCAACGCGCGTTTGCCGATCGTTCAAATCTGCGAGCGCATTTGCAAACGCACTCTGCAGTAAAGAAATACTGCTGCTCAAAATGCACGCGTTCATTCTCTCGCATGTCTCTTCTACACAAACACCAATACACGTGCGGTGGTGATCAATGAAGACTAACGTTTCGCGATTCTATTTCACTGTTCTGATCCAATGGAAAAATCAGTGCAGCAAGACTGTTATTTGAAACAAGTTGTTAAGGTTGAACAAGTGCTCGATTTCTATTTAAGACATAATTTGCGGCCCTAAAGTGTAATACGTAATTTCATTTTTTCTTTGGTCGCATAAAACGAACGTAAAAAAAAGCTTGAGACGAGATTTCTCGCAGTTTACGTTCTAAATAACATTTTTGACACCTTGTGATTGAGTGGTTATGTAACACATTTTTTTAGACAGTTTTTAGCTTGTTGGGCTACTTTATTTATCTGTTCTTAGATTCCTCGAAAGACGTGGACCTTGTTATTTCATTTTCTTAGATCGCGGGAAAGTTGGCCGTACATTGACAAACGAAGAAAAAACACTTTTGATGATCTTAAATTCTTTGTCTCGGGTAATTATGAAAAAGAGCATTATTTAGGTCAATTACAAGTATTAATAAAATAACGTGACAATAATAGGTGCCAAATCACAGCTAAAAATAAATAATAAAAAAAAACGAAGAGTCGAAAGAGGCTTTGACAAGTAGCTAGACTGCTTTATCCTGTTAATGCAGTTTAGCAAGGGGTATAAACAATGTTCTAGATTGTCTAGATTTGACTCAGAAAGTTCCGTTTTATTGACCCCAATTGCCTCTGTGGATACATACTTTAAAATGTTGGCAAGAAAGGTAACAGCTGAGCTGTCGGTCTCCTTTGTGTACGTTAAAGGAAACTTCGTTCGCTTCGAATGCACGAAAACGACTGAAACGAGTGACTTCGCTTCATCAAGGAAATTGTCAGCGCGTTATAGTCGTCAAATTTGTTTGCGAATTCTTGAACGGGCTGGGCTAAATTTGGTTGTGAAACGGCGTCTATGAAAAGCAAGTTGATCTAAGACAAACATCCGATTCCTAGCAAAAAACAGCACAATGAACACCTGTTGGCCTGCCCTGATACTGCATCTGGGTATGGGGTATAAAAAGTGCAGATTAAAATTGGCTTATAAAACAAGTTCACAGTGAAATCAAAACATTCATAAAAGAACATTAAGCCAAAGAAAACATACGACGTGTTACTGAACAGTCGTAAAACTTCAGATTTCCGATTTCAAGGTATTTTACTGAATAACTCATTCCGTGTGTTGGATTTAAGTTGGACAGAGGCCAACTTGAATTGCACTACAAACGTGCGGCACGTACGCACTTTTGATTAATTTGCCACTTCAAAGTGCAATTCGAGATAATACTCGGTTGTTATTAATACCTACTTAATAGGAAGGATTGGGTCACAAACCGCACAAAAAGGAAGTTTTGACCTGAGAATTTCAGAAGGTGTTACCGTTTCCTGCACTTAGAAATCGCCAGACGAAGTTAACTTTTGTTAGTTCTGTGGATGAGATCTTTCAGCGAGACTTTTAAATATATTCTCAATGATACTGTTTAATGTGTTCACGGCTAAACAGCGACAATCCACTCTTCCACCTCAACTGCTACTTGTAAGCCTAACAAAAACATCGAACGCACTGTCCTAAGCTCCCATTACTCCTAGTAAAACATTTTAAAATTTGTCTGCAAGTGCATTCTAATCGCCGCGATAAATTTTTAACGGTTCTTCCTATACCTAGACATATCTAGGGTTACTCATGCCTTCTAAAATTATTCAAAGGTTTAAAGTTTTCTGAAACTTTTATCAAGACCGAAAAAGGTTTACTAACAAAAACATGAGAATGCAGGTTTTCTGAGTGAATATACTATGTCTTGCGTTTCGACGGCCACATTTTATCAGTTATTTTAGGACCGAACATTTAAGGGGACCTTTCTGACTAACAGAAACCTGCACATCGAATGTCAATGTATTTAGTTATCAAATTAGGAATTAAAATATAAAAACTCATCTTTCTTGCGAACTTCGACTGAGGACAAGGTTCAAAACGCTAAAACCATTTTAAACGTATTTTGGTAATCCGTGGTATAGGCATATTTTCATTTCTAAAAATTTTTATTTTAGATTTCGTAGTATTGTCTAGTGATCCGGGGTTCAAAAGCCCTTTTCGAAAATTTCAGCCAGACAAAACTGAAAATTCAGGTGACCTTTTTAGGGTAAAAATCCGTTAAAAATAGGCAAGTTCATATTTTAGATGTTCGAAAATCAGGAGACAAGCAAAAATTTTACAAAAATGTTCCGAAAATCTAGATTCAAATCGTCACGAAAATATTTTTCCGAAAATTGTCGTTGGGTGCCCCTGGCACATGCATGGAACAATCAACTAGAATTTTCTCACCTTTATTAAGCTTTGTCTACACTATTTAAACTGGAAAGCTTAACAAGTCGACATGAAAAATACCGCGGCTTGGCATGAACAACACCTGCTAACACCGACTGCCGCGAAGAGTGGCACAAACTGAACTTATCCGATATGCGACGATCCACTTTTAAGATTGGCGCGGCGCTGCCTCGCTTCACTCCGTCAGAGAAACCGCTCCGAAATAAACGTTTTTATGTGTGATCAAAAGCCCGTATCTGGTAGGGTTTTCGTGCCTTTGAAGAGCTATCCGTAAAGTGAAGACATAACCTTAGAAATTCCTAGACAATGTTTGGATTCTCTTTCTCATAAACATTTTCAGGAAACAGTCATTGGGTGACCTTGATGCTTCACGTTACTGTTTTAGCGATTCATTCAAATTATGAAATGCAAAGAAATGTACGATCAGTAAAAAATCCTCTTGTCAATGACTTAAATCCTAAGTAACCTGATTCAAATAAAAGCTACAACCTCCTGAAAAACTTTTGATCTCTTTTTTGATCGATTTTTAGTCTTCGTTTTTACTGTTGCATTGTGTTCGTTGTGGTTTAATCAGAGCATTAAATTTCAACTCAGCGAATGAAATCTTCACAAGCGAACGTGCACACTAATTTCAAAGATAAATACGTATGGTAAAATTATTAAACATTATATCACGTAATGCAATATTATAGATTCCCGCTTGGGGGCTCTAAGTAGGAAATAAATAAAGATAGTTTTACTGACCCTGTTTATTCAGGGACATAGCCCCTTTAAGTCATTCCTCTAAAGAATAACTAAAATAAATAGATAGCTGAATTTAAATGGAATTTGAAGAGGTTTAAAGAAGTTTAGTCCGAAAATGACGAACACCAACAGTTTTTTCATCAAGAGCACTCCGGGTTGCTAGTGAAATTTCTTATTTCTCTAAAGTTTACAAAATTTACATCGTCATTATTCAGTCTTTTTTTTTCTCATTATTTATTATTTACGTCTATTTTATTTATTTTTATTTTTTAAAATTATTATTGTCCGCCGTCCGCCGTCCGCCGTCCGCCGTCCGCATCCGCCGTCCGGATCCGCCGTCCGGATCCGCACTTTACAGAGTCCCCATGAAACCTCGCACTTGCGTTTTTATTCACGTGATATTCTCTTACAAGACAACTACTTCAGCTCACCCACCGTGCGTAAAACCAGAACAAGTTTTACTCTGACTGGCGCTGTTTATGCTATGTAACATGGCTCTAACTTTTACGTTTGTGCACGAAATCCTAAAGTGCAACCATTGAAATTTAAAAGCTCCTGAGCAGCACTTTCCTTTGGTACTGTTTACTAAGCTGCGCAAGGTGGTTCTAACTTTTGAGTCTGTGGATGAAATCCTAGAGTGACTATTCAAGTGAAAGCTACTAAGCAATACTTTCCTGTGGTACTGTTTATTCTGCTATACGAGGTGTTTCTAACTTGTGGCCGAGTGGATGAAATCCTAGGGTGTAACTATTCAAAAGAAAGCAACCTAGCAGTATTTTTCTGCTATACTATTTATTACGCTGACTGTACAAGGTGGTTTTAACCTATGTAACTTTCGAGTTAATTAAATAAAATTTAAAAAAATTTTGCCAGGTCATTAAAAAGAATCCTTTCAGCAACTTTATCTTGTATAGCCGAATCAGTACAAGTGGTTCCGGTCTCCACACCGAACCTCTTCGTTTAATAAAAGATTTTTCTTCTTTTTCTAAGCGAAACGTCCAAGGTCGGGACAACCACAAGCATATTTGGCTTGTCTGCCAAGAGTCATATGGCTGTTGGTCTGCCAAGGAATTAAATAGAAAGATGGAAGCAAATAGCGACAAGAACAGCATGTCTTACAGTGAATGAATAGATGGAACAAAAGCTACTCGATTATTCTAAAATCGGCTTATCCAAACAATAAACATAAAAAATGTCACGTTGTTGTGTAGGAAATGGCAAGGACGCACGAATATTATAAATTTAATGTCTGGACCACAGGCATGATTTCCAAGACTATTAAGACTTCGTTTTATCAAGACAAACGACATTACTTTACAACGGAACAACAAAACCACTACTATAAGGCAATAAGTTCACTTCAATAGTTAGATCTCTAAAAATGATTAGAATCAGATCAGTTTTTTGTCGTCTTGCTGTGAGGATCTGCTGGCCGTTGTTGTTTATTGTCTTTATTCACTACTTTAAAACATTGTAACCCGCTCGGTGACAACAATTTCTGAACTTCTCAGTCGATTTGAGTCACAGTGACATCGAGTGAACCGCACCTGTATTACAAAAAGAGGCGAGAAGAGGGGGCGGGGAGAGAAATTCGAAGGGAAGCTACAAATATAATATATGGTTCCTTCACTCATCCCGCTCCTTGCAATAAGCTTTAATTTACAGTAAATGTTTTCAGGCCAAAAGAGGGAACTGAAATGTCTCCTCATATTTCAGGAAATCAAGAGTTGAACTGAATACAATTGCAATGTGTATAACTTCTTAAAACAAATACAAATAGCACGCGACCACTCCATTTTTGCACTTTAAAAATTCATAAATTCAAATACCCAAAACTTATATTGGTGCACTTATTTTTAAGGCAAGCTGCCGGCCCTTCAAGATTTTTAGCAAACCTTCCACATGTTTCCACGGGGTTAGAAGTAACAGTGGCTGAATTTATTAACGGAGAAACCTGAATTTTACGGAATTTGGTCCTCTGCTACGTTCGGGCAAGCCTAACCTTGTCTTGGGTGTTCTTTGTCATCAGCTAGCTTTTATTTGTATCCTCTGTTTCGACGCCACTCGATCTCGCTTTCATGAAGCCATATGGCCTCGCTCTCATTTATCAGTGAACACGAGTCATATGACTAAAGCGTGATAATGCTGGGTCGGGATTCTCATAATCCTGAGCCAGCGAGCAAGCTCTCCATTTGCGAGATAACGCGACAAGACATGCGCGACCAGGTACACGAAAGCCGAAAGGAGACGCGAGGGCGGGAGGCGCCGCTGGCCACTCGAAATGGAGAGTTGCTCGCAGGCTACCAAATACTTTATTACAACTACTAGCCTATATATTCATTTACTTTAATTAGTTAATGCACTTACCCTCTCAACTGAAAACCAACGAACTTGTTCCTAGTATTATCCAGAAAAATATCCACATCTTTTTGTCTGCGAAAAAAAGAAAAGACATTAGCAATGTATGTACATGTTATCCTTTTCCAGGTGTGCTGATAGTGGAGGGCAGTGCGCAGCGTAAAGTGTTGAGCGGAGAAAAAAGGGCGGAAGAAAGGAGACGTCCGCCCTCTCTCCAAAAAGTCTACATTTTTACCCTGGGGAGGTTTTTTTATGCGTATTTTGAGTCGACGCAGGGCGACTCGTGAAGAAAAGACATGAGCGTTGAAGCCGCGAGAAAAACCGGAGCCTCTGGCACCCAGGGTAATATTTTGAGAAGAGGCGAAATCTCGTACTCGTGGTCGTTCTCGTCTTCGAATCTAAAGGTCTCTAATACCTGACTTTAGGCCGTGGTTTGGGCGGCCTGTGACGCTGTTCTTGCGGTTCCTCCTCGCTCCTGTCCCATATTATTTCACCATTGCTGTCACTATCCGATCCTGGGGGAGGGGTGTGTGGGGCGGGAATTCTCTCGTTGTCGATGGGTTGCTGCGGCGGGCATTGTAACTCGTAACTCGCAGGCAAGCCACAAGCTACTCTGACTTCTTCCTTTCTCTTTGCCAGTTCTTCTATTCCACCCAGAGAAACCTGCAAAAACGTTGCACGACAAAGCACGACGATATGCGATTGAATCGTTTTAAAGTGTGAAGTAACGTGTGAAGCGCTATTATTAAAGTGTGAATTGTGAATTTTAGACATTAGGACCTTGAAGGTGCAAAAATTAATTATATTATATGTAGTCTATATCCTCAGAATACAAGTTACTCATCGTTTTATATGTGCACTGGCGAATGGATAATATAGTACCCATATCTTCATCGTGGAGAGAGCTCACTAAGCGATGAAACAAGTGAAACCGTCCATTGTCCCTCTGACTGTATCTAATTGTCTTACCAAAGGGTTGGGAGTATTTATATTTTCTCTAAACACATATTACTGCACTGCGACTATTATTTGACCTACCAAAATTGTTTTCCAGAGCAGCAAAAGAATTTTTTGATTGGAAAATGTGGACAGTTGCCAGCACAAAATTTAAGCACCATTTCCAGCAAGAGGATTGGCAAAAGTTCATCGCCTCCCATTGGCTGAGCTAACATGTTAAGAAACAACTTACATTAGTGCGTGACTAAAACTTTGTTAAATGTGATTCCAAATTTTAAGTCTAGCGATAAAATCCGATGATGTTACCATTCAAAGGAATCTACTGTGCATTATTTTACTGTGGTACTGTTTATAATGCTCTACAAGGTAGTTCCAACTTATGAATGTGTGAACTTGAAATCCTAAACTGTTCGGTAGCTTTCACTTGAATGGCGACACTTTAGGATTTCATTTGCATACTCATAAGTTAGAACCACCTTGTACAACATAATAAACAGTACCTTGATGTATGCGGTACAAGCTGGTTCTAAGATTTGAGTCTGTGGATGAAATAATCAAGTGTGACCATTCAACTGAAAGCCACTGAGCAGTACTTTCCTGTGGTACTGTTTATTATGTTGTGCAAGGTGTTGTTAATTTTTGAGTCTTAGAACGAAATCTTGAAGTGTGACCATTCAGATGAAAGCTACTGAGCAGTTCTTTCCTGTGGTACTGTTTATTATGCTGTACAATGTGGTTCTAACCTGAGTCTGTGGAAGAAAACCTTTACTGTGACCATTCAGATGAAAGCTACAGAAGCTAGCAGTACTTCTCTGTGGTTCTGTTTATTATGCTGTACAAGGTGGTTCTAACTTTCGAGTCTGTACATGAACACCTTTAGTGTGACCATTCAAATGAAAGTCACTGAGCAATACTTCCCTTTGGTACTGTTTATCGCGGTTTACAAAACAGTTGTACCTTTTTCTGGGGAGTCCGTGGATAAACCCCTAAGGTGTGACCATTCAAGTAAAACCTCTTTAACAGTAATTCTGTACAGTGATAGTTGTTTTTATGAAATAAAAAAACTGAATCTTTGATTTTTATGTGACTTAGACCATCCTGGTTCTTAGACAGAGAACGTGACACGGACAACTACTTACTTAACTCAGTAAAGAAAGCCTCTTGAGCGTGAGCCATTTCCTCGCAGTCACCTGGGTCAGCGTAACGCATGGTTTCGATCATCGTGTAGATAATATTCAGGTATACTCTTGTTCAAGAAGAGATGGATAAACATAACATTAATACAGTAGTCAATTTTGTAAAATTGTTTTTTAAGCTTAATTAGTTGCAAATGCTGTAACATCGTATTTTTCCTTTATCTCTTGTACCTTGTTTTTATTTTTCCTCCATGTAAATGTAAGTATTGTCATTAGAAGTGTTGTAACCAAATAAATGTTATTAAAAAAAAAAAAAAACATTAATACAGATAACCATTCAATTGCTGGCTGACATAAAGAAAGCAGTTGCTAATGCTGTTGTTGTGATGAAGAAGGGCAATTTTATATGAAAAGTATCCTACACAGTTTAGTCTAAGGGAACGACAGATCAAGCATAATGGGTGTTTTTTGGTTTTGCTGAAATCATTGGGAAAGAAGTCTTGCGCAAGATTAGTACGCACTTCATCTTAAGTTCTCCTATGCAGTTATGCCCTGACGAAGAAAACTATCAATCTAATCCAATCTAAATTAATCTAATCAAATCTTAGTATTGTTTCACAAAAATGGGCCATGGTTGAAAAAAACAATTACCTTGTGGAACATTTTAGCTTTAGGAAGTCATTGTGTATAGTTTCATATTCCAGGCAAAGCTTCCCAAGTAAATATTTAAAAAACGAGTCATGTAAAATATTCCCCCTCATACCTGAGTGTTACACTGTCCGCCGTGGACACTGTCGGTTTCTGCAAAGCTGATAAGGCTGCATGAGAATTCCTGGAAAGGAAAAGAATTAGACTATCTTAAATACCTGTATAAACCACTATTAACCATAAATACATGCAATAGAGAAGAGAGGTGATGACGTCACAGAAACTAAATTGGTTAAATTATGGGATGGGTTGGCATATTCAGGTTGTCTACCATTTACATGGCCAACTAGTTGATCCACAGTTTGGGCAAATGGTACGTAAAATTCAGCACTGGTAAATGAATTTCGTCCAGGAATCGCATTTACCATTTGTACAAATCACTTCCATTTACCGAAAAACGACCGCGAAGGCCTGAAACTGGTATCAAAGACGGCTTTGATGAAATGAAAAACGCAAACAAACAAACAAACAAACAAACAAACATAAGGACTACCTTTTCAGGTGTTCCGTTGCTCCCGGAAATTTCCTGCTGGAACGACCCAAAAAGTCTCGTCCCCTTTACATTCCGACTGGATTTCCCGGAAACTTTTGTAAAAATGTCCGCTTTCTAAAAATCAGCTTGTTGGTACAGATTGGTAAGGAGATTTAAGCAGCGCTATGCTCCGATGACGCTATATAAATCCTTCTAAATAAGGGCTGTAGCGTAAACGTTACGATCAAGCCAATTTTAGAAGGATTTGTATGGAAACAACAGAGCAAACCAGTACTTATATCTCCCCACCAAATTGGTCAAGTGATCATTTTTCATCTTGTTCTCTCTGAATACTGCAACCAATCCCCTAATATCACACATCTGAATTTTTGTGACGTCACCCTTCTCTTCGCCATCATATAATTTGGTGAAAATTACGTGCGCTATGATTGGTCGAACAACACAAGGATGACGTCACAGGAAACTTGTTAACTTTGTTTTGCTCAATGTGGCGCGTGGTTTAAAAATGTTTGCGAGATTATTTCCAATTAAGCAAGCAAAGGCCACGAAAAAAGTTTAGTACGCACTGTTCACAAGGGAGAAAACGGCGAAACCGACTGGTAAAGAGTTATTGACGACTTGAAAATGCCTAAAGTGGAAGAAATCTTCAAAACATTGACATCGTGTGGCATCGCTCAAGAGACTCAGAGTTTTGAAAATGTTCTCGCAGTTATTCTGCTTTGAGCAACAGCAGTCGTTGGAAAGCTTTTCGTAGAGAGTGTATACAAGTAAGATAAAGAAGAAAAAAGAAGCAGATACGAAAAGCAGCGTTTATCACTTGGAAAATGTCTAAACTGGCACAAATCCTCGAACGGTCAAGCGGTACGAGGCAAGTATGTCGCTTTTTCTTTTCTGTTCAACATATAAAACGAATAGATTAGTTCCATGTTGCCGTGGGTCTGCTAAGTAGCACTTGTTTGTTTTTACTACATTTTGGCGTCATCTGTGATCTATTTGGGACGCGGTTTAAGATGCTTGGAGGACGGTGACAGCAGGAGAGAAAAAGGTTAATTGGGACTTTTTCAAACTTAATCTCGATTATTTTAGCTCGTTCACTTTGTCAAATGTATGCGAACTCTCCTGGAGTTGAATTCCAGGAGAATTCGCATAGAGCCTTATCCAAGAGCTTATCCAAGTTTGGAAAGAGAAAGCAAATTCCGGAAAATTTCGTCCTTGCTTGTTTACGTCCTCCGTAAAACGTAAAACTAGGCATTTTCACGTAGTAGTCGTGCAGTGACGGCAAAGAAATGTACAAAAAAGCGTGATGCACGTGCAAAGTTGTTTGGCTAATTAGACCTATTTGCCTTTTTGATGCTCACGTTGCATGTCGCCGTCATCGGATCTTAAAGACTCCATATTAGTGAACAGACGCACGGCAACATGGAATCTATTTGTTACATATCCTCTATCCTTATGGGGAAAGAAATAATTCAAAAGGAACATAACATGGTTAAGAATCCCAACTGATAGGAGGCAAGCCAGTTGCCTAGTTTACAAGCGTGGCCGAGAATTTGAACTCTCGACCACCGAGAAAAAATCGAAAACTGTGGTCAGGGCTGGCCTTGAAATATGGGCCCCAGCCCTTCAACCGCTCGTTCAGCCACGCTGGCTACTCACTTTATGTCTGCTTCATAGATCTTGCAACTGCATGTTAGGAATAACGAAGGGCTGGCGGCATAAACAGCCCAAAATTAAAGACCGCTGGGGCTTTTTTTGCTTTTCACTACTACTGCTGCCACTGCAGCAGTTCTTGTTGTTGTTGTTGCTTTGTCTAAACCACCTGAATTTTCGCACGTGGCCTTCATAGCGTACAAAGAAAGTAGTGTCCGATAGCCCGGGACTGAGGCGAGCTCTGTTCTTAAGTTGCCCGATGGGAAAGTGACGTTTCGCGGGCAATTCAAATCACAAAAGAACAACTGTAATCAAACCCACTAATCAAAAATTGTTTTTCGTGCTAAATGAATTTTAGGCTAGTACATGCTAGCTACAGCTTGGCCGAATGGCAAGCTGTTAAACTCCCTTTCGTTGCACCATGCCTTAGTAACTGACCACACCGTCCAACGTAAATACCCAAAGGCGTAAGTTTTGACTTTTCTTGAGGTCATTTTGGTCCAGTTTTCTCTATCCACCACCTTAAACTACTATCATGTTCCTTAATAGTGTTGTCTAGCTTCAAAGATTCCAAGAGTGTACTGCAGATAAACTTAAATGAATGTGATCAAACCAAATGCGTTTTCTTCTTCGAACCCAAACTGGTATGCCAGTCTTGATTATTTTTAATTAGAAAAATAATAGTAATAGAAAAGGATAATAAATCTCTATCACTTACTCGATTTCTACATTCAGAAGCTGAATAAGGAGAGGCATAATACCATTTTTGTAAAGGAAGAAGACATTCAACTGAGACTGCAAATTAAAAAAAAAAACATTTACAAGGTGATGAATACTCATTTTTCATCAAATAGACGATTTTCAGTAATCATATTTCAAACTTAATTACCCATTCTCTCTGTTCTTCCTCATCGCTAACTTCACCAAAATTTCCTAAGAAGACAAAAACGATATTATTTACTTCGAATATGAGGGTGATTTAAATTTAATGGGGCTAGATCTGTCAGAAGATTAGGCTTCTCTTTCATTTCTTCTCTTCCTTTTTTTTTAGTTAACTTTCCTTTTCTATATAGTAGGCTTTTTCTGTATTTCCAAAACTTTTTTTAGACATTGATTCAGCTTCAGGCCAGCTCGAATTTTGTCTTTTTTTTTAACCAACGTAGTGAAACCTTGTTTATTTTTTCACTTTTATTAACTGTAACAGCATTTTGTAAAATTGAAAAGTGAGGGAAAGGATTCTTGGTAGACTGCAATAAGCATAGAAGTTTCAGTCCTTTTTGCTACGTTATATTACTTTACAATGACATTGACCATCATGACATGTATTTTCTGCCATATTCATTTTATGACCAGGACATGATGTCTGCAACGCAGGCTATGCTAAAAAGTGCTGGCTAACACCTTTTCCTAGATTGCACTTGAGTGCAGAAGGTTTATTTATTATAGTACATCTGTAGGTGGATAAATTAAAGATATGTAAACTTTAAATAATTATTAACGTACCTTGTACGAGATAAAGTAATACTCTTGCTGCTTTAAGTCTGACCTCAGGGTCTACTGCTTCACATTTCTCCATAATGAGAAACAAAAACTTTTTCTTCTCGTTTTTCTTCATTGTGATCCATTTTTCATAACCTAATTGAAAATATTTATACAGTATAAAAGTTATTTACTAAGTGGGGGGTTCAGACATGTAAAAAAACTTAACCTGAGGTATCATATTAACTATGGCCTGAGACTGTGAGTTAAGAGCTGTACTCAGGATGAACAGCAGTGATTTTGTAACCTCTGCATCCTGCCTACCTGACACACAAGAAATCCCCAAAAACGCAAAATAACTTATGGTTTGTTAACAATCACCATTTATTTCAGTAATGTAGGAGCTGCTTGTAAGGTGTTTCCTCAATGGTCAAAAAAAACAATAACACCTCATTGTTTATCATTATTTCCCATTGTTTACAGTTAGGGTATCGAACCAATTGTCTTTTAGGGTTAGGAGAGCCGCTACATTTATTTTAATCTTCTTTGTGATTTAAACAGAAGGACTACATTTGCATATTTTAATTTCAGTAAACTTTAAGAAAGAGTTTTGCTTTTGAATTTTGATTAACTGTCTGCTGGCTACTTAAAGACCCAAGTATTTTTTTTTTTTAACTGCGACTCATTGGTTCTACACTGGGAGTCACAGTTCTTCATGAGATGAGTCCCAGAATTCACCATAACTATTTGTAACAAAGCATCATTCTCATCCTTGGAGACCCAGGGGCAGATAGTGGGGGCGAGGGAAAGTCTAAACGGGTGGAAAAATAAGGCACGAAGAAAAGTAAAGAACAGCCAGAAGAGCCCCTGGGGACAATGTCTTCTGATTGGTGCCAAAAAACTTGTGTTTTTCTGGCACCAATCAGAAGCCAGAATGGCGGCGACCGTTTGGAACTGGTCTGGTAAGACATTGTCCCCAGGGCCTCTTCTGGCCATTCTTTACTTTTCTTTTGTGCCTTATTTTTCCACCCGTTTAGACTTTCCCTCGCCCCCACTATTCTGCCCCTGGGTCTCCGAGGATGCATCATTCTTTCCACAAAGACAGTCCTGCTTAGGTTGAAAAATAACTTGCTCGTCATTTCAATTTCACAATTAACATATTCCCATCATAATATGACTATCGCACAGGTGCAGCTTTCCAAGAATGTTGCTTGCACCATGGATGAGAGACATGCAAGACCTAGTCTGCTACACAGCCGTTTTTAGTGTCGTCACGCAACGCTCCTACCCTGGTGGGGAGGAGCGTTGCGTGACAACACCAAAAACGGCTGTGAAGCAGACTATGCAAGACCCAAACACTTTCACAATTTAAGTCCCAAAAGTGATCAATATCAATTTCCTCATAACAATATCACTACACAATAAAGAGAATAGGTTAGGAGAATTAATACAGTAATCACCTAAGAGAAAATACTTTGATCTTTTATCAAATTCTCTCAACTTATTCTTTATGGAAATGTATAGAGATCAGTTTGGAGAATTTGTATGTGGATATTGGGGCTTAAAGGTTCAAAACATTTACGAAATTAACTTAAACAAAGGGATGAGTTACCGCTACATATCTACAATGTATTCAGCTTGTTCAACCATTTTGTTCAACAATGTTGAACCAGTAACATTTAACCAGTTGCCAAGAAAACGGTGTCTTTTCTACAAAGTGTTGATTTTTTATACAGGAGTGTAGGAGTCTTAACAAATCCTGGATCTAACCGTTCAACGTTCTTTATCATTGCCTTCAGTGCACTACAAACAAAACACCCTTTTCCAACATGGCCTTACCTTGTGAAAACAGAGTTTTCTCAAATGCCTCTCGATTAAACTTAAATTCATTTTCTTCAGTGTAGCTGTACAGCTCTGGAAAAGAATCATTTACATAAAGAGCATTAAGGCAAACAAAAATATTACCCAGACTTCATAATATATTTTGTTATAATATTTCCATCTTCTATCATTGTTATAATAATATAACTCGGTTTTTTTCTCTTCTTATCATTAGTTATCAGGGAATGTAACAATTTCTCTCAAAAATGGATAAAATAAAAATGTAAAAAAGAACAGATATTGCTGTAAAACTGCTGTGAGGTGGAGTCCAAGGGTTTTTGTCCTTATGTGAGAAGCCAAGGTTATCTAACTCATTTGTATATGTCAGAATATTATCAGAATATTATTGCTTAACAATTTATAATCATATTTAAAACCGTGAGTGTTGGTCCAGCCAAAAATTCAAACCAGGGCCTACAGCAAGGCCCTGCCAGGGTAAATTCAGACAAGTGACATGGCCCAAAGAGTAGCAACAACACGTAAAATGAAATCGCAACAAGAGACAACCTCCCTCGGCCAAATTGCGACAGTGACGGCAAAGCCAACAATAAGCGACAAGCTTTATAAACACCGACACGAGATGTTTTAAAATTCAGACGGGCGACAAGAAAAGTTTAAGCGATAAGAATCAAGTACCTTTATGAATAAAGAGAATGATTTTTTGGTGAACTGCTATGGAAATGAATTTGGCAATGTTTACCGTATGTAAATGACAGAGTATCAAATTACTATGAAGCAAATGCAAATTTAATTTTTGAGATTTTTCTATTTTAACGGTGACTTCTAAAATGGCACATTATAAATTGTAACTGTAGAGGAAACAAAGAGAGAAATTTATTGATATTCGACAAATCATCTATAAACGGGACACACAAAGTTTTGCGCTGAGAGCGAATTTGTTTAAATGTGTTCCGTCTAGCGCAAGCTGACAGAGGCGGGAAGAGTTTCGCAAATCTCGTGCTTTTACTATTGAAAACATCCTAAAAATATTGAAGTGAAGTTAAAGCACATTGAGAATAATTTTATTTTTACTCTTTGGTATGTTTGTTTTTTTTTTATAAGATAGAGTGACATGTCACAACTCCAGGATAACATAACAGGGTAAGAGGTCAATCATGATTTAACAATATGCCTGTTAATTCGAAGAAAAAATGTTTTGAAACCATGTAGAGGTATGCAGTGTTTTTTGTTCGGCAGCTACAAGAAATAACATTTGCTATCAGACAATAGGAAAAGCCATCTCGGCAGCGTTCTGCTTGGAATTGACTGAGCCACAGGTACACAACAAAGAAAAAGTTCACAGGTTCTTACACCGAGGTAAACCCCTTCTGTCGACCTCCTTATAAAATAGCCATGCATTCTGTGGTTGCCCCGACTCTCAAATATCATGACACTCGCTTTTCGAAAAGCGAATGTCATGATTAATGATCTAGCGATCGACGACAGCACGCTAGCTACATGTTATAAAACCTGTTCGTTTGACTTTCGGCTAACCTGGCGTCAAATAAGACTTCAATAACTCTTTAACAACCAGTAAATTCAAACGATTGACCTGTAATGAAGTTGTTTCTTACCGGCAATCTCTGCTGACTTTTTGTCCGCATCGTTATAGGTGAATTCTACATCTGGAGTGGCGTCTAACTGGCCCTATAAAGAAAGAAAGTTTATCTTATGCAACGAGAATCAACCACAGTTATCATTTTAGGACGTGGTTACCTCCGATTCTCTCCTTTGTCTTCGGATAAGATCTCGGAGCTGTTTACGATCAATACTTCCCTCCATCTTGAAAACTACAAACAGAGCTTAGCATCCACGCCTAACTGAAGCAAGGATCCGTCAAGGGAGGACTGGGTAACAAGGAGAAGGTCGAGTCGGAGAAGGTTTGTCAGCCGTTCATTCAGCTAGACTTTCTAAAAATCCTTGAAAAAAATTTTCCCCGGTTGGTTGTGCCGTTCCCTAAGAAGTTATGAGAGGTCGACTTGTAGCAAGTCTACCATTCAGCCAGTTGTGAATGCGTCCTCTTGACGGTCAGAAATCACCTCTTTGAATTTTTTTCCCTGGCTTTAACAATTTTGCAATCAGTCCACTTTTTGAGTTATTGTTTTGTTCTACAAGTTTTTTTGCTAGTTTGAGTTACTATTTTGCCGGTGTTCTGATCTCTCCAAAGTGTCATTAAATTGAGCCGTAGCTAACTTCTCAAATCGTTTTACCAACCAAAATGGGATTTTCTGGGGGCTTTTGGGAGGTTTTTTAAAAATTTAAATAACGCTTTTATTTCAACGTTTTTATCTTCAAATTGTTGTGACTTTTAAAGTAAGACTTGCGTTCAATAAAATGAAATATTTATTTCTGAAACAGACGTTCGATTTTACAAATCAAATCAAAGCCTGAAATAGGCAAATTAGACGATAATGCGAGATGTTATTGAAACTGGAATTTTTCTTCCCAAAAATGGGAGTTTAAAGTTAAAAAGAAAAATTCCGGTAAGAAATCAAATATCACCCTAGAAACACTAGAGAACCAGTCGAGAATCAGTTTAAGATCGAATTTCCATCCATTCAAGGACTGAAAACGTTTAATTTTGCTGGAAAAATGCATATAATAAAATGCAATTATTCGAGAATAAAAATAAGGCAAACGGTGAAATTTTTTAAAGCCAGTGGGAAAAGCCAATAGAATATTGAAGTTAATGATAAAAGTTAACCAAAATAATTATAAGCCGGAATTTTTTTCAGATTAAAATTTTATTTTAGACCCCACCCTTTTCAGAGATCTAAACTTAAAGAAAACATGATCTCTAAAATATATATCAGATATTGAAATGAAACATTTTAAGATTAGTGCATTTAAGATAGCATTTTTACAATTTTTTCATGCTAAAAATAAATTTGGAAATCAAATCCAAATTGAAACTGGGCAAAAAAGATTATTTCTGATGATTTCAAGCGGGATATTTATGAAAATGGAATGTAATTACTTCCAAAAAATAGGAGATGAAACTTAAGATGGAAAAATTTTGGTAAGAAATCAAATATCACCCTGGAAACTAAAAACAACCAGTTTTAGGATCGAGTTTTCCATCTAGCGACCGAAAATATTAAAATTTGGAAACGTATAACAAAATATAATTGTTCTGGAAAGTTTGACATTGTTTAAATCCAGTCACGGAAAAATAAAGTCAAAACGGATTGAATGAAAAAAATTTCAACAAATAGAATATAAGGTGGAAACAAGAGAGGATTTCCTCTCTTGGTGGAAATTATTTCGAAAAAAATCATTTCAGCCTCCTTTAAAAATCTAAACTTCAGGAAAATATGAGATAACAAATCAAAGATCAAATGAAATAATCAAAACTCGTTTTCTAGATCAGTGCATTGAAAGAGGGATAGCATTTTTATATATTGTTTCCAGCAAAACGAAAAACGTCAGAACTATATATTTATATCAGTTAGCATATTTTCAATAAACAAGACGTTCATTCACGTATATACAAACAAAGCACTTAATAGAAAATCAAATAAGTCTTGAAAGTATCTTGCCTGAATCTACGATTGCCGGCCGAACAAGGTGTATATCTTTATGTAAACAGCCTAACGCAGGCGAAATGTACTAAAAATAAGGCATTTACGACGATCCCCTTGTGTGTTCAAAAACTCAGATGCAAATTTATTCCGGCAGTTAATCTACTGGTAGAGACCTACTGCACCATCCTCGGTTCTATATTGTATTGCCAATTACAACCCGCTCTGCGGCCGGGAACCTCTATATCCAAGGATTGACGTGGTTCTACGTACGTCTTTTCATTTTGGCGGGCGTCAGAGGTTATTTCCAAATCGAAGTTACCCGTGGGGTATAATCGGTCACCGTTTATTGATTAAGCTTTGTATTGCATGCGTTTACCTATGTCCAATCAGAACACTGAGCTTGCTGAGAGTCTTCAAAATTACACTGCAAATATATTTTGTTCAAGGTATGAAGGCAATAATGGCAAACAAACCATCGTATAGTGGTATACTGGTGTCCCTGAGTATTGGAGGGACGTCGACGCGTGTTATAGGAGTGAATCCAAGTTACGTATTACAATCGGAAACTTTATACTGGTTGAGTGACAGTTTTATGAAGAGAACTGGCTTTAAATACCTCAAAATGTTAGATTTAGACTGACAAAAAAAAAGAATAGAGTAAAAAAGACTGACTATTGGGTGGAGAAGTATGCGACAGCAGGAGACAATGACTTGTCATGGGCTCCTGGCGAAAGCTATTTTCGCAGAAATAAAAGAGTACATAATAGAGAGAAAATTCAAGTTCCCAGCAGTGAGACACCTCATATACGAAAAACGATGCACCGTGCCACGAGTTTGACTCTGTTGTTGTTCTGTTCTCCCCCATAACTCTAGCCTCTCTAGCGGACAACCTTTCAGTATTAATTCGTGTACAGTGCCTCTATCAGCAAAGGAGTGCATGTCTGTCTACAAAGATTTGACTAGGACATTTCTACTTAGTAAGTTCTCAAGAAAGGGAGACCTTTGAAAGAGATATTTGCAGAATAAAGGGATTAATTTTTATCTGTGGTTAAATATTTAATTTGTGTAGGTATAGACTCTAGTTTGATGGATGAGTTCGTTTGCCGACTGTGCCAATATTTACAAAGCTCAAAAGCTCTTGATGTTTGTTTATTTTAAACAACCCTCTGATAGAAGTTTGGCACACTTTTACTGAGTCAAGACAATGCAACGGTCGCTTTATTTAATTTCCAAGCCTGTTTTGGTAAAGTTTACATAAAAAGCAAGATCTTAATAAAGGCTTTTGCTTAAAACTGTCTTTCGTGAACAAGTCTGCCAGGTCGGTTATAAACCTAAACTTTATTGGCCCAGTATTGACTTACAAATTAAGTCCACTCAAGCTGAGGAGTCTGAGGTATCGACTGCGCCTCATAAAAGCATGAAATACAAAGAAAATGAAAACGAAAGGAAAGAGTATAGAAGGCTTCTTGTTTGCTAGTTTGATACATCAATCGGATATTTTGATGCGTTTCTCATTTCGAAGTGCGTGATATCTCATGTTGTGGTTTATACTGCTAATTAGCCCATTTGCAATTTATTCCATTGAATTTTTACACTGTCTTTACGTCAATATAAACAAAAAGCAAACAAACAATCAAATATCTACACCAATTTCTTTAAGTTGCTTTCTTGTCAGGGGCACCCAACGAGGATATAGTTCAAAACCACTTAACAAAGCATTGTTGAGCGTATTTTAGTATTTAAACGGTAGATATTGGCATATTTTTATCCCCTAAAAACTTTTCATCTGTTCGGATTTCCTAGCTGAAAGTCTAGTGATCCGAAAATTATAGGGATCAAAACTTATCTTCTAGAAACTTTCAGCCAGGAAAAGGCTCCCAAAAATTCTAGGTGGCCTTTTTTAGGGTCAAAATCCGTTAAAAATCGGGAATTATATATACCATCTTGTAGATGTTCGAAAATCCTAGGAGAGGCAGGCAAGCAAGAAATTTTACAACAAATGCTCCGAAAATTCTAGATTTCAAATCGTCTTCTTCTTTCATATTACTGACGCAATACGCTGTTTCATTCAAGGCTGTGTCTAATAATGGAATCATTATTCCTTGCCTCCTTTCCCTGAATCCCTAATTACTTAGTTAACTTTTCATCTAGAAGAAACGCAAATCCAGTCTAGAGATATCACTGAGACAGACTCTGAAATGCTGATATAGGATTGTCGGTCAAGTCTAATGACTTGAAAGCCATGACTGGCCATCATTTCTCGTCATTCGGTCTCTTTATTCATTAAGCCTCGGATTTTAAAGTTATAACTACGCTTATTTGTTTCTTCTGTCAGAAAAGTGCGCGGGTGAAAAATTTTCTTTGCATGTTGGACTGATCGGAAGCTCTTCTGTTATATCTTATATATACTGAAGGCGGAATGTCGATGCTCATCTCATGAACCGGTAAAGATATAAAATGTTCGAGGGATATGCTTACATGTCGAGCCGCCTGCGCTCGGAGTTTACTGAGTCTACAATAAAATGGCATCGCTCGGCCTAGAAAGCTGGATTTTGCTACATCAAAGGGGTTGGAACGCAGGGGTTGTCATAGTTTTAAGTTAGGGGGCAGGCAGGAATTGAGCTTAAACCTTTTTCTGTCAAAGTTGACAAGAGTTAAGTTTAACAAAATTTCTAAATTTCGTCTTGTAAAATGCATGAAAGGAAGTAGTACCATGTGAACGTACTTATAAAAGTGGTTTCATTTTATAGTCACCATCGCTACAGGATTTTGTCCATAGACTCAAAAGTTAGAACCCCCACACTGTAATTTTCAGGGAGTTATAATAACTCCTCTAGTGGGGCTAATTAAACTCCTTACAGTGGAGTTATTTTTCGTGGAGTTATTTTAACTCCAAAAAGGAGTTTAAAGAACTCTTTTTCAGGAGTAAAAGTGACCACAGATTTTGAAGAGTTAAAATAACCCCAAAAAAGGAGTTATCCTGTACCTAAAATTTTTACTCCACTTTCAGAGTTAAATTCACTCCAAAAAGAGTGAAAACAACCCCTGTAAGGAGTACAAGTAACCCCATTTCGGAGTAATTTTAACTCCAAGACTGGGAGTAAAAAGAACTCTTTTTCAGGAGTAAAAATGACCCCAAATTCGGAGTTAAATTAGGAGTTAAAATAACCCCCAAAAAGGGGTTATCCTGTACCTAAAATTTTTACTCCATTTTTGGAGTTATGATAACTCCCTAAAAATTACGGTGCATTCGAGCGCGAGACATGATCACTCACTAACGCAAACAGAAAGAGGGTTAAAACCATTCCTTTAATTTCGTAGCAGACTGCGTCAGAACTCCTATAAATGGTAACGAAAAAGAACGTCAGAGTTAAAGCCTTCGTTCTTTTTTCGAACAACAGAATCCTGATAAAGCCACCAGGAAGTAGACGGATATCTACATCATGGCATCATACGTAATTTCGGGATATATTGAGTCCTGCAGGAAATTATTTCTATGTATAGTTATTGATATACCTCACATATGGTTAATACTGATTTAATAAAAGCAACTTATATTTAAAATAAAGTATAAAGCAGTAAAACGACAAAGAGAACAGAGTGGATGAGCATGAAAGAAACGTCAGCTGGAACGTCAACATTAACCCGCGGACTTAATATCAGAAGAAACCGGCTTGCTTCGTTTCGCCGTGAACCATTGGCCCTGAATTTGGCCAGTCGCTGTGAAACGGATCTATGCTTCCGGCGTCATTTCAACCTCGAACTGAAGGCTCTTGTGCCGTGCATGCCAGCCATGCTAGGCGAGCATGGTATCAAGGTTGTCGACTGAATGCTTTGGAATTCAAAGACGTGAACACAGCACCCGAGCAGAAAACCCACTCAATACAAATTAAAGCTATATATCAACAAAAATTTAGTCTTTCCTTTCTTAGTAAACTTTCGTAATAATTTAAATACGGTACCCTCGGATGGGTGGAGTGAGATATAATATCAAATTCACGACATACAACAGAAGCGATATTGTTGACACCGGCGTTTTACATGTGGCCGCTGTTTTCATGCACTGCACATTCCTTTACTAAAAGATATCTTTCGAGTTCGGACCGTGCATCTTTCATTTTTGAAGTTTTATCATATATTAACGCAACGAGCAAGCTGCATAAAAAAGAAAGTCTTTTTTCCTGGCTTTACAAAATTTCGTTGTGACCTACTTCCTTTTAATTTACAATATACAGAGAAAAACGATATTTCAACACCGGTGTCCACAGTAAGAATATAAAAATTTTCAACTTTAGTCGTGTTGACTGAGAAATTTGGGAAAAATAATTGGATTTCAGAGATATGAATTTTGTTTCACCTGCGAACCTGGGCAAAACCAAACGGTATGCAGAATTTTGTCGCAAATCACGTGATCTCCTTGCATGACGTTTCACAAATTCAATATCACCGGCAAAGCATTCCGTGTGTCCTCGTGAAAATTAATAAATATGCTTTTAAAAATACTAATCACATGGTTATATTGTAAAGTGAACAAACTTAAGTCAAATTCATATAGAAAGAAAATTGTATTTGTTTTAAGTCAGAAATTCGATTTCGTATCAGTGTTGTAATTAAGAAGGTTGTCTCTCAAGTTTGAAGGCTGAAATCACATAAAGACCGATATGCATTTAATTTCAAATCATTTCCCTGTCAATTGTAGGGTGGCTGTATTCAGCTTTATTTTACTTTCCGAGCTAAATTTATTCAGGTTGCTTTCAGTTGTCAGTCGAAGACGGTTGGTGTAAATAGATCTCTCCTGTTATTCTTATTGCACATTTTATTTGATTTCAACAGGAGCTCCTGATTTTAATGCATCTAGGCCTTGGTTAACCATCTGTTAGAGTCAAAAGAAGACAGTTTCACTTGTTACTGAGTTTTTGAGCAGCAAAACCTATCACAGCTTACCGCAGCCTTTTTCACGTTTCTTTACAAATGTTTCAAGAACTGACTGTTTATAATTATATGCTGAGAACGTAATCACTGTAGTAAAAAAGACAACCGGTTAAGCAATATCTGTTAAAAACCTTATAATCATTGTGAGGGGTGTGATAAATTCTTCAAGAAGACCAAAAACTGTGTAGACCATTTCAAAGGCTGTATGATATAAACTTCACAAATGTCTTATTAATTTTCCATACACTAAGACAAGTCCGTCAGTTAAAAACAAAGCACGAGTTTTATCGCAAAGCTTATCAATAAATTTATGCAGGAAATTCGAAATTTCACCCGGCCCTTCTATTCCAGTTGGTGCTTCGGATATTTAATCATCCTGGATCTTGTAATGTTTTGATCTAGGTTTTCAAAAATGTTTAAAATTAATCTTGAAAAAATGAAATTCAAAGCCAAAGTTCGGGTTTCCAAACCAACTTCACGGTGACTGATTACGGAGTCTTTCCAATTCATGAATAATTCTAGTTTTCCACCCATGGGTCCCCATGGGTTATTAAGTTTACGAAAATAGAGAGATACAATTTGCAAAGCGGAAAAAAAGTGACTCAAAAATAGTACACAGACCACAGGAAACAAACAAACACTTCGTAGCAGTCGAATCGTAAAATTTCTTTGTATGTGCTATGCAAAATATGAACAAATCCGCGTTCGGTTCAGCTGTGAGGGAACAAAAAATTCAAGGAAGTTTAGAAAAAGAAAAATTAAGAAATTTGATCACAGCTGCATGATCAAATGATGACTCACGCCAATGACGTTCAGCAAATCATGCGTGACATCCAAAGTCCATATTTGGTTGTAGTGGCCTTATATGGCACACAAGGTCATTTAAAAACAGCCGGCTTTCGCAAAATTCGTTCTGATTTGTGAGTGCAGTGTCATTCCGTCGTGTTGAGGATCTTAAAGGGCTTTTACCGTCGTGAAATAGACTATTTTAGCAGCTGAAATCGCTTAAACACTCTCAGTTGAATTTCATAAGTTTTGAAGGTGTTTTTAGAATGGAACTAGCGAAGAAATGTCCGTTTTTGGCCCGCGTTCCCGCGTCGTTCGTTCGCAAAGCGAGAGGACCAGTATTGGTCTCTTACGCCGAGCGATGCCCAGTTATGTCCGAAGTCTTACATAAGGAGAGCGAAACCCCGATGAAAAACGAAGGTAAGCTCTATCATTCTTTTTATAAATGCTTTCTTTCCTTCTTGATCGAAGTGTTCTTTGTTAAGTTGTTATGAACGTGATGTAAAGGATCTAGACAACGAGGATTAAAATATAGGTAAGTAAGTAAGAAGACCAATAGCTTTGAAATTGACATTGTGCCGATCACCAACCTAATACCATCTGATTCTGTCCCCTTTTTTACACAGGAGCCAGGACCCATGGAGCAACAACTTCTGCCAAAGGTTTATATGTTAAATAGACTTAGTATTACCGTTGATAGTATTGAAAATTAAGACCATGTAAACATAAATTTATATGGTAGCAAAGCCAATGCTTACATAACTTCAACATAAGAGCTTAACTACATTTTACGTATGCATACACAAAACTCGTTAAATTAAGTTAAATCCTTTGCTATAGTAGAACGAAGTGTTCAAAAAGCGGTTGAACTCGGCGAAAACTGCCTCTGGTAAAGTGACAAATCAAACAACTGTTCTAAAAAGTACATGCCTCTCGGCTCGCTTATGAGAGTCTACGTTAGTCCGCTCGCGAACATGCCTGTTTCAGAATTTCAGTCAAACATTAACAGAGTATGATTTAAAATTTAAAATTTTAGATCGCCTCATTATTTTACCCTCTCGAACTACAACCACAAACAATCAACAGAGCTTTTTCTTTTTCAAATTTCTTTTCGTAAGTGTTTTCTTATAAATTTCCGTGAGGCTGTCACTCCAAAGCGGAATTTCTTACTTACCTCAATTGACGTATTTCTTTGTTATGCAAAAGTTTTAGTCCTTCCTTTGTTTAGTTCAATTGTCGTCAACGCTATTGAGATCCAATTTATTCATGACAGTTTTTTTTCTGTCAAGTCATTGTTAACAACTTGTTAACCTTTGGCTTAAATCTCCGTTAAATAGCTGATAATTATGATATTGCCTTTGAGACCCTTAAGCTTTTAATTATGTTTTTTTTTTGTTGTTTCACTGAAGTGTTGAAATTAATACACTGTTACAAACTGATAACTGAGATTCATTGAGATCAGTGTCACCATAGTTAGTTGAGGATACTGGTTATGAATGCTGACAAAGCAAAAACAATGATTCTACATTTAACGAGACCCTGTTGGCCTAAAATTCTGACAAGCATCATGGCCATGAAACAGCAATATAAGGCAAGATGAAAAGGCGACAGATGACATTATGATGGGTTAAATACTGACAGGTTCATGGCCTACTCCTGAAAATGTGAAACAGTCATATTTGAAATTTAGACTAGGGACATACATTCCCTTTTCCCTGCCCCTGAGAGGGCCTTGTTAATGTTGGCATCTCCCTGATTGTGCTCCATCTGTTGGTTTTGTTTACAAATTGTGACGAAATAATTAAGTTAAAGGCGTGTTCCTATTAGTCAGTGAGTTGGATTGTTGCGCATGCTCAATTCTAACGTAAAGGTCAGTTTACAAGCTTTGATGTGTACAGGCCCTGATTAGGGAACCAATGTCTATGCAAAACATATGCTAAACACAAAAACTGGGCCATTTTTTACCTGGAGTATTTCTTTTACAGAAATACTCTGGCTCAATAAACAATATTGTTGACGTAAACCTGTGGTTATAGTGACTGTTGGGCTGAGATAGATCATTCCAACACGTTTAATTATTGTGTTACCCTTACTGTTGAGCTCTTCTAATAAGGCTTTGCCCATGTTGTCTAGGTATTGTGGGTCTAGGAATGTTTTGATCAGATCATTTCTGATTCTCTGTGACTCACAATTTCATTTGTCACTGAGTCTCATTATTGTGTTCTTTCCATATTCTTTCAAGTTTCATAAATTTTGCCTCCATTTTTCCCCTCCCCCTCCCCTCCCCCACCTTTAGCCATTAGCTATTTCAGAGGGCTAAGTAAAACATGATTCGTCTTTTGTCTTAACAGTTGGAAAGTGTCCATTCACGTTCAATTCAGCGGCTGAAGATGCTCAGGTGAAATTTGATCAGTTTGCTGGCTGTGCATGTGATTACAGGGAAGGTGCACCTAAGAAGGAGTCTTCTGTGCCAGCAGGTTTGTAAAATATTAACGTCTTTATCTTTTTCAAAGCCTGTGCCAAAGACGAAACTAAACCCATGGTTAGGTCTGTCTGTGAGTTAATTAATGCTGAAATCTTTGTTCTGGGTCCCCACCTGTGTACTAGGGTTTGAGCATGAGCACGAGGAGATAGAGGATATTACATGGCTGTGCCGAGATACGAAATTTCTCTTCGAGTGTTGAAAAATATTTCACGAGTGAGCGCAGCGAACCAGTGAAATATTTTTTCAATACGAGACGAGAAATTTTGTATCTCAAAGTGGCCGTGTAATGTTCTATTTATTATATAAACACCAATGAAATACCAAACCATTTCAGATCACTTGAATAGTTTTTTGGTGTGAAAGGTGCAATTTATTACGTAGCCATAGCAATGGTGATATTTTCACATGTGAAAAAAGATAACGTGTTATTTTCACATGTGAAGATATCACGTTTTTGCGCAAAATCTCACCTGGTATTTCATTGGGGTTTATATAATGAAATCATTTATTGTATGGTTACTGATATGATTCTAATTCAGTTTTAAAAGGATTTAATTTGATGTTTTAGCTTATGGTCACGTTACTATGTAAGTTACTGGTGAGGACCAGATGACGATCGAATAGTATCCCATGATGCACCTCGATTCCTGTTATATTATCACTGCGTACGTGACACATGATGATCAGTAATCTTCAGCACGCGCGAAGTGAACATCGATCGCAGTACTCGATGTGGTTGGTTTCCAAACATGTTTCGGTTCAGCAGCTTCTGCTTTTGAGATTATCGAGTTGGCTTAAATTCACTGTGCTTTAAAGGAGAATTTCAGTGTTGCTTTGACTGAGAAGGGTTTTACATGTATTTCACTGATCTGTCGAGAACTACTTGTGCCGCGCTCGGTCGCACTGTAAACACAAATTATAAGACTCGCAATTGGTAAGCTTCGCTAGATTCACTAGGAGAACCCAGGCCAGAGGAGAACCAAAACTATGATTGATCTATAAAGTGGTTCCAACAAAACATCCGCTACGCTGTGAAGCTAATTACCAAAGGAGAATTTATTACAGCATCGCGCTCAAAGGAGCTGAAGTTTACAATGGCAGTTACAAACAAAATTTAACCTATCGATGCGACAAACAATTCTCTGAAGCACAGTCTACCCGGTACTGACTCAAGCAATCTTCAAGGAAATTTCCTGGCCAGAATACTGATCTGTTCTTTTGAATAAATAAAGTTTCTGATGTTTCTTTTTCAAATTCTGAGCAGGCTTCAGTTTACGTTGTGCCGGCTTGCATGCTGCGTGGTACCTTTCTTTGGGTTCTTTTCACACTGAAACACACCGTTATACACCGCTCCTTCTTCGAATTAAAATAATTATAGTCAAATTCCTTTTAAAAATAACCTCTTTGAAAATAAAAAGTGATTGCTTCGGCGTAGAGCGCTCTCAAAAGTGCCCAACAGATTGTAGCCTTCATCAGGCTTTACACATATTATGACACATGGCGTTGAAATGTGATAAAAGATTCGAAATTTCAGCCATCTTTGGTCGACAAAAAAGTCTTCAAAATGTGGGTACTTCTGGGTACTTCTTAGCCTGTACAATATTCAGGACTTCATTTTGCTCGTGTAAGGTCCACATTTGGGAGATTTCAACATATATTCCAAAAAATCTTGAATATTCATGACCTGGTTGTGGGTCACTGAACACTTTGTGATGGGAAGACTAATTGAAACCATGAAAATAAATGTTTCTATGTGGAAACTTCGCTCTTAAGCCATTGCAAATCGGAGAAATCATGTCAAATAACGTAATAATGTAATTTTTTTATTTTTACTGGAAATCGAGTGAGAAAAAAGCCGACGAGAAAACGACCTTACTTCAAGATGGAATCTGCTATGACTGCGATATTGCGTGATGCTTCTGGAAAAATGCATCATGGGATACTATTCGATCCTCCTCTGGGTGAGGACATAATTGGACAAATTAATATTAGTATTTTTGGTTTGATTCATGACTTGAAATCTTTCCATGGAGACTAAATTTTGTTTTGACTGATTAACTTTGTTATGAGCAAGAGTTATTGCATAATTCTAGAGAAACCTTATCTTGAATATTCTAGGAATTGTACTGCAGCTGGAGTTGTTTAAGCCGTCATTAAGTTAAAATACAAAATGGCAAGTAGAAACTAAAACAATAACCCCCAAACTAGCCTTGAAGTATGGGGTACATTGTAACACATGCTTCATTTGTGTTTGCAACAGATGGCAAGTGCCCATTTTCAAGTGGCAAGTTGGTGGTTGATGCTTTGCAAAAAATTCACCCCACCCCTGCTATGAAAGTAGGAAGTGTGCTTCCTCAGACCACTGGTGTGCGTCAGATGGTGACTATGCCTTTAAGTGCCCAAGGTAAGGTATTAGAATGGAAGTTTATGATTCACGATCGCTCGATGCCTAAGTGACCTCTGAGTACCATAACTAGCCACTATGAGATTTATTTGTAGGTTCCTAAGACTTCTAAACAGATTCTAAATTGCTGTTTTGTCTTTATTGATGTGCTAAGTTTATCTTTAAAAGTTTAATGTTAAATGTTAATTTTAGGGGTCCAAGTGGGGGCGTTTAATAGATGGGAGGCGTTTAAAAGAGGGAGGTGTTTATTCTCGTAACTCATTTTAACGAACTCAACATAACTGTATACAGTATGCTTTCGGCTCAAAACGTTTTTGTGTTAACAGAATCTCGACTGCGGGATGACAGCTTATCTAGAAATTGAACGTGACATAATACACAAACTGATGTTTATCAAGCAATGAAATTAATAAGTTGATTGATTTTGCTCTATTTCACCATTTCCTAGTCTTTGGGGGCAATTCTCAAGGGGGGCGTTTATTAGAGAGGAGCGTTTAATACTAACTTACCAGCATAAGGAGGGCGTTTATTAGATAAGAGGCGTTTATTTGAGAGTGGGCGTTTATTAGATCATTTACGGTACTCAGTACTGACATATCAATTTTTTTTGTCGTACAGGGTTAGCTCCCAGTCTTGAAGCCTTCAATTCTCATTTTGATTACGATCAATTCTTCATGGGGGAAATTGAGAAAAAGAAGAAGGATGACACGTATCGCATCTTTAAGAAGGTGAATCGTCTGGCAGAAACATTTCCTCATGCCAAAGATTTCAGTTACAACACTCAAGGGAAGAACATCACTGTATGGTGCAGCAATGACTATCTTGGAATGAGCCGACACCCAGAGGTCTTGAAAACTGCCAGGTAAGATTGGCATGTTATGTACTTAGTCTTAACAGTTGGTGGCAACGAAAAGGGAGCGAGGGAGGGTGCTGCTCTGGAAATTTTTTTTTTTTGCCCTGTGGGCCACCATTTTGAATAAAAATGAGTGGCCCTTGTCTATATCTACTAATAGTAGTACTTAAGACAGCTCCTTTCAGTGTAGATGAAAACACTTCAAGCTCTAGTATCAACTTCTACATTCTCTTTGTTGGTCTAATCTTGTTTTGAGGCATTGATTCCTTTCTCTTTTAACTCATGCGGCACTTGTATTGATATTGTTTGAGTAGTTACAATATAGCAATATTTCGCTCTATGTCACCTATTGATATTTATGTCAAAACCAGCGGCTTTTTAGCCCTTGAAGGAATGGGCGACTTTTGATGCAGTGGCTGGTACATTTGAATAACAAAAACAATCTTTACAAAATTGAAGGATCACTCTGTGAAATGAATAAATAATTTGCTGCATCACCATATCTGCTCATAGGGTAGAATTTCATAGTTCAGCTATAACAATAATTTACCAACTGCCACTAGTTTAGGAATGGTAGAATGTACAGCAGTAGTTGTATTATTTTGGTAACAAGTATTTTCCTGTATTTTGGTTCCAGTGTAATTTTATTTAAAAACAAAAAACACTACTTTGATCCCACAGAGAAACTATTGAGAAGCATGGAGTAGGTGCTGGTGGCACCAGGAACATCTCTGGAACGAGCAGTTTTCATGAATCCCTCGAGGCAAGGCTTGCTGAGATACACCAGAAGGAAGCGGCTCTGCTGTTTACATCTTGTTATGTTGCCAATGACACTACTCTATTTACACTGGCAAGGCAGTTACCTGGTATGCAAAAACGCACCTAGTAGGAATAATGCAACTAGAGCTGTAGTCCTTGGAATTGAGTACACAGTAACAGAATTTTAGAGTGCCTAATGAAAAATTCAAGAAGTCACAAATTTTATCTTGCAAAAAAGTGACATTACCATAATAGTAGTACATAGAAGTTTCATTGAGTGGTGACCCTAAAGTTTGTTTAGTATACAGCACCACAGGAAAGTACTGCTCAGTAGCTTTCGCTTGAATGGTCACACTTCAGGATTTCATCCACAGACTCAAAAGTTAGAATCACGTTCTTCAGCGCCATTGATGACACAATTTTTCAGCTTTACAAACATCCTTTCGTGCCTGTTTTTTTTCCAAATTGCACACAAAATAATAATAATAATAATAATAATAATAATAATAATAATAATAATAATAATAATAATAATAATAAAACATGTTATTATCTATACAAACCACCGCAACCTATCTTATTTATTTTATTTGTTTGGTTCCTTGTGTTCTTTATTTATTCACTTCTTTGTTTATATATTCTCTCAGGCTGTTTGATATTCTCCGATGCTGGTAACCACGCATCCATGATCCAGGGCATTAGGAACAGTGGCGCTAAGAAGTTCATCTTCAGGCACAATGATGTGGAACACCTTGAACAGCTGCTTCAAGAAGCAGACCCTGACGCACCCAAGATTGTTGCTTTCGAGACTGTTCATTCCATGACAGGTGATGTGTGTCCGTTGGAAGAGCTCTGTGATGTAGCGCACAAGTACGGCGCGCTGACATTTGTTGACGAGGTGAGTTCTTCCATTTTCAGAAAAATACGGATGAACCTGGTTGAAACAATTGCTTTGTTCATGCAAAAACTTGCAAGACGAAGAACAGCAAGCGGGTATTTCTTAGATTAATTAAAGAGGATATGTAATGAGGGTAATGCTGATTTACGTCAATTCTGTGCTGACGTCATTCCTGTGGAGTTATGAAGAAGACAGGAAACAAATTTCATCGGGGAGCACTAACTCCAATCATTTCTTTTGGTGATTTTTGCTGACATAGCACTTACATGTAGCACTAAACGTGAACAAGTTAGCCCAACTTTTTGAAGTTTCAATCTATGTCCATCCTTCCCATCCGTTTTAAATGACGACATGAAACAGTTTCCATGCCTAAATATAGCCTTAAATATCAAAACTGGACCATTATTTTTGGAATTCAATTGATGCGAAGACGAGTTTTACCTGTAAAAAGATAGGAAATGGCGTAAAACGAAAGCATGCCCAAGGTATTAGGGTGAAACTGTTGAAAAAGTATCTACGCTTTACTTGATTGAGACACCAAAACCCAAAGAACCCTGCGCGAGATACATACAGTACATGGGGGTCTATACTTCAGACTGATATTAAACCTACTCTGGTCTCAGTAACTTAAGCTCAAACTTTTCTACCATGTTTTATCTGTAGGTCCACGCAGTGGGTTTGTATGGCCACAGCGGTGCGGGTATCGGAGATCGTGACAATATCATGCACAAGATGGATATTATCAGTGGAACCCTCGGCAAAGCCTATGGAGCCATCGGTGGTTACATCGCCGGAACTGAGGCGCTGGTTGACAACATCCGTAGCTATGGTTCCGGGTTCATCTTTACCACTTCCTTGCCCCCTGTCACCGTGAATTCCGCCATAACATCTGTTGGTATCCTGGCCAGTGGCGAAGGACGAGAGCTGCGCAGACAACATCAGAGTGTGGTACATACACTGCGCAATAAGCTCGTCAGTGCTGGGTTACCTGTGGTGTATGCTCCGAGCCACATTATACCTGTGCATGTAAGTGTTGTCTTTCTTTACGTCTGTAGTCAGACAGTTATAGAAATAGAAAAGAAGAAATCCTTCTCGGGAGTTTGAGATTTCGAGAACGGACATCAGGAGCCACGGAACGCCAACATGCACTTTAAATCTTTGGGTGTTTTTTTTTTAGGTTGGCGATCCTGCCAAGTGCACGGCCATCTCCAATGAGATGCTTTCCAAATATGGCATGTACGTTCAGTCCATTAACTACCCCACAGTGGAACGAGGCAAGGAGAGGCTGCGCATTGCACCAACACCCCAACACAATGAAGAGATGATGGATAAGTTCACTGATGCTTTGGTCAAGGTGTGGCGAAACAATGGCATGGAGTTCCTTACTCCCGTTTGCACCACCGAGTGCGATTGCCAGGATCGCTGCATCACTTACAAGGAGCTGGATTGTGACAAGTACGCTTCACAAGTGGGAGCCGCCTAGAGCTGTTGGCACTCCGAATCTGGCCGCTTAATGAGTTGTGTAGCACATATTCTACAGAATGGAATAAGCCTGAATTGTCAATTGTAGTAATTTAAGTTACAATGTAATTTCAATCTGGAATTGAAACTGGAATAATCAGTCACGCTTACGCACCTATAAAACTGTCTTCTCTTTGTTGTGATATTTTTCACGTTTATCATGCACTCTAACACGCGAAATCTTTGAAGAAACAGTTTTTGTCCCCAACGTTTCTGTTAAACCCCTTGTTATTAAATTAATCCAGAAAGACAGTATTATGCATCACAACGAAAATTGAACATAGCCTCTCTTTTTGCAGATGTCTTCTTGAAACTGCCCCGCTCTGAACATCCCCCACCCCACCCACACCCAGACACAAACACAAATCCACTACCCCCACCGCTTAAAAAAAAAAGCCTCGTCGAAAATTAATGGACACCTAACCATTTTCTCATAGACCATAGTGTACCTTGTTTACCGCCCCCCCAAACAAAAATTTACACATCCATTGTTTCCAGTTTCTCCTGTGTATTACAGTTGTCCCACGACAAATCGAAAACAATGGTTATGCACAATTTTGGAGGATACACAAGGTGCTTTATGAAAGCGAATAGGTTTAGATGTTTCAAGAAGGATACTTACGAACAAGGTGATAATTATGGTCGTTTGCATTAAAGATGAAATTTGAATAGTTTTGCATCTAACACGATAAAACTGTCAGGAAACAAAATTAGTTTGATGTTTCAAGAGCCGATTTGAATATTTGTGTTAAACGAACAGGACAAACAAAATCTGAAAAACAATGATGGCATAAACTATAAATATATTTCAAGTATATAAATTTCTAAAAGGTGCTATGCATTACACGATAAAATTTTGAAGAAATACTAAGCACTTTGTTTACCTAAACTACTTTTCTAAAAAGATATCTACAAATCGTACATACTAACAGTAAAAAATAAACGGGCTGTAGCTTGATTATCCGGAATAAGTTTTCTCTTTTTTTAAAGCCGAATACGATAAAAAATGATCAATTTGGCTGTTACAATCGGCTAATTGAGGTCGCACACTGAAGACTGGGTTGGTGTTGTGTCGAAATGCCTTGTGGGACTATTTTGAGCGACAAATTTTGACCCAGGTTGCAGTGTGCGCCTAGATACAGACACCTAACTGGAAAAGTAGCGCCAAGTGCGGGTCCATTTTGAAGGGGTCTATATTAGAGGCACTGATTGTATGAAGTTTGAATCTTTGGGGCAAAGATAAGTGTCCGTATTGATGAGGCACCGCCGCCCATTTGATAGAGGTGTTCGTTAGGCGCGGTTCGCCTTTATAAGCACCACTTAAGGAGCACACATAACTACGGTTCTTTTAGGAGAGCTTTTACAGTGTGTGATATTTTTAACTCTTTCTAAAAGCGTGTGGCCTAAGAGAATAAGCGAGTATGCCTGTGGGTGAATTAAGAGCGACTGAGACATAGATAACAATTAATTTCCACTAACTGGAAAGCCTTATCTGAAACCAGATCCAGAAAGCATTCTGAGAAATGGGCCTCCAAACGTTAACGATCCAGGTTTCAATCAAGGTTGCTTTGTTCCGAAGTGGGCGCTCAAAGTTTCAATCGCCTAATCCACATCAAGATTGCCTAAAATAAAAGCGACCTAAGTAACGATTGTTCTCCAAATTAAGAGTAGGAATCATCCCTTAGCTTTCATAACAGGCAGCGCTCCGCCGTGAATGTCCGCCCAAAGCTTACAAATCAGACTCAAAGCCTTTTCTTTTTCCTCGTACGTCTGGGCAACAATCCGCCAGCAGATTTCACCGTCAGCGAAGCCCAACGCATGCGTAATAACGCATAAATCGCCCATACTTGCGGAATCAAATCCCTCAGGTGCGTCCCCGTCTTGATGTTGAGTCGGCAAGAAAACCATTTTAAAGTCGCACGAGTTAAAGTCGCTGAATTCGACGCGTGACAGCGACTTGATGTCACGCAAGTCCTGCACGTTATATTGCGGGCTCTCTGGAAGCCCGGTTGCGAAGAGCGGCAATGGATAATTTACGTGATCCTCGATGCAAAGGCAGAGAGATTTGTCCATGATCACGAGCGTCCGTGGTTCTTCGACGTTCGATTTCGTTTCATGAAAAACTAAAAGATAGACAAGGATGACAACGTCTTTCAGAAGGCTGCAGTCAACCGAAGCGCGACTAAAGTCCGAAATAGCGTCTTTGAGGATCTCCAAAGTGTCATCGTTTGGGTAAATAAACTTGACCCCGTTGTTAACATGATGGTAGTCTGTCTTCGTGAACGAGCAGTGATCGGCTTCGGACGTCGGCTGAGAGTCGTAAATGCTCGTGGTAAGGGTTTCAGCTCTCGGGGGTGAAGGATCGCTGGTGTGCTTTGACGATAAAATGGCGTTTAAGCGTTCCAGGAATGTGCTCGTGAGATGAAAATCACGGGTAATGAAAGTGAAAGTGTCTTCTTTCAATTCAGTCTCCAGTCTCAATGTTTGATCAAACAATCCAACACAGACTTGTCTTAACTTGCTGATGGGGATCCAATTAAAGCAAATCGTAGGCTTAACGTCTTCTAAACCTTCGCAATTCCTGAGTTTACCCTCCTTTTTCTTATTAATCAAGTCCTTGTGCTTTTTCTCCGCTAAAATATACACGTACAAGTTGCTTAACAAAACACAGACTTTGAATTCCTGCGCAGGGAAAAGGAAAGGCGTACACCCGGTCCATAGCACGTGTAAAAGGGTTTCTTCTTCACTCTCGCTTTTTTGTGAAATGCATTGACGGAAAAACTTGTCCAGCAACTTTCTATCCAAAGTTACTAAGCTCTCCAAGCCATTCAGTACATTTGCCTGCAAAATCGGCAAATTATCAGAACCCACCCTCCGATGGGTCTTTTTTGGTTCCACAGGGGTACCCACGGGGGTGTGTTGCCCGTTTATTGAAGACATCGACGAGAGAAAGCCGTTTGGATCCTTCCCTCCCTGAATGTCAGGGAACAACTTTGGTTTGGAATAAGTGATTTTAAGATCTGCTTGGAAATCCCCTTTCCAAACTTGGGAGAGAGAACGCTGAAGTTGCGTGCGCTCATCGCAGGCTTTGAAAACTAAGTGCCAGCAATTTTGCTCGCCAGCGGCCGTCGCCTCAACTTCTTCATGCTCGAAAATTAAAGACAGGCCGTATACACCGAGCATTTCACTGGCATTGCTCCCAAGTTCAAAGACATCAAGACCAATTATTTTATTGATCCGCTGTGACTTGGTAACCACCCACTGAGGTGTGGACGGTGGAGCCCGAACAAACGAAGGCAAAGGCCAATGAACGTGATCTTCGTCGCAAAGAAAAACCTCCGAGTTTGTCACGATCAAACTTCGGAGCATCTTCGTGAGATCTCCGTTTTCCTGGACGTTAAACAAGGCGCACTCGGGGATCTCTCGGACGATGGAGTACATCAGCAAATTCTGGTCGTCCGCTGGTGTGTCTGTACCGGACTTCGCCAGTTCGGATTTTAATTTGTTGATTTTCTCTTCATCGGGAAAGCTCAGCCTGGGAAGACTCCCGGACGAAAACTGTCTTCTGATTCGTGGTACCTGAGACTGCTCCTTGTCCAGGGGCTCTCCAAGGACGTCGCTCAAGGTTACTAAAAATTTGTCCGTTTTTTCCGCATCACGAGTGAGGACGGTGAAGGTTCCTCGAGGGCCATGCAGCTTGACTTCCATTCTAAAGCCTTGATCGTATAAACCAAACACCACCTAAAAAAAGACGCACAAAGAATACACTTGATTCCCGAAGACAAAAGGAAGCTCCTTAAGTGTAGAAGTCTTTTTGGTGTTCTTCAGAGAAACCAGGGAACATTTCAGAAGAAAAGAAAGTAGCCTTAGGAAATTTGACTTTTGAGCAATTCAAAAAGAAGAAGAAGAAGAATTGACTGACTGACTGACTGACTGATTGATGATGATTGATTAATTATTCAATTAGTTAATTGACTGTCTTGATGTCTCTGGCTGACTGACTGACTGGCTTTCTGACGAAATGACTGCCTGACTGACTGACTGACTGACTGACTGATTGACTGGCTGACTGACTGACTGCCTGACTGCCTGACTGCCTGATTGTTTGTCTGACGGACTGACTGGCAGACTGTCTAATCGACGGACTAACTGATTGTCTGACTGACTGACTGACTGACTGACTGACTAACTGCCAGGCTGACTGATGGGCTGACGAACGGAACGGAACGACCACCTCCCTGCATGACTGACTGGCTATCTAAATTATGAATGACTATTTGACAGGTCGTATACATGACTAACCCATTAACAAAAATCGATAACTTACCTCGTTTAATTCACGAACGGGGAAACTGTAAAAGCACTGTAGGATCTGTCGCAAATCACTCGCCTTGGTCACCGCTCGGACACGCTCGGGACAATCAAGATGCGACGAGTGGAACAAATAAATATTGACGTTTGTCATCAGCAAGCAGATGGGAAGCTCTCGCTCGGGGCACACATACGGGAGACACCCGGACCATAAAATCAAACGGACCCTCTCTGGAGAGGTCCCTGAGCGATCGTGTCTTAAGCACCCTACATCTATGAACTCAGCATGAAGGGCCTGGTAAATTGTTTGGGTCCTTTTAGTGGAGCGTCCTTCCAGGATAAGGCCTTTGGTCACTTGCCTTGCTTGTTTGTCAACATCTGCTCTCAAATCGCGTTTGTGAAGAAATTTGTCGAAAAACCTGACGAAAAAAGAGTCTGGTTAATGAGAAGGAGGATTGTTTTTTTCTCTCCAAGGCAAGGCTGCGCTTAGACGATTTCCATCCCCCCGCGGTAAATTTCTTCCTTACCAAGGGTAATTTTCCACTGGCTTAGGGACGGACCATTAGATAAGTTATTGGGGGGGGGGGGGGAATTTTCGAGCCGCAAGAATTTTTTTTCGTTATCAAATTCCTCGTACGAATTTCTTTTAGGCCAAAGCATGAATATTTTTTAGGATTAATTGACGTGCATAATTTTTTTTCATTTAATTTTCCCTTGCGCAAATAATTTTTTTGTACTTCGCCCGCCCTCCCCCGCCCCCCTTCTTCCCATAACTTTTCTAATGGTCCGTCCCTTAGGATAACGAAATAAGCGGACAATGTTTTTCTCACACACAACTGGGAACCTGGGTACAGGTCATGTGACCGAAAGGCGGGCAGTTACTTTTGTTGCTTCCGCCATTAAAACGAAAACTAAGGCCAAGCACCCTTCTAACTCGTTCAAACAGGTAAATAATTGTTGTTCCTTCATATTAGAAAAGTCCATATCGACATCATCTAGGAAAACCAGCCATAGAGAAATGAAAACGGCGAAGTTAAGTATCTAGGAAAACCAGGACTAAGCCGTGAATCAGTAGTCTTCAATTCAAACGTCCAGCGCACCAATCATAAACGCTTTAACTTTTCAGCTTATTCTTGGCAATTACAAGGGAATGATCAGTATTCAAAGCAAAATCCACAGACCTGTGCAGGAGCTTATCTTGAACTCCAAGGGGATTGGGCCATTCCACAACATTCCCAGAGAACACGTCATCAAGTGGCTCTTGCACTGAGATGCTTGGAATTGACTCCTTTGACGACCTGGAATGGGAGTCAGGCAAAAGCACCTCAACATTGATATTCAAGATTTGTTTAGTCTTATCTCAGTATGTTATTTTATTTCTACTAAAATCGTCACCTTTCTGTGATAAACTTGTACAGCAGTGCAAACAGCTCAGCGGCATCGTCCACAGAACGCATGCGGTACTGAGCCACCTGTCGATAATCCCTGTTCTGTCCGGAAGTCAGACTATCCCTGTGACGTCGCCATTCCTTGGAAAAGATGTCCCGGATGTCGACGCAGAAAACGCCATGGAGTTGTAGGATGTCAACACTACTGATATCCTCTGAGAAATGAAAGACACGATAAAAATAACTAATAAAAGAGACCAGTGGACCAATCTGATCCACTCAAAATATTCCGGTTATCAATTTGACAAGTGCACTTGTGTTTCGCTTTGCCACTATGATTTCGAGATTACGTGCACTTGTTGTGAGCCTGGCTTCGTCCTAGCTTCTGATAGAACGTGAGGCTAAGGTTGACCTTGTTCTAATGCAAAACTCCTTTCTTTTCGTACGGAATTTATGATTTAAAAAATACTAGTAAGCATAGGATTAGCCTGCGAAAACATCCGTTTCTCCTCGCTCTTCGTCGCTGGGGACGTTTCGTGCGGAGGAACGTCTGCGACTCAACGACAGAAATTCCATACTGATGACGTAAAATCTGTCCGGAATCCGGTCAGAAGCGCTGATTGGTCGACGCAGCAGTTTCATTATTTTAGCTATTGTTTATGAATGACAGACAAAAAACAAAAGGCCACAAAGGTCAAATGTAAACGGAAAGAATCTCTAACAAAACAGTCAATTTTTGTGGAATATAGACTTCTGTTGAAGAAGCATTTGAATTTTGCTGGAGTTCGTGGGCAGATCAACACAACACTTCACCAAAATCGACCAGAAGACACGCAAAATTAGACAAATTTATATTTGGAACCCCATGACTACCGGATTTATTATGTAAACATTAATTTGCGTCATCAGTATGGAATTTCTGTCGCTGAGTCGCAGACGTTCCTCCGCGCGAAACGTCCCCAGCGGCGAAGAGCGAGGAAAAAAGGATGTTTTCGCAGGCTAGCATAGGATCAAAATGACGCAATACTAAAAAAGAAACGTACAAAGGGACGCAACAACTCGTCGCGTCTGTTTAAACGTAGCTAAAAGTTTGATCGGTTTCAAACTTTGTGCTACAACATGCAACAACATGCAACAGGGTGTGCAAACGGACGCAACATGTAACAGCCAATAATGTTGGGAGTTGTTGGCTAACAATGTTGCGTCCGTTTGCATGAAGCTTAAAACGTTCACATCTTTGATTGGGGACGATAGGATATTCGTTTCCCTCTCGATCTAAGGCCCACACGGTTCTTCCTTAGGCCAAACATCGCGAGGGGAAAACTCGGTAAGTAATTTACAGTGCGGATTTCAAACTAGACTAACACGAAAACATGTGTTCCTAACGGCCTCGCTTACCCAAACGATGTCTGGCAAAGGTCTCACCAGTAGATATTTTAATCTCAAGAATGATCCCTTTGTCAAGGTCCACTCCAACCATTCTCTCCTCTGTACCTCCTTTATTACGCTCCTCCCCCTCCACCTCTACCATATATGTGCCTGAGGTCCTAGAATTTAAGGAAAATTTAACTCAACGACAAAAGTTCGAGGAAACTCTCCATTGGAGCAAAATCAAATAATCTCAATCAAAAAAAATTCAACCTAAACATAAAATCTGTGCCGTGCCTTTTATAAACAGGATAAAACATAAATTCACTGAACAATTTCTAGAGAGTTATACGTACAAATCAGCACTTGATTCCACTTTTTCGTGAATAAGTTTTTCCAGTTCGGGTGCAAAACCAAACTGCAGCCTACGAGGATGATCATCATCTACTGGTTCGTCAGAGGTTTCCTTTGGAGGGAAAAATGTTTATAAGCGGGAGAAAAGTTATCAAAAAAGCGGGTCACCCTCCAAACGGAGTCAAATTTAGTGAGCGTTTATTTGAGGAACTAGTTGATTCCTTTGCCCCAGCCAACTTGTTTTGATTGTCTCGCTTTGACCGAGTTGATAGGCTGGGCGAACGATAGCTTGCGTAGCAAGCGTTTCCGCGCGAGTTCGTCGAGAAAGTTGGAACGAGAGCAAAAAAGAGGAATGACGGGGGAGGGGGAAGGGAGAGAAGGTAACGCTTGCCTTCTCCCCTCCCCTTCCCCTTCCCCCTTCCACTTTTTTTTTTGTTTGCTCCCGCTCCAACTTTCCCGCAATAACTCGATTGGAAACGCTTGCTACGCAGGCTAGGCGAACAAAAGGGTTATATGAAACAAAACGTTTGCTCGGCTTAAGGAGGGTGACATTAAAATCCACAAAGGGTGACTCGCTGCGGGTAGCTCCTTTAACTCTGTCTTTTAGAAATATATGTTCAGACTCAGCAAACAAAGCAAATATACTTACTTGCTCTTCTGTTTGACTGGGAGGACTGGCACTGCCTCCACTGATCGTGTCAACTTTGGAAGGCTGCGGATAGCTTAGGAGCTCCGATGGACTTTTTTCACTCCCACTGTGCACTTGGTCACTTCCTCCAACCTAAAGGGGAAACAAAACAGACTAACCAGTTGAGCTTTGTCGTATACGTTAAACAAATCTGTTCTTGTAAAACGCATTTAAGAGATCTCAATATGGTCTCTTTAGAACTTTTCTGGGCTGAAAAAGATACTTCTAGAGATTTGTTACCCTAAAAGAAAAACAAACATGTCATCTTCAGAATAACTAACTATGGCTATACGAGAAATATTTCTACGGTTAACATTTTTTCGCCTTATGTCACAAACGTTTCGCTGTTTGAACGCTAACAGTTAACCCCATGAAGACTGTTGTTAGTCGGTAGACCAAAGCTAGGTTGCGTTTGCTTGATAGTATTCCGGGATAAGGATACGCTGAAATTTGTGACAAATCTCTGCTCTTTGATTAGATTAACGTTGACTGTCAACATTGGTGGGCAAAACGGCGGGTGGAAGACGTAAAACAGAAGACGGCTTGCAAACGTTTTTTTCTGTCTTTCTAGCTCCACGTGTCCGTTTTGATAAGCTGGCCGGCCTCAACACAAACCTGAGTCATTTCCGCTTCTCCTTGCATTTCGTCAAATATCTTCAACCAAGAATCACCTCCGATCTGGCGAATTTTTTCCACTTTGGAACGAAACTCTTGATCTGTGTCATCCACAAACGAGTTCGTGGAATCTGCAACATAACGTGAAGCTCAAAACAAGTCTCACAACTGTAGGGCATGCGACAAATACATGCACAGATACAAAAAATGTATGACGTGCTTTTCACAAAAAACAAAAAAAACAAAAAAAAAACAGGATCGTACCTGTTACGGAGGAGCTCGACTGAAAGTCCGTTGCATCAGTTAGGCTTATAACTCGGTCTACACTTTTCCCCTAAATAAGACATTGAAATAAGGAAACATTGAACTAGACCAGAATCCGATAAAATCCTCAAAGAGGCCCCTTAAAAACCACATGTTTCTGATAATTTTTTAAAACTATCCTTTAATCTGTTGGCAAGAATTCATCAATACTATGAAGTTTAAAGTGTGATTTTTACTTTAAGTGTGGAGAGAACACGGTAATTTTCATGTGTGGCCGCCTCAACAGAGTGCTACCTGACAGAGGTCGCACAAAAGTGGGGTAAAACTTCTAGATACAGAGTAATTCCTTTGTTTTAAGGAGTTGTTATCTACATGCCCCAGGCAAGTCTTCTCCCGGGGAGGGGTGGGGTGAGGAGTGGCATCATACATGGCCTCAAAGGTGTTTGCATATGATATCTCAATCGCCTGAACACATTTTAAGAGACTGGCCGGACCATGAAATGAAAACCGCGCTAAATAACTTCTATATTTCTTACCTTTTTATGACCTTTTTTCGGCACTGAATACTGAGGAGGTGTTGGGTAATTGATGATTTCAAAATTTTGCTCCTCTTGGAGAAGTTCACGAATCCTGTTCATCTCTCTGCTTGTTGGACGATTTCCATCAAGTTCAACCTGAAATAAGTCGTGACACTACATGAATAAGGATATGATTGGTTTAATTGACAGACAATAGCACAAATGGAATGACAACACTGATTCATTTATGAGAGATAAGGCCTCCTCGAACTACGGGCTAATAGTGGTCAACATCAAGTGAAGTAAAACATGGCGTGAAGTCTAAGATGGAAAAGATTTCAGATCATCATTCATACTTATTAATTAATTTAATCTTTTACTATTTTCTTAAAATGAGATAATTCCACGCCAAAAATCTTTACCTGTTCAGCCCGCTCATCAAAGGCCGTAAAGACTCGAATACGGTACATTGGTTCCTTAGTGACCGCATTATCCCTGAAGTCAATGTATTCTAGACATGGTAGCTCTCCCAAAGTCAGTACAGAGCCTATATCTGTGAAGTTATTCTCTCGGAGGTTCAAAGTAGTTAGGGAATACAACTTGTCAAGTCCTGCAAGCGAGCAACAGATCTCAGGTCGTTAGGTTATGTCGCTGTGAACAACCACTGATACACTATATTATACAGTTTACACTAAAACGTATAGCCTTGCGAGGGCACGAAAAAAATATCGAAGAGTCAGGGCTTCCGTACACACAAGAGAACGGTGACTTTGTCGCAGTATCTGTAATGCAGCGAGGCTGCGCCAAACCAATCTTGAAAGTGGATCGATCGTCACATATCGGATAGGTTCATGTGCCACTCTTTAACGCAGCGTGAACAGGGGGGAGCGGGGAGGGGGGAAAGGGGTAGGTTCACCTTACCCCAAAATAAAAAACGTTGACAAATTCACTTAGTTTTGTGTTCATGGTATTTGGCCCTCAATACCTCGTTTCGCAGTTACTTAGAATTCTACAGACGCAATCGAGGCAAAGAGGGTTAATTAAGACAAATATGAAAATAATATTGCCACCATTTCAATAAGGTGTATGGCCGCTTCAATCACAGTCCACATACTGAAAAACACTCAATATTCAGAGAGGACATGTTCACACTTGCTCGTTCCAAAATAGTGTTGTGTTCACTTGGTACCCAGTCATTATACAACAGTGTACACAATTGCTCCATTGCACTCTTTCAGATGCCATTTTTATACGTGAGAGCTGGAAGAGAGTGCACGCAGTGGATTGCCTTGGAACAAATAGAAAACGCGTTCAACAGGGACCCGGTGAAGCCTTTAGTGCCCTGAGTAAAAGGTCTCGACCTCGTACTCGGGCACCCAGACTATTCTCTGGATTATTCCCAAATTCTGGCTTGAGCACTTGAAAAAGATTGTGTCCACATTATTGCCCAGCTTGTGCCGTACACGGGCAAAATGACAGCCACGAAGTGTGAACATAGGCTCAATTAGAACTTCGTACCTTGCACGCTATCAAGCTCATTCCCTGCTAGATTAAGTTTCTTAATATTTCCCAGCTTTGTGTTCAAGTTGCTTCCAAGAATTGCTATTTTGTTGTGAGATAAATCCAGCTCCACCAGATTCGACAAAGCCTTTAATACAAAAGTAAAAAATATCAAAAATACAGTTAATGAGAATACCACTTATATAGAACGTTACTAGGTGCGTTAAGATCCAACGACGGCAACGGTGACGGCGTCGGGAACGTCAAAACAAAGCAATAGGTCTAATTAGCAAAACAATAACTTTGCACGTGCATCACGCTTTTTTTGTACATTTCTTTGCCGTCACTGCACGACTACCACGTGAAAATGCCTCGTTTCACGTTTTATATGAGGGTGAACAAGCGACGACGAAATTTCCATCCTGTTTCTGAACTTGGAACTTGGTTCGTTAGAATTCAGCTTCAGGAGAATTCGCCTACATTTGGCAAAGTAAGTAACTTAGAACAGTCGCGATGAAGATTGCAAAAAGGCCAATTCACTTTTTAAGCGACGTTTTCACGCCGTCGCTGTCCTCGGATCTTAAGGTTCCTATTGTAAACGGTTAGCGATTTACGGCGGTTTTTTGCCATTATAACGATACAGTTTCACGTTTAAACTAGGAGCAATAGGTTTCCATATTCGCCTGCAGTGAGCCATAGAAAGGTTTTTTTCACTCGAATAAATGAATTCATGTTTCTTATGCGATGAAATAATCAAAGGAATTAGACTTGATGAAAAACAACATGTCGGTACGAAACGACAACTGTACGAGCGCCACGCTAAAATTAACCCTGGAAACCTGCCGAAAGTCGTTTCCGATAGCTAGTCGACATTGCTATTGGGCTAGTGAATTCTGTTCTAAACTTGCCCAACAGGCAGGAGAAGGTTTGGGGGAATTAAAATTACCCAAGAACTATAGTCAATCCTTCTCATCAAGCATTTTTTCAGTTTCGGGCTCGTTAAAATGACTCTTGCGCTGGTATAGCTAATAAGTCTACAACTTGTCCAAATGGCAAGCTGTTCAATTGACTTTCTTTCCATCCTGCAATAGTGACCGCAAACTATAGTTCATGGTTTCCCCACGAAAACCTGATGTTCAAGGTCTCTGCTCTCGAAACCAAGCATCATTTTCACTTCACCCACCTGAAGATGCTCAATGCATTCGATGCTGTTGTAACTGAGATTTAAGCTGACTACTTCCGGCAGCAAAGTCTTGGAAAAAGAAACACTACATCAAAAACTTGTAAAACAATATTTTCTAACTTACGGAATTTATACAGCTAGACTATAAAACAAAAGAACTCTCTGCGAAGAGAATTTCACGGGATTAAACTGATTACTGTGTGGCCAACGATTTCAAGATTCAGTTCTTTTTATTGTTCATGGTAAAAAACAACCATTTCGTTTTAAAACTACTTCATAACAAAGCACGAAGATTTTAGTGATGTTCTCATTGTTGGAAATACATCGTTGTGTTTGTCTATTTTTCTCTTAAAACTATATCTGTCAGCTGTCAGTAGGAACTGTAATCAATGCATTTCTAGCTTTCAAATTCAGTGAGTGAAAAGTGGGCGATCCTTCAAATGAAACCTCTGTAGTAGATCTACCACATGGTACTATTCTCAATCAGTACCATACAGGCTGAAAAGTTGTTGTTTTTCTTAAATTTCGAAGTTGGACACTGTTTTGAAAAGCAATTACCACTGATTCATCAATGTACGGTAGGTCATTTCTGCTGAAATCGGCTTCAGTCAGAGCGGTCCACGCTCGAAAGTTGGACTGCGGGCTGAGCGAAGTATTGCCATCCACGTCAACAGTTTCCAGAACTCCCTGCTCCCAAATCTCATCATCAACTAAAATGTCCTAAAATTAAGAGAAAACGAAAGAAACAGTCAACAAAAATACATAATTATTCAATTCAAATTGTTAGCTTCTGATGTGCAGCAACAGCAGCTCAAATGCTGTAGTTCAATTGGCACAATGACGATCGTGATGGATGATGATGATGATGATGATGATGATGATGATGATGATGATGATGATGATGAAACGACGACGACGACGGCGACGACGACGATGATGATGACGACGACGACGACGACGACGACGACGACAACGATGACGACGACGACGACGACGACGACGACAATGATGATGATGACGACGACGACGACGACGACGATGATGATGGTGATGATAATGACGATGATGATCATGAAAGTTTCTTATAGGTGGATTTTACGTGCGCAATGAGCTTTGAGTAACTAAGAATAAAAACGTAACACAAGTAAAAATGTGACTAACTACCTTATTGATCGACATGTATCTGCGGTTAAAACGTCGTAGAGAAAAGGAAATATCTCGCGTTTTTTTTAGAAAATGGCTTTAGATTCAGACCATTTTATAGAATAATTAAGGTACATTTAGTCGAGTGTTACAAAGTTTCGCGTGCAAAAGAGTGAGCCCTTTGACCAAGGGAGGTTGTTGTGATATCAGAAAGTTGTACAGGCGATCACCGGAGTGAAGAGCCTACGAACGGTATAAAACAATAGTGAACACTCGTCTGCAGAGCAAAGGGTCAACACTTTAATGATATCTGGGGCAGGACCAATCCTCAGGGTCGTAAAATAATTAAAAGAAAAGTACAGTCGACTCCCGATAACTCGAACCTTCAAAGGAAATCGAAAAAAGTTCGAGTTATCGGGAGCTCGAAGAAAATAGCCGAGAGTAAGGTAAAAAGCAGTTTTTACTGCACAGTGGACATTTCAATCACATTTAATTGTAGAAATGTTGAGTGAAAATTAAAAGATACTTCTAGATTATAAATCAGAACGTAACGTAACAAAACATAGCCTAAATCAAAGTTAACTATGCCTAAATAGAGCATGCGTTTTACTGTTTTGAGAAGAAAAGCTGCTTCACGTTAGCCTTTGACCATCAAATCAGCCCCTTTAGTAAACTATACTCCTACAACACGTCAATAGGAAATCCAAAATTCTATGTTTCGGACGCCAGTAGACGGCTTTTTTCCCGACTTTTTAAGGGCTCAAAACATGGTTCGAGTTATCGAAGGTAAAACTATATAGAAAATGACCTGAGGGGAAACAAAAATTGGTTCGAGTTAGCGGGAGTTCGAGTTATCGAGGGTTCGAGTTACCGGGTAAAATTACAGTAAATGTATGACGGAAATAAAGGGGAAATCGATTTTGGTTCGAGTTAGCGTGAGGTTCGAGTTACCGAGGGTTCGAGTTATCGGGAGTCGACTGTACTGCTTTTTCTTTGCCTTTGCGTGGCTCCGCCATATCAAGAAATAGTGGTCTCGTCTTTAAGTATGAGAAGTATTGTGTCGTCAATTAGCACTTGACACTTCAATTAAGTAGTTTATTTATTTTATTTTATATTTTTACCTTTAACAAGTGAACGGACTGATGAACAGTTAGTTTACTGATTTGAGCCTGGACGACGCTTAATCCCTCAAATGGTTCCACTTCACAACTATCAATCTAAACAACGAAATAATGATGACAGTTAACTCCATGACATGAATGACTTTCCTGTGCACGATTAAACTCAGGAACAAAACGGTGGCCCATACTTTTCTTCCACCGTTCAACAATACAAATGGCCATCTCTGTCAAGAAAGATTGTTGTGATCCAGAAATTTTGCTACCATGGTAACCTGACATCACACCTCTCCTTTCTATCGCGATGACTTAAGGGCCTTAAACCCCGCCACCTGGGATTTATGCAGCTAAAGACCCTCTGTGGGGGAAGTATTAACCCTTTAAGCTCCGATATCCGCATATATATTCTCCATACTGATCTTTATACATTTCCTTAAAGAAATAGTTGAGAGAGTTAACAGATCAAAGCATTTTCCCTTTAGTGATCATTTTATTAACTCTCATAACCATTTCTCTTGGCAACATATGGATATTGTTAGGAGAAAATTGATGTTGGTCACTACTGGGATTAAGGAGATATTTTCATGGAACAAAACAATTTGTGACTATTTACTAACATTTCTTCTGTTCTGGTATAGTTGTTATTACCTCAAGTGTTGTCAAGGATTTGAAGATGGCAATGTTGCACTTCAAAGTTATGTTATCACTAAGTTCTACCAGTTTTTTCCCACCACAAACCTAAATGCACAAAAAAAACTACAAATGAACAACAGAGAAATCAGGACATAAATACTACAGATAGGTAAAGTACGCACTGTTTTGTACAGATTCAGCTTAAACAATCTCACCTGAAAATTAAATCAATTCTCTACAGGTAGAAAAGCTTGTTACAGTCAAAACCTTCCACAACAACTCCCCTGGGGACAGAGGTAAGTGAATGAAAGACCCCTGAACGTAAGATCCCTGGCTGTAAGACCCCTGAATGTAAGTCCACTGGATGTAAGACACCTCTCTGTAAGACCCCTTAATGTGACATCCCCGAACAAAAAACCCCTTGCTATAGCACCCCTCGAAATAAGACTCCTTGAGGTAAAACCTAAGGGGTAAGACCCCTGCACGTACGACCCCTTGATACTAGATCCCAGAGCGTAAATGGATGTAAATGGATGTAAATGAATGGATGGATGGACAGACAAATGGACATATGGACAGATGGACAGATGGACAGACAGACGGATTGACTGACAGAGGGATCATTTATTGATAATCACATTGCAACCCAGAGGTTGAATTAGACAGTTAATGAATATAAAAATACTACTATTTATTAGAAGCTAGCTTATATAGAAAATTTATGTAGAAAAATATACTACTAAGTCAAACTGCACCTAAGTAGTTCAATTACCTTTAAGTGCTTCAGTTGATACAAAAAATCATACAAATTTCCTATTTCTCCATGAGGAATGTGGGAATCTGCAAAAGAAATTCCAAGAGGTACAAAATAAATTGCCATAGATCTACAGTAGTCCCTTTGTATGAATGAGGCCAATTTTTAGATGACAATGCTTTTATATTCTAAGAGTGAATTTATTGCAACATATGCATTATATACTGTAAATTGTAGTCATTGCATTTGCCCATAGGAATTTTTTAGGGATTTGTTTTTAGCTTAAAGGAAAACGTGACAGCTATACCCATGTGTTGCAGGTGAATCCACCCATAGCTTGACTCAGATAAAGTTCTATAAACAAAGGATTTTTAAAATTGAACGTGTCACTTTGGATGTGTCTCATTCACACTAAATGATTAAAAATTTCACTGTACATGCAACAACAATATTGTCTTTAAAATGTCTAGGTACATACCGCATGTAGGTGCAGCCATTCCTAGCCTGCTTGTGATACAGTGAAGCTGAAGGGGTGTCAGAGTAAATTGCTGCTCTTTGGTTAGAATCTCATCACCTTAGGAAAATTATCATAAAAAGTTCAGTCAGTGACCTTTCAACTATGATGCAGTTAAACCTCAATAATTCTGACCTTGACCAACTAATCTTCTTGCTACAGTACCCAGGCATTTTCTGTGGTCTTTTTCACATGTCAGTAAGTTATCATGCATACCTGAGGGTATAACTTTTCTTCTTCTATCAAAGAGTTAAAAAGCGGGTTTAAAAAATCTGGTTTTTGTTTGCAATAATGCATTGAAAGCATTCAGTATTGAAGAGCTTTAGCTAAATTGTGATTGGCTTGAATGTTAATGTTAAAAGAGAAGGCATGCACACTTTTCCTAATTTATTCACTCTCATGTGTGATTATTTGTACTATTATCTAGATTGTCTAATTTATTATGCCAGTCCAGCAGATTCTTGGAATAACTTTGAAGTACCAAGGTAAATCAAATCTAAAAGGCTACCAAAATGAACAGGTGCCTGTTCTCACTCGCCGACTCACATGGCATGTATAATTTTAATAATGCAGTGGTCAATCCAGGAATTGAATATTTGGAATTTTTGCTCATCCTTGAAACTGTTCCACAGCCTGATTAATATTGGCATTTCATTTCTCTAAATGTTATCTTCTTTGTGAATGTGCTACCCCTCACTCTTACAGGGTTAGTAATATTATTTCAGTCTTGAAGGCAATCAGTCAGTACATTATAAACATTTCTGGTCTCATAAGCATTGGTGGATTTAGGGGTGGGCCAGGGGGGCCACGGCCACCCCTTTTCCTTTGAAACTTTGCCTTATTTTTGTAGAATTTTGTCTCAAAAAAATAAAAAGTATCTAGAATGGAGCTGGCAAGTGTCCCAGCAACCCCTTTCTGAATTTTCTGGATCTGCCCTTGATAAGTGCATATTGGTAGGAAGGAGGGGAAGGGGATACAGCCCCCCAGACCCTTCTTCTGGATTTGCCACTGTTACATGTAAATATAATCTAACTTTTAAGGTGGCTCAACTGGATTTTTCGAAGGCCAATACCATCCATGCTATGATGACTTTGTTGTCAACATAACACTACTCATAACCAATTTGAATACAGTAAAATTCTGCAAATAAGCCCCACCATGTATTAGCCTCTCCAAATATAAGCCCCCCAGACTCGTAATGCAAAAAACCCTCCATTAAATCGCCCCTCCGAATATGTCCCCGGAGGCTTGTACGTGGAATTTGCCCTCAAATACAAAATAAAACAAAGCAAAAATGGTAAATTTCCTTCCAACGGTAAGCTATTGCAATCGATTTTGAAAGGCAAATTTCCTTCCGTACATAAGCCCCTCCAAAAATAAGCCCCTCAAAAAGGGCCTTTGACAAATATAAGCATTGGGGCATATTTTCGAAATTTTACGGTATTTTGTCCGATAAAGCTGAGGTAATAGTTTTTCCTTATCTTTGTTAACAGGAAAATATCGGCCATGAGAAAAACAATTGTGCCACCTTTATAACTGTCAGTGTACAGACTTTTTACCAGTGGTAAACAACTCCTTTGCCAAAGAATGTGTCACTCCACAGACATCCTGTAATGTTGATCATGCAAAAAAAACAACATTAACGAAACTTTAAAGCCATTGACAGAGAAAGCAGTACTATGTACTTGAAGAGATCATGCATTCACAAGCATTAGTTGAGCTCTGATTAATAAACTACCACTTTAACCCCAAAACATCGACTTAATGATGAATAAATATTAATATCTTTTATTTATATCCTCTGCGGTTGAAAAATTAAGAAGTACTCACAAATTTATTAATGTCAAGAAATGTCAGAACCTCCTGGGGCAGCTTGTCTTCAAATTTGGCCAAAAGCATTTCAAAATAGGCCTCCAAAGCTTGCCTTCTCTTTTCCACATACTCTGGCTGCAGAAATCCAAAATATTTCTTTGGAGGTAGCAGAGAGCGATCCACACCATGATTTTTGACCAGCTGTGTGATTAAGGTGAATGACTTGAAGTGTTACTTTTTCATTTGGGGCCTTAATTTCTTTTCACCCAAACTCATTAAATTACTCTCCAAAAATATTAGATGTGGCTACTACCAGCTGTAATTGTAATTTTAAACTTTAATGGGCAAGGTTGATATCTAGCCAATTCATACTCATGGGGGAAAAAACTGTCTGGTTAGGAGAGGTTAGCCTGAACCACAAACGAGACTTAACTTCTGGTTAAGTTTGCTTGATGAAACAGTGCAAAACTCCTTGTCCCCATCTGGCCCACATCCGTGTACTGGGCTTTGAGTACCCACAATGATCCTGGCCTGTTAAATATCCCATTGTTGAAGGTTGAAGGAAAAATCAGAACACATTTCTGGTACAAGAATTTTGTTGAGACCATTGGGGGACGGGAACAAGGATAAGGTAAAGTAAAGTAAAGGAAAAGCTTTATTTACCCGGCCTGGAGAATGAGACAGTAATACAAAAAAAGTATTGCTGGTATGAATTCATGTGCAGCCAATATTATTACATCCACACTGCTTCAAAGACATTGCGTAACCAGGGGCAGATTACATCTGTGATGCAGGCGTCATGTATTAAGGGAGAGGTGTCCACTATGGACAGATTAAAAAACAGTCAAACCTCTCTTGGACAGATCCAAGTGTCTGAATTAAATAGGTGGTAATATTATGAAGGCTTTTGCATGAAGTTGGGCATCTTTGGAAGCAAAGTACTTTCTGTAATGGAGAGTTGTCTGTTTTGTAATACAGTACACTATAGGGAATTAGATTGGCATCTTTGGAACCAAGGGAACTGTCTCAGTGATAGTGTGGTGACAGTGCTTTAAACAGTCAGCCTTACATTGGAGATGTTCTATAGCATAGACTGTTTGTATATGACTGAATAACTGCTTGCTCAGGTATCACACGTACAGGTATAACCTGAAGGTACTAACCTTTTCATGCAATTCATAGAACTCTCTGTAGCGTCTATCAACAACCCAAGAGTACTCCCTTGTATAGACTTCAAGATAATAAACCTGAAAAGAGGTTTAATTTACCCTTAGTTAAAAACCAAGTAGTATCACTACGGATGTGTTGTAATTAACCGTCTTTAAGCTATTGCATTTTGTTATATTCGAACTTACCCCAATCTGTGGCATCATCAGAACTGAAGGTATCACAATTATGCTACAAGCCAGTTACTGCCAAGCTATGGCAGAATGGAAGAGTGCTGGCTTGCAGGGCAAAAGATCACAAGTTTGAAGCCAAGGGTAAGACCAACATTCAAGGTCTTAAAAAAATCTGAACCATGCAGGTTGCATTTTGCAAATGGCTGGACCATTGCAGGGCTTCATTGACCACATGTAAATGGCAGTCCCATCTCCAGTAAAAATGTAAAAATTTTGTTCTCAATGGTGTAGAATATGTTGACACTAAAAAGTAGGTCAGGATGTGAACAGTGAACTATTCCCAGGATCTAGGATTTGACCAAAATCAGTGCGGGGTTTGGAAAATGTTAATGGACTGCTGACGGGGAAGCAGGATTCACCAAAATTTGGTTTGGATGCGGGATTGGGAAGGAAAACAATATTCTGCATATCAACGACAGAAGTTTGGGATGCAGGATTCTCATGGAAGAAGAACAGGAATGCGGAATTAGGACCCCCTTCCCAGAACCTAGTGGGTGTCACCTCGCATAAACACAGGAACGTAAGTAGTGTATGCGGAGATGAAAGAGGGGACAAAATAGCCACGCTTAGAACTGACTGTTACATTTTTTACAGTATACGTTGAAAAAAATAGATGTTAATTTTTATGTGTGATCTTGCACACAACAGGACAATTGCATGACGACGATATTTGACTACAACTACCAGAATTCATTTCGGTTTTGCTTTGTTATTTAAATTTGTCAATCCTGCTGAGGATTGAAGAACAATAGCATTAATTTGCACAAGAAAACAACAAACTCAAGGATTCTGGTAGTTGTAGTAAAATGACGTCATCTTGCAAATACCTAATCTGCCACGAATGGAATGAAAGCTTTTACGCGACGTAAGCTTTTACTCGATATTATTCTTGAAAATTTCTCCACGATTTTGGAGAAATGCAAGGTCTTCCTGCACTAGCCTTGGGACATATATTTAAACAGGACATAAAAAGCCTTCTGGCAAAGGGAACTGATATCTAGAATTATAGTTATGCTTACCTTGCACTAAACAAGATCGTGCGTCATGTCAAAAATCGTGAATAATAAGTGTTTAAACTTACCGTGTGTGATTCAACTTGTTCTGTGGCAGGGATCAATACCTTTTTTATCTTCATCGTATCATCAACTCGTTTTTGGCTACAAACATAACATCTGGGCTACAAAAGATCATTGGATCGAGGTGCATAACCATTGTACGAAAGCAAGCAGCTCAGTAGCCAAGCCTTGGCGTAACAACCGGAAATAGGCCATTTGCACTAAGAGGTCATGTGACATCGTTTTTATGAAAATCAAAGTTATGATTTTTTCTTCGAAAAACGATTAGATGCTTCCCCTCGCTCGTCCCCCCACTCCCCCGGGCTCCTTCCCCCACTCGGCGAAAAGCGAGAAGAACCGTCTGTTTTCGCAGGCTATGCACAAGTACAAGAAAACTATAGTTAAACTGTTATCGATGTGATCTCACGTTTTACTGGGGGTATTATCCCCAGGGGTTACTTAAGAAACCTCTATACGGGGAGGCTCCGCCCAGAGATCCAACCACTGACCCTTTTCTGCCTTTTATACTCTCTAAATGGTACCCTTTTCACACACCTAGTTTACCCGGCGTTGCATGCCTTTTAACTGTTGTAAATGCTCTATCTTTAAAATTTAAACAAATCACAAAAACAGGAAATTTTTTCACCTTTTTCGGAGCCATAATTCCCCGCATTAGCCCTTTAGGCGTTTTACAGACAGAAAGACAGGTTTCCTCGTCCTTGATATACTGCAACTAGTGAGTTAGTGAAATCACTCTCCGCTTGCAATCCTCTTGCGCGACAAAATTATAAACTCCTTAATTATGTCCCCTTATGTCCCCTTGTGTCCCTTTGAGTCCCTTATGTTCCCTGTTCCCCCTTGTGTCCCCTGTGTCTCTTGTGTCCCCTGTGTCCCCTGTGTCCCTTGTGTCCCCTGTGTCCCCTGTGTCCCCTGTGTCCCCTGTTTCCCCTGTGTCCCCTTTGTCCCCTGTGTCCCCAGTGTCCCTTGTGTCCCCTCTGTCCCCTTGTGTCCCTTGTGTCCCCTTGTGTCCCCTGTGTTCCCTTGTGTCCCTTGTTTCCCTTGTGTCCCCGGAGGTCCCTTGTGTCCCCTGTTCCCCCTTGTGTCCCCTGTGTCTCTTGTGTCCCCTGTGTCCCTTGTGTCCCCTGTGTCCCTTGTGTCTCCTGTGTCCCCTGTGTCTCCAGTGTCCCTTGAGTCCCCTGTGTCCCCTTGTGTCCCTTGTGTCACCTTGTTCCCCTGTTTCCCCTTTGTCCCTTGTGTCCCCGTGTCCCCTTTGTCCCCTGTGTCCCTTGTGTCCCCTCTGTCCCCTTGTGTCCCTTGTGTCCCCTTGTGTCCCCTGTGTCCCCTTGTGTCCCTTGTTTCCCTTGTGTCCCCGGAGGTCCCTTGTGTCCCCTGTTCCCCCTTGTGTCCCCTGTGTCTCTTGTGTCTCCTGTGTCCCCTGTGTCTCCAGTGTCCCTTGAGTCCCCTGTGTCCCCTTTTGTCCCTTGTGTCACCTTGTTCCCCTGTTTCTCCTTTGTCCCTTGTGTCCCCGTGTCCCCTTTGTCCCCTGTGTCCCCAGGTGTCCCCTTGTGTTCCCTTGTGTCCCTTGTTTCCCCTGTGTCCCCGGAGGTCCCTTGTGTCCCCTTGTGTCCCCTGTGTCCCCTTGTGTCCTCCTCTGTGCCCCCTTGTGTCCCCTGTGTGCCCTTGTATCCCCTAAAAAAGAAAAAAAGTGAAGAGCGAACGCTCGTTGTATAAAACAGTAAAAAGATCAAGAAAAATGTTATAGCAGTCAACATCTTTATTATAACCCAAAACTAAGTCCAAACAGGAGCCTGGTCCAAAGTATATTTAGATCAGCTGAGCAGAGTATCATCTTAATCTTTACAATCAACCGGGCATAGGTCAGCCGCTGTTTATAGAAAAAGAGACAAACATGTGCATTCAAAACCCGGGGGGGGTACTCCCTAATATGGGCTATATAGGTATGTGCGGCCCCAGAGGGTAGGGTTTTTCAGCCGTTTTGGTCATAAATTGGGTATCGATTTTTGCACTGTAGTCTTGAATGCACTTTTTTAGAGGAAGCTACTTCCTTATCATGTCCCCCTCCTTCCATCCGCGCTTTGCCTTCCTCTCCACCGGCTGCTTTGTAGGCTAGAAAATACAAGCAACAAGCAACAAAAGCCCTTCACAAATTATGTTCCAGGTCATAAATAGGGTATCAAATTTTTGGTTACGTCATAAATAGGGTAGGGAAAATCGCAGATTTTGGTCATAAATAGGGTAAGGGTTTTGGGAAGCGGGCCGCACACCCCTACCCAATTTTTCTGCGAGTACCCCCCCGGGATTCAAAATAGCTGGCGTAAACCCAGGAGCCCGTTTCTCGAAAGTCCCGATAATTAACGGGCCCAGTAAGCTGTCTCCGTTTACATTAAGGATCGAGGTTTCAATAGTTTTGCATCTAACGTGATAAAACTGTCAGGTAATGAAACAAAATGGAGTTGTTTGTTAGCCAGGACCCGCGCTCTTATTCTTTATATTTCGATTTGAATATTTGATTTCGGGCCCGTAAAGTTACCGGGACTTTCGAGAAACGGGCCCCAGGCCCTAGATTTTCAGTAATTGGATAACGCCATCCATCCTATAAATCACCATTCAGGGGATTAAGTATTAGGGAGACCAGCAGTAGTGTTATCCATTCTTTGTCTTTTAGACTAGTACTATCTGAAGATGACTGCTGATTTTTTGTTTTGTTTTATTTTGTTTTTGTTTTTTTGCAATAGCCTGGTAAAACAGTCGAAATTTGGCGACGCTACCACTGGTTTGCCCGACAAATGACGTCTGAGAAACGAGCACAGAAATTCCTTACTGTTGACGGGTCTGGGTAGTGCTTCTAGTCGTGCCGCGTGGGAAATTTGATTCAACCAATCAGAAGCACTGCTCAAATCTGGGTAATGTCGCGTCACCAGTATGGGATTTCTGCGTTCGTTTCTCAGACGTCATTTGGAGGGGAAACGCCTAATATCGGCTGTTTTCTCAGGCTATTTTTTTCAGGGATAGCCAAGAAAGCTGAGAAAAAATGCCGCCCCAGCGAGGAGAAGTGCGCCCCCTTCCCGGAATGGAAGGAGAAACGTCACGGTGATAATTCGCCACTTTAGAAACGACAAGAAAGCTGGGCCGACTTAACTTTCGCAATGACTTCTGGGATTGTTACATGGAATTGGCCAATAGCTGGCCGGTGCGTACCCAGTAACTATCCCAGAAACAATTGCGGGCACATTTCGGTTCCAGTTCCCTTCTCGATTTTTAAGTGCCGAATAAAGAAACCGTCCCAAGCAATCTCGTTCTACAACCTCGTTTCCCGGGCTTATCCCTTTGAATATTATGGAAGAAATGTGGGGTTGAAGTTGACCCTTTCTACCCAGGCTACGAAGAAGAAAGATCACAGTACAGTCAAACGCTCCACGACAACCAACGGGTTTTCCTCAGGTTTGGTTAAAACAATAACTGGAGGAGCATCGATTCTAAATTCCACTCGATTGCCGCGTTTTGATATAGGTTCGACACCGATGAGTTCTTCGCAGCCGCGAGAGGCCTGGTTCCACTTAAAAAAGGAGGCAACGAATAGCAAAAATGAGCCGCAAATCATTGGTCCAGCGGCTAAGTAGAACACCGGCTTGAACGTTTTCAGTGAGTCATACATGAAACCTGCGAAAAGAAAAACAAAAACAATTGGGATTTGTTGCGCGATGGCTAACTACTCCTTAAATCATGCGATAAATCAGAAGACAAACCCGGTCGAGTTAATTTTTGCAACGACTTCAGGGACTGTTACTGAAGACAGGGAAAAATTTGGAAAAATTGGCCAACAGCTGACCTTCGCGTCCTCAGGTCATTGCAAAAGCTAACTCGTCCCTGTTTCCTTTGCGGCGTTTCTAAAGTGGCGAGTTCTGACGTACCTGCAGCTGGAGGCCCCAGTAAATACGTAAATGACTGACAAAAAAATAGGATCCCCCACGCAGGGGCAATTTTATGCACGCCCACTATGTCCAGGGTCACGATGGACATAAGTCCAATAAAGGAACCATCCAAGATTCCTAACACTGCAACATACAACACCAGTGCCCAATAGGAGCTTGCCAAGGGACACAACAGGGATGCCAAACCAGAGAGAAACATGCAAATCCTGTAAATATGCATGTTTTTGAAGCAACAGATGTCCGAAACACGTCCGAACAATACCCGACCGATAGCCGAAGAGATGCCGAGGTAGGATATGAGCCAGCTGCCTTTGGAAAGCGGTATTCCCAGATCTTCCGAATATCTAACCTGCACAGAGGAAAGAATTTTGGAAAACTCAGATGACTACCATCAACTTCCATACAAATGACTCAGACATGTATATTCCTCAACAAAAACGACAACACAGGAGCCCATCACACCGTAACGTCCATCGCCCATTTGTAAGAGTCGCAGCGCGTTAAAATTTCTCATAGCACTTCCACCGCGTGAAAATGTTCAAAACTGAAGTTGACCTACAAGCCAAAGGAAGTGATTTCGCTTCAAACCCTTGAACATTGTGACATAATTTCTCTGTTATCTTACATTATAGGCTTTGGAATTTTGAAATGAGTACTGAACAAACATCCATTTCAGGAGAGTTTACTGACCGGACAAAGGAAACCAAGGAGTTCCAAAACCCCTCAGTTTCAAAATGAGGCCAAGTGCACAACCTTTCTTATGAAAATGAGTTTTATTTGCATGAGAATAGAAAAACATTTCCACATCAAAGGCTGAGCACTTAACCTCGTTTTGATACAGAGGCCCGGGGGGACTCGGAAATGGTCTATTGCGCCATCATTACGTCATTTCCATGGTTAAAACTCTCATTAACCAATGAGGGTTAGACATCACGAAGTCATTATAAAATGGTCTAAAATTCTTAATTTCTTTTCCCGCGAAATTTGCTGTGTTTCCAACGCAGCGTAATGCAAAAGGGAGGTTTTGCAAAGGCGTTTTTGAGCGACGCAAGTCAACCAGAAATGAGGCTTTTTGTCTTTGAATATGCCTTGACGCTACAAAATGTTGTCTTGCTAAGTGTTTTTACTCTTAAATAGACGATTTTCCAAAAACCAATACCCAAGAATGCAAAACGTCTACTTCCGGTTGCCGTGCGTCGCTCAAAAACTGAACTTCTTTGCTTAAGCTCCCCATTTGTGGCAATCGACCTTCAAACTAGAGGCTCCTCGGTCACCATTCCTGTCCTTCTTTACTTCACACTCTACTGTTCTCGTCCGCCATTGCTGGAAATCCTTCGGCGCTTCGATTGGCTAAGATGTTTTTTGGCGCGAAAATTAAATCTATAAATAGCATAAAAATCTAGCACAGAGATAAGAGCCAGGGCGGGTCTATACGAGAAGGACGTTCCCAGGTAATGGGCTCCTGAAACAATATTTCAAATGTGCTCGAATCACTGTTGATGTAGGCTGCATCAATAGTTGTTGTTGTGAACAAAAGAAACGGTCAAATAATCCAGAGGCGTTGTGCATAGTGTCGTAGCGAATACGTAGGGCTGTGGATTCGAGTTTGACCATCTATCGCATTATTTTTTTAAACGAATTCCTTTGGTACACATTGTCTCTTCCCGTCCAGGCCCCAGTTGTTCAAATGGTGCATACAGCTCTATCCACTGATCAACCTTTATCCAGTGGATAACGCAATTAGTTTCCCTATTATCGATTCTCTGAACAGTGATTAATCAAGTGGATAACGCTATCCAACACTAGAATAGACGGGACCAGACGTCTTAGATGCTCGATCCCTAGTAGAAATACGGTCCTTTTTCCGTTGTGCGCCTTTAAATTTAAGGATGGTAAAATTTAAGGTAGATTGAAGCCTGAACAAATTGGCCAAAATAGGTCCGATATGTGCATTATCGTTTAATGTCTATGTTGTGGTTCAGTTTTATCCTTGCTTCAAATTGTATTTTCCTTGGCTTCAAACTCATTATCAGATATTACCATACCCAAAAACAAAGGAAAATAAAATTTAAACCAAAGACAAAATTGAACCACAACATCTACGCTACTCCTCAATCAAACGCCTACCCTCTCGGCCAAAAAATAAAAACAGATACCGTATTTATTCGAATAAGCGCCCAACCTCGAATTAGCGCCCACCTCGAATAAGCGCCCATCCTAAAGGCGGCGAATAAGCGCCCACCCCACCTCCTCCCCTCCCAAAAATAGCGCCCACCCCACCCCAAAAATTGAAATTGAATAAGATAGTATTTTACAGAAACCTTGCTCCTTCTTCGCTCATTTCTGTTTTGTTGAAAAACTACACGAACTGCTGAAAATGGTGAAAAAACCCCCAGCCTCGAATAAGCGCTTTGAAGGTCCAAAGAAAGGGCGGTTAATCGAATAAATTGCGTCTCCCCATTCTCAAATGGGGGCTTTTAGAAAGGAACGGGATACTCAATTTGAACTCCTGAAGGAGACCAATCAGGGTCGTGGCTCAGTGAAATAATTTCAGAATTGGAAATATTTTTTGCTTTTATGGAGTCCTTAAGGACAACTAATTCGCTGTGACTATGAGTGAGTGACCAATCTGCTATAAAAACACTCTGAGCAATAGAGTCTAGCCTGCGAACCTAGCGGTTGTTTCAGTCGTCGCTTCTCTCCATCCCAAACAATAGCTTTCTCGTTTGGACGGAAGCGACTACCGGAAATACGCCTTGGTTCGCAGGCTAAATACTTCAAATCTCGCCGTGCAGTTGTGTGATATATGTTTATCAGGATATGTAAAGTTAGCTGTTTAGAAGGCAAGCTTACCCAAACCGAAAAAAAAATTTCTTATCGATGGAAAATTTTATAGAGTTTAGATCATGTTAGAGTACGGTATTAATTTGGCATTGCTATGATATAATTAAAAATTCAAGATGGTAGCTATTTAGGCGTTATGACGTCACGCCCGTCAAAAACCATATATATTTTGCGGTAAGTCACCCTTCAATATTCTTGAAATAACGCGAGCGGCGCCAAAACATAACGAGTGTAAATAGGATTAAGCCTATTCCAACCTGCGAATACAGCCTCCGATCTCTTTCTCCAATCGACTCCACTGGAAACGTTTTTCGAGAGAGAGCTTCTTTCGCAAAACGTTCCTAGCGGTGGGAGCGATGAGAGGCGACTGTATTCCCAGGCTAGCTTGTTTCTCACTAGCGACATAACGGCAAGGTTATAAAAATGAAAGCCTTCATGCATATTGACGTTTAGCCTGAGAAAACAGCCGAGATTTCGCAACGCCATTACTACGTTTCCAGGCGAAATGACGTCAAAGGATCGTGCGCAGAGATTCTATACTGATGACGTGTCACTACATAAATCTGGGTAGTGCTTCTGATTGGTAAAAGCAAATTTCCCACTTGCATGACCAATTAGAAGCACTACCCAGATCTGGGGACTAACATGTCATCGGGAGAGTATAGAATTTCTGCGCGCATTCATCAGAAGTCATTTCGCCGGGAAACCAAAGGTTGCATCGCGAAACGTAGGCTGTTTGCTCAGACTAATTAACGTTTAATATGAAAAAAGACAGCGCACCCGGATATTATGAGAAGGTTTTTGGTGCTGTTTGACGTAATTTAGACAGCTAACTGTCAATTTAACAAACGACTCATGTGGAACAGTGGACTTAAACATAACGACTAAAGAAAAGACTAACGTTTCGTTAACTTTGACGGACTCTGGTGGCCAAAAGCTTGCGCTTGCTCTCGTAACACGCTCATGGTATACCACCCGCAAGAAAGCGAAAAAAGCGACTGCCTGCTGAACGGTTTCTTTTCCAAGTCTTACAAAACTCATTGGGCACGAGAAAGGGTGGAGCAAACGAAGAAAAGTGGCGAGCGGCGAGTAATAAGCATGAAGCACGAGAATGGATGCCTTATCTCTGACCAATTTTCTTTCTTTCGTCTTAAAATCTGGTTACATATGGGCTGGGCTGGCCCGATTTGTCGAGATCTCGGGACAAATCAAACACAATAAAGATTAACAGACTCTCCATTTGTTTTTCTTTAGAGACCCTCCAGCGCACGAATGAATATTAATCTGCTGAGGATACACTGACCGCTAGCGTATGGGGTGGGGGAAAAGAAAATAGAAGTAACGTAAGAAAATATTTTTTCTCACGAGCGCTTACCGATTGTCGAAAAGAAAAAGAGAACGACGTATGTGTACAGGCTAAAGATTATCTTCTCGATTATGTGACGACCTAGCTAGCCAGGTTAGCCGCGCTGGATTTTTTCTATGTAATTACTCTCGCCGGGCCAGCCTGGCGAACCAAGCTGGCGACAGGAAAGTAGTTTACATACTGCTCGTATCACTGAAATCTATGTACGCCCCCGTTCCAGCTCGCCTTAAGTAAAATCGAGATAAAAGTGACCTCGGCAAATCCAGCCAGACCAGCTCATGTAAATCACCCCCTCAGGTTGCCTTAGAAATGGAAAAAGTACTTCACAGAGCAACTTAATTGTTCGGTAGTTGTTATTGTTGTCTAGAACATGAAAAAACAGTTTCATTTACTAATTATTTTATACATCATGCATTCCCCACGTTTCCACTAAATGGTAAATGAGGTTCACAAAAGTGCTTTCAACTATAAGTTCCTATGCAACCGTTCTTTGGACCATCACTATTAACGTGACTAAGTCCACCGTTGTACAAGGGTCTCAATGGGGTTAACTTCAGCCTTTGGACTAAACTTTATTATTTAAAAGGAAAACAGCTTTTGTCATTAGACAAAAAAAGAAATCTGTAATCATAAAACATGTGTAATCATTTTTCTAGCCACTATTATAGATACGAGTCATTCATACGTATGAAAGTCGCTTAATTACACGTTCCGCCTTGGCCAAATATGTCATAAGAGACCTAATTGAGACAAAATGCGTTTTAAAACAAAGAAAATTTATTTTGGGCGTATCAACAACACTGAAGCAAATTAGAAACAGAAATTAGAACCTTTAGGAGTAAAAGTGGCGCGATATTGACAGTCATCGGTAAACTGAGGTTCCACCGCATTGAGACCCTTTTGTCCCCAGCCTCCCAACCCCTCCCCCCAAAAAACGTGCTCCTGATTTGCTCGCTGTTTAGTCGTTATGTTTAGTCAGAGGGTGCCCTATAAGGTTCTTCAAACCCGTCATCCCTACCCCCGGTTTTTCACTCAATCCCGTAGTCCCGATAGTTATTTTCGGCATCCCTCAGTACCTACACATTTTCAATCCAGAATCTCGCTCCCCTTTTGCTATCAATCCCGAATCCCGACCCGGCCTTTAAGTAAGGCAAATCCTAGATCCTGAAAAACTCATTGGGGACTCTCTATTTATGACTCGTCTTTGTTCATGTTGTGCCGTTGCAAATTTCCCTTTCGTTAACGGTCACTGCCATTTGTTAGGCACTTAGAAAATTTTTGGCCTTTATTGAATGTGTTTCTAACAAAAAGAAAAACGATCGGAAACTAGGGTCGAACCTGGACCTTTCGAATCCGAATCTTTCTCGCACCTTACCACTAAATTTTTACATCCACCCATCAAAATTCCGAAAATTTAACTACATAAACCAGCAAACTGTCTTTCTACATGATATATCAACAACAGATGACCCTAAACTCTTTCATAAATTTTAACGCAAATTAACCTTGGACTTCAACGTCGATCTTTTTAAGACTATTCAAAAACTTTGTCTTATTGTAACTTAATCTAGGGTATATATTTCATCTATCATGGCTAAAGAGTGGTATCGACTGTTAAAATGGCAACGACCGTCTACGAAAGGGAAATAGACTTTGCCGTTATGCCACTAGTATGAAACACGACTGAAACATTTCACCTAGGTTCACATCGCAGTGCAATGCAAATCACAAGGCTCATTGTGGGCCAAGGTGTTGGAAGATGGTGCAGTGTAAGACAAGAAAGTGTTTGATTGTGGTTTGGGTGTTGCACGTACCAAGAAGAAGTGTGGTATGAAGTAACCAAAGCCAGCCACTGAAGTTGCCAAGGTCCATACCACGAAGGACTTATTCCTCAAAACAGACAGGTCAAAGCATTGGTTCTTCCCAGAAGGCAAATGAACAAGATTCCTGTTCACTCTTTTGTAAACGAGTCCTGTAATAGCCAAGGCTATGCCGCCTAAACACATTATGCGAAAGGTAGTCTGCCAGCCAAACTTCCCGACCAAGACTTGAAGGGTTGGCGCAAACACTAGAGTTCCAAAACTACTCCCCGAGGCCACAATTCCAGTGGCTAAAGAAAGGTGCTTGTCGAAGTAGTCCGCGGTTACTATTAAAGCCATTGTCCCGCACAAACTAGTGCCAATTCCTAGGAGAACTCCGTAGCTTATGTATAAGAAGACCAGGCTGGGGGCGTAGGAACTGAGAAATAGTCCAACACTCATTACAAGGCCTCCAGCAATTGTGACGAGGCGCACGCCATAACGTTCCGCGAGAGAGCTGGTGACAGGGCTGAAGAGGAATAGAAGATTGACGGATATTGAGCCAATCCAGGCTGAAAAGGAAAGAAAAAATAAAGAATTAAGATGAGTTTCTTGAAGTATATTGTTGCTTCCCAAATCTCTGCAAAGGACGTTACTATTTGTTTCAACCTGCCAATCGGTACTGTCGCGGAGCACAACTTAGTAGTCGGGCTGAGTTCTTTTCATATCATCAGGAAAAAGTTACAAAGCTTTTTTACTCATTGTGGCAAGCATCTCTACTTATTAATCGCAAAAAAGGAAGGGGTTTACATAAAAAACGAGTTCCACAGGATCGTCTAGGCGCCCCAATATGGCCGCCATTTTAAGCATTGTTTTGGAACCCCAATATGGCGGATTTGACGTCATGTGAAGACCTTTCTCACGAGGCGGCCATTTTGTCCCGGAGATTAAAAAGCTTTGTTTTTCGACGGTTAGCCTCGCAGTAAGAACGAGGCTGGCCGTGCAAATACCAAAATTTTTTAATCTCTCAGGACAAAATGGCCGCTGCGTGACAAAGGTCTATACTTAAAGGCCCTGGTTGTGAGAGGATCAAATGAAGTAGAAGGAAAGGTAAACTCGATCCTCGCAGTAAGAGGGAGGGAATAAGACAGAACTGAGAATTAGGAAAAAAAGAAAAAAGAGAAGAAGAACAAGAAGAAGAGTATATTTTCCGGATACGTTCGGGCAAAAACGTCTGTGTCGCTAAACAAGAGGAATTTAAAAGAATCGTTAAGTCCAGTCCTAATAACTTTCAAAGGATGGTAAATAAAATTATAAAAAATTATTAATGATAAAATGAACCTTGTCTGAGAATGATTCATGTTAGATATTCATTGCTGCTACCTTAAAATTCAGACTTAAATTGAGCCCAGAAATTTGATTGAGAATGCATCTTTTATCTCCTTATGTAATCAATACGTTACAGTTGAATAACACCTTCAAAAGCTTTGGGGTCCGTTCCAAGGATCAGAAAGGAAAGGCAAAAAATAAATTAATCCCTGGGCATATCCCCCATTGTTTTATATTTTTATACCTGGATTTTCCGTCCTTCAAGAACTTACAATGCCGAGCAAAATGAGAAATGTGACGTTGAGGCACTGTTTCGATTTTGGCATTTCTTCTTCTTGATAAACAGTCTAATATTACTTTTGCAGTCGAGTCAATAGCGCTTGCGCATGCTCTGATTGTCTCTCTTTGACCAAGTTGACTTGGCTGGGCAAAGCATAATGTTTGCATGGAGAAAAGTTGGCCCGGTTAGCTCGGATGGTTATCGGCTACAGTCACAAAAGAGTGACCTAGCTAGGCATCGATGGGCAGGTTAGCCTTCTACCCGAGCCAACTTTTTGTTTCTCATGTAAACAGTTCGCTACGTTTTGTAAGGAAATATTATTATATGAAAAGTTGGCTCGCCCAGAGTAGCTCTGGTGCGTGGGTGATTGTTTTGTCCAAATAAATGGGGCCTGAGTCAATTACACCCGTAGCGTTTATAGAACAACCTAAAAACTTAAGGCCAAGAAGCACAGTCCAACAAGGCGCATAATTGTTAATTGGCATAGCCTGTCCACTCCTGGAATTGTCACTTGCAATACTTCAGCATAAAAAAAACATCTACTTCTGCAAGCATTGCAGTCGACCATAGCCAAAATTTGATTTTCCTTATCAATTTACGAATTAGCTCATAGAGCACTTTGACTCTTTTGGAAGACGTCAGTTTGCGGATTAATCGATGAAAAAGATAAAAGGCGGGCTCTTGTCAAATTAGTGCAATTTCATTTAACTCCTCACGCGCGATTTACGCAAATAGAACTTAACACTAACTTGAACTGCGTGATGCAGACATGTGGGCTCTGAGCTGCGGCGGCACCAATGGCACGTGTAGAGTTACCCAAATTATTGGACTATAATTAGCCATGTCGAGTAAAACAGTTTACGTTAATTGTGCGCAATGTTGCACTGTGCATCCGGGCCTTAAGATAGTTTACGTGACGTGATCACGTCATAAGACGTAGACATACTGCAGTTTTTCCAAATGGCTGCCATCTTGGATCCCGGCCGCCATCCTGGATTTCTGTATTGTTAGAAAAGTGCTCAAATAAGGGCCAACAGTAATCATAAATAATCATAAGCTTTTAAAATAAACATTAATTATACAATTTACAGCCAAGGTCAACTTCCTCCTTCTCGTTCGTCTCGCTAAAACCTGCGACTATTACTGTATAAAATTTCATAGCGGTAAAATTCCTGTTAGAGTGCTTTGATTTTTTGTCGAAAAATTAAATACGATGTTTCTTTAGTCAGGAAAAAGAGTTTGTGGTTTTGAGGTTATTTAATGAAAATCCGCACTTCATGTTTAAATAATCAACGTACGGTTTTTTGATAATTTCGACCCCATCGTTCACCCATATGGAGTTGTTTTAGTATGTACCACGCTAGTTACTGAAAGAGCGAATGGCTCGAATAACTAAACGTATGGAAATAATCCGCCCCCTAGCTGCCCCCTCTTCAGGTTAGGTATTTAGCTATCACTGAGACAAAGGGGACCACAAAGAGAGGTTAATTAACAACTGAGGTTAACGCTATCCCGCAAGCACTAGTATTATAAGCCAATTAGACCGCCTCACTTAGGACCATAACTATTGTGTGGTACAACATGCGTGCCGAGCCATTATAATTACGAAAGAAAAAGTTTACTACCGTGTTAACACCCTGATACCTGGTCATAGCCAAGAGGAAGAATAATATTTGTTCTGTCTTCTTCAACCTTCCACAGCAAGATGACTTGCAACGACTGAGTTTGCTCGCTTCCGTATGAACTGCATAGCGTTTCGTGTTTCAATGAACTCAAAAGAGCCTCGCCTGCTGTTTAGAGGGCAGTGCAGAGAAACAGGATCTGCATATAGTTTGCCATCAGCTTCATCAGATGGGCTGTGACATGTTTCTGAAACCCTTTGTGCAGGATTGAGACAGTGAGATGGTGCGACATATGGGTGGGACGGCTCCACCATCATAACCTTGTAGAAGACAAAGTAGACAAGCTATTGCAATAATTATCGAGCTATCTCTCTTAGGAGATTCAGTACAAGGAATAACACTCTTGTCTGTGTCTTTGACTCCAAAGTTGACGCTTAACATTACCTCTTACAATATCTCTTTTCTGCAGTCAGGTAACAGCCTTACCCCGGCGGATACTTCTGGAAAAAGCGGGCGGGATTGTGCGGCATACCTCCTGAAAACCCTGGGCCCAGTTGTTCGACGGCCGATTAGCGCTTAACCCAGGGGTAAATTTAACCCGGGTTTCTTTTTCTTTTGTTCAAAAGAATTTTCTTGGATAATTTTCTCTGTTGTTTTAAAGAGCATCCAATCATCAACTTATTGACAAAAAACTATACCCGATTCAAATTCAGAATCAGAGGGGAGTACAGCTCGGGGGTCTTACACTAAGTTGAAGTTAGATAAAGATGTTGATATTATAAAGCTCATTGGATGGTTAAAAATGACACTGTTAGAAAATTTTCCAATAAATTGAATATTGGTAGAGTTTGTGTAAAAGCATCGATCATTTTGGTACGTTTCTCATGGCAGTGTTTTCAAATTATGTAATAAGGTCATGGCGTGGCTTGATTGAAGGATTCTGGAGACCGTCCTTACACCGCTAGAATGAACAAGACTAACGGAATGAGATTGTCCGGTCTTGCCTGAATTCTAAGTAAAATCTGGTTTTTGTTTGGCCTTAAAAAGTAGAATAAACAAAAAACAAAACAAAACTAAAATCATTGACACGAAGAACCCTACCTGCAACCGGTCAAACCTCGTGGTGAGTCGGCCCCTTCAGAGAATATCCCATGACGGGCCTTTCACTCAATTAAAAGACTACGCGCGCATCAATAATTTTAATCCACATTTTCTGTATTTCACTTTTGAATCTAATAGATTTTTCATAGCTTTACTGACCAGAGAGTATTGTTTGAGCCTGCTCAACTGTAGCGTAGCTATATTTATGACAGTGGGAATGACAAATGAATTTTCCGAGAAAGTTAGGCAATATCGGAATTGTACCTAAGCGCCGATTATTAAAACATCTATCGTCGGAATAGTCGATTCGCTGACAGCAAATCTTTTCTACAGTTTTAAAAATGAAAAGTGATCTTTAAGCATGGTCCAATTTGTCAATTTTTACTTTAAATAGAACTTTCAACTCTGAAAGTTTCCAATCGCAATTAAACTAATTTGGTGGTGTTTTGCGTTTTTAATATTTGATGGTTGGCTTGACCACGAGATAGTTTTGGCACAAAAACAAACTTTTAAGCAAATTTGCATACAATTTGCGTGTTGGGTGTCCTCTATATTTCTTCCACTGCTGAATTAAAAACAGTGTCCATTCATTAAAAAATAAGTAACTTTTTTGTTGCAAACACACGTTGGAAAAATATGCAAAATTTATGAAATAAGTTTGCTTAATAGTATTTCATAACCGGGAAAACATTCATCAACCTTCAAGAAATTTATTATTTTGCATATTACAAGTAAAAACGAACAATATTGTTGCGATATTTTTTTTTGTAGTAACCACAGATCGCATGCAAATTGATCCGTTTGGTCGACAAGCCGCCAAGGTGGTTCGCTGCGATCGGCTTGTAGCAGTTTGTAGAAATTGCGGTATGGACCTTGCCAAATATCACCGACGATTTATTTCACTTTCTTTCATTTATATTGTACTAACAATTATGTTATAACACTAGCTATTGCAGTGAAAAGAAAAAAAACGGATCGCAGCAAATTCTTTTCTGTGTTGTTGTTGCGTTTATCGATCAAACAAAGAGGAAATGGAAAGCGAAATTTAAATAAATGAGATTAGCATTATTTTTCTTCGCTCTTCGCTTATTTGCTACAAGAAGGGTAGAAATGTATGTTCTGCAAAAATTTGGAGCAATTCCAAGGTATATGTATATTTTAACTCACACAACGATTTACAATTTCGCATTCTTGATATGATTCTAGGGCATAGGAAATTTCGCCTACCTGTGCTTGCTTTGCTCGCCTCGAAGTGATCTAGCAATACAACAAGAAGAACGCCAAAAGATGTGTGAATGCCATAAACCATAAACATGACGAAAAAAGAGCCGGCACAAACCACCCAAGCCCAGCCACGATCTTTAGACGGGCTGCGGACATTTGGAAGTTGTCTGTGAGCGTAGTTGATCAGCGTTATACTGCCTCCAACGGGAATGGACGTCAAATTTTCGATATTCATCGATGAATGCGACCGGGTGACGCTCCGATCATTCATGTTGCGTTAAGCATACGTCCGTTCTGACCGGTAAAGAATTGAAGAATCGTTGTAGCTTCTGAAAACAACGCAAGCGAACCTTCGATATGAAGCACTCGAGCGCAGATGTACAAGCGCCGACAGCCGGTCAGATCGGACACAACAAGTTTGACAGGAAAAACGTGCTAATGAACCTGTTGCCAGCTTTAGACCGCATGCGACAGGAACCTGTTTCTTTTCAATAAAGCCACCATTTTCAACCATGGCCACCTCGCATACAGGTCAACGGCATGAAAGCTCTAAACATTTCGTCGAATACTGCTTGTACTTCAACCTTTGGTTTTAATGCGATTGAATACGTGTACAAATTTGTTTTGATTTGTATTGGTCACATAGGAGATTTTCTGACTAATTCTCGTAATATCCAATCAGAATTACGCTATAATTTCACTTTATAATAACCCAGCCAATAAGCCTGGTTTATGTAAACGAAAACAAAAATTCTCCATGCGTAACCAAGAAAATAATTTTCATTATAAAAGCCGGCCCCGTTGTCTTCATAAGTTCTGAATACAACTTGCTAAGAATATAATCAAAGGTTTCGAACGTCTCCTACTGAGTTTGGTTTCTGTTTACAGGCGGTTTTGCAACTATATTTAAAACAGTGTATTTGATGAGGGGGTGAAAGGGGTTATTGCGTGATACGGGAATTAATTGCTTTTAATTTTCTTGAAAGGTGAAAATGCGAAATTAAAATCCGTGAACTGTGAATGGTCTGCTTGTCGTGATACGTGAACATTAAAATCTTTTATACGATATTCGTGATTTTAATCTAATTTTTTTTCGTGAAAATAAATAAGTATGGAGAGAGCAAACCGGTTCGCAAAATACCCATTAAATGGCCATAAATCGGCTCGGAAACCACACAGGTAAGAAGAAAAACACAACTTAAGCAAGGTTAGCCGATTTTTATTTAAATCTCTTTAAATTAGTAGGCTACAGAAACAAATGTTTTTTTCTCCCATACAAATCCTTATAATTTGAATGTTACGCAACAATGCCGATGGTCATATTTCGAGCGTGGGCTTCCTGTGATGTTTGTGGAGCTAACACACGTGGCTGCCTCGTACCCAGCTACCATGCGAAAAACGAAGCGCCTGAGGAGGAGGCTGCACACGTGGGGTTTGCGTGGGGACCTCGGTTGCAATGGCCGACAGCTTAAGAATTAGAGGGACAAGTTTTTAAATTGGAAGGAGTAATATATTATGTAGATTTCAAATCTGTGGGATCCATGGGTTTTCTTGGAGGTAAAGAACGAATTCGAATACCCAGAAACAGTAACCATTCATCATTTAAAACTCTTGAGCGCCAAATCATTGAGTACCGGCTAGTTTTAAAGCTGAGTCCGAAAAGCGTGGTCTAGGATAATCGATTCAGAATTCATTAGCGCGAAGGCAAAATCCACTAGCCCCGGGCTATCGGCGGAATAATCTGTAGATCTGTCATAACCAAGAAAACTTTTTATTAAAGCGTGGTCTAGGATAATCGATTCAGAATTCATTAGCGCGAAGGCAAAATCCACTAGCCCCGGGCTATCGGCGGGAATAATCTGTAGATCTGTCATAACCAAGAAAACTTTTTATTAATTCGTAAAGGAAATGCATATAAAATTAAATAAAATATAATGAATATTTTTAAATTTGGTTAAATGTGTGACTGAGTTTTTATCGATCCAGTTTTCTGGAAAAAATCATCAAAAAAAGAAATTATTACATTGGAAGATTCAGATCTCGAGCAACGATTTCTCAGCCCATAGTCAGCTATAGGGACACAATCTTATCTGCCAACCTACCCGACCCTCCCCTTAGCTAACATTTCGTCCAAGGGTGAGAATTTAGTGTTAATTTCGGATTAGGGGAGGGGTAAGTGGCGAGTATGGTAGGAGGTTTTTGTCCTCGGCAAGCCTTCAAAGGTTTCAAACACTTGGCAGCAATGTCAAGCCCAAACGTCTGCCAAGTATCCTATTGCTAGGTCTCTTGAATACCAGCAAATTCCGCTCAATCTCTTATACTCCTGTAGCCCAAATAACAAGCGATATTTTTTCAGTTTTTTTAGTGCGAGCGCGCGAAGGTAAGTTGGAAGTGAGCGAGGAGAGCCAGACAAGACCGGGGAAAGCGCTCCTCGCTCACTTCGCGCTTGCGTTCGCGCGCTTGAAAAACGCGAAAAAATAACGCCTGTTGTGCAGGCTATAATTCCTGGGCCAAGATTAAATATGAAATTTATAACAAAAAAAAGCCCACAGACAAGAGGGAAAGGCCTTGTCTGTTAAAAATCAAAACGTGTTTTGAACGGAACGAAGAGACTGTGATTAGCTAATAGTTGTGTCTGTTGAATCAATGCGTTCACTTTTGAAACTTCTCATATTGATAATAAAAATTTAAAAACCCTGGGTACAGTTTTATCGTTGAACTTCATTTATTAATGAAAGGGCATAATCCTGAAAAAGCGAAATCAGGATTTACAATTTTGAGGGGTAAAGCAAACGTTTTTCGTTTACGGGAGCAAGATTTCACGACTTTGCCCGAGTGTTTCCTTTACTTTTCCTTTCTCGCCAAATTTTATGACCCGTTCTTCCGACTTGCAAATGGTTCACTTGCCCAAGATCTTTTCAAAGAATGTATTTGAAATGTTAATTAGTGTTACAACTCCCAAATGCCCCGAAGTGTTGTGGTAAACAACCCTTGTTCTTGCTACATAGGCACGTGCAGAACGAAAATCCAATCAGAAATTATTATTCAAATCAGAACGTTGCTCCGCGCCACATTCAAAAATTGATAGCTTCGGTCAAGAAAGCTGACGAAAGTTGCTCACGAAAGAGAAACAAGACGCTTTCACATAAACTGACAATCCGTCTCTCTCAGCTTCACTACAAGAAAGCTAACGGTGGAAACATTCTGGGATGTTAAAACCAGCGCCTGAGGTAAATTACTTGTTAAAGTTATTGCCAGTTCGGTTCACATTTGTATTCCGTAAAGTCCAACTTGAAATTAAGTTAGTTCGTTGTCGAATGTTCTTGTTTTGAAGTTAATTTATTTGTTCTCAGAGGAGAAATAGCGAGTAGAAATGCAAGCAAATGCTCGAGCAAAATTTGTCCGTGATTTTGAAAGCCCTTCGTAGTACAAGGCCGAACACGTGGCTGTTACTGAAATACGCGTAAAACTTATTGGGGACCTCAATGTCCAGATAAAGGGACCCGGCAAATTACGTCTTTCTTTCCTTCCAAAATTATTTTGTTTACTAAGAAAGGAATTTGCAGAAACGACAAATTTGATTATTTTTTTACTCGGAGTACAACAGCGAGATTTTGACGGAGTTAATATCACAAAATGAGGCCACCGCACCTTTAAATAAAGATGTTCAAACCTATTACCAAAAACCTCGAAGCTAATAGCAAAAGATTTTTTCGTAAATTTCTGTTCATTCAAAAAGCAGTTTATATTTAACAGAATAAAGAAAAAGTACCATAAACTTGAACTGAAGTGTTGAAGACGGGAGATGTAAGAGGCCGTAGTTGTAAAAGTTTTAATAGGGCAATTTCGAACAATTTTTTTTGGAAACTGCTACTCGCTATTTGCTCCTATTAAACAGGTTGTAATATCTGAAATTTTTTGTAATCAAACGTTGATTCGCTCTCATATGATATAACAGCGTCACGCGCGACCTCTAGCACGACCTCCCGCGCGAAATCTCGCGCGGTTAGATCGCTACAGAGCTTGTATGGTTACCATGATGTTGTACATTGCAACTTTCGATACTTATTATGAATGGAAAAGATTCGCAAAGATCGTCACCAGAAACACGTTAATATGATATAACCTCACAACTCGCGACCTCTCGCGTGAACTCTTGCGTAAATAGATTACGATAGTACCTGTACATTTACTATAATGTTAAATATTACAAATTGATAGTACTTAATAGAAATGGAAAAGTTTGGCAAAGATCGTCATCAGAGCCACAACCCCATATGATACTGAACTAAATCACGTTGGACCTTTCGCGGGATCTCTTACGTAAATAGATTGCGACAGTTAGAGTCTCTGTGGTTACCAAGATGTTTGACATCGAAATTAAAACAGTCGCAGCTAAGGTCACTAGAGCCCTGGAAATGTTTCGTTGGGCTTTTGCAAACCTTTTTCGGTTTAAACTCTCCGGCTTTTCAAAGTTGCAACAGAATTTCAAAAATTATGAGCATTTCCTTTTTTTCTGCTGTTTCTGTTTACGTAGCTCTCTGACGTTTAATTGAGCCATGTCATCACTAGCATAAACTCAGCTTCTTATCTTTTCAATTTTCAGCCGTCAGACCAGACCATCTTGCTCAGGCACACCTCCAAATTAGACCACGAAACCAGTCCATCAGACCACCATAAAGACAATCAGATCAGAGATCAGGCCACTGCATCCTAACACCACAACAGACCATCGTCAGACCCGACCACCAAATCAGACCACCAGAACAGATCAACCCACCAGACAACAGACCACCATCCTCCAAACAGAACAGCATACCCAGCTCCTTGAAATGGTACAGGTCAGGTGCTTTCTTTATGGGTTGGGTCAAGGGGGGTATATAGAGCTCTGGATGAACCTTGCAAAGCATACTTTCCACACACGTTCGGCCTCAAGTTTCCGGATTCTTTTTCGGCTTAACTTAACTTTAGTTAGATTAGCTAGCGGGGTTCCCTGGGCTGGTAAGGTCCTCCCCTTTCCTTTTTCATTAGATGGGTTCCTTTGCAGGTGTTCGGTCAGCAATAAGAATTCGGCTTTTAGGAATAGGTTCGGCTTTTTGGATTCGGCTTCGATTCAAGGAAACGGTTCGGCTGCATCTTTTCGCGCCTTTTCAGATGGACGTCACCACCGCTGCTTTTCTCGTCGTCGTCGTCGTCTTCACTACGATCTCCCGCTTAGTTGCGCCAAATTTGAGTTGATCTATCACGCTTCACTTGACAGTCTATGCGCTGGGCAAGTGAAGCTTTCATTCGCAAGGTTCAACCAGATAGTGATTATTCTAACACCTAACTTAGTCAACTAGAGGCTTCAGATTATTAAGCTACAGTGAGAGTACCTCATTTGGTCACTGCTTACAAGCTTAGTGGTCTCTCTGGTTACAGGTAGATAGTTAGAATAGCCTCGCAAATTCGGGTCTGCTAATACCAATTTGGCTTTAAT